AATGGGGAAAGCAATGTTACAATCATAACACCTTCCAAGCAGGAATCATTCCAAAAATATCATCTGTATTTCATCCCTCTGACTGCCTTACAGCTCTCATTCTGCCGAGCTTCGCATACGCGTCTTCACGACTCTCGTCCCAGTTCGCCTGAACCCATTCCTCTGACCTTCGAAAATCTTTCTTGCTGTCCGGGTCTCGTTGATGAAATCAGTGCCGTCTCTCGTGCCGAACGGAAGGCGATGGCGCGAATTCCGCCTCATCCCCTGGTCTGTTCGCCACCATCGAACTTTCCAGCCATTACACTTACATATCTGAAGTTAGAGACTTAAATCCTTTGCTAAACAATGCAAACGTACGACTCTTTTCACTGTACATGCCTTGGACCAATGGCTGCAAGGAGGGGGGGAGGGGGAGAGAGAGAGAGAGAGAGAGAAAAAAGGTTCCAGACGTCCTGTACATTTACTTGTCTGGCCGCAAGCCAAGCCATAGAATAAAGTAGTTTTCCGCCATCTCAAGGCGCAATAGATAAAAGCCCATGGAGGCTATTTTCTTTGACGCCGGATGAAAATAGTCATTCCATGAACAGGTTGGGCAATTCCACAGACGTGCGTGCCCGATTCCCGTACGACATCCATGCAGCCTCCACGAACGGTCGGAACGAATGCGGCAGTCGAGGAGTTTTCCAGTCCTCCCCGGCCATTTCCTCCTCGGTCCCACTCGCTTGCGCGCAGGATGAGCGGTTGCGATCTCTGACTCGCTTGTTGACTTGGCTTTAATTTTTATCGGTTCGATCAGTTGGGATGAGAGAGCTAAAGGTGTCGGTGTGAAAAGATTCGAACCGTGGGCTCGTAGGGTGCATTGCTGATAGCGCACATGAGGATTGGGGAATTTTTTCATCTGCCTGTTCCGTTTCTCCGTTTCCTCAGCGTGATGAATACAGTTCGTTTTTTTTAAATCCTTTCTAAGAACTGTGCATCGCCATGAAAATTATAGGAGTTTGGAGTTTTTAATGGATTTTGTGCACTCTTAGATAGGAAATGTGCACTCATTCGGTTCCTCGCTCCTACGTGTATTACCGATTCGTTATCAACCCATTACGTGTGGAAAGTCCAACGCCCCTCCTCTCGTGTATGATGGGCAGATATCAAATGAGGTCACCTTATTCGAATGTATTGGGTCAATTGTCGCCAAGCACGGCGCAACGGTTGCGATGCCTTTCCCCCGATAATGGAAAGCTTGCACCGCATCGCCCGTGGCAGATTTGGAGCAATGGGATGCATGAAGTCGACGTGACGTAGTTGATGCTCGGAATTAGGCCGACCCCGACCCTCATCGAGTCGATACGCATTCACCAAAAGCACGTCTGTAATGACACGACGCAACGAGAAGAAGGGAAAGCCTCGCCCAGACCCAACAGGCGGCATGAAAGAGGCCAACCTCGCAGACGCCTCGGCCGGAACGAGCTCCGGAACCGGACGGAAGCATCGACCCGATGCCAAGAGCCGAGCAGAGGATGTCGGGGATTGGGCGATGAGAAGTTCTGTTGCGAGGCAGGGACGGTGCCGGTGGTCCTCGGGCGCTTTGGCGCACTCCGTGTCCAGCGGGGTCCGAAATGAGTATTTAGTTTTAATTTTGCCCATTTTCACCCTTAAATTCACCAAGGTAACAGTTGCCCTGAAGCGAAGGATCAACCCAGACATTGTTCGCTCAATGGCAATCATGGGAACCAATTGGGTGTCATATTGGATGTTTAAAAACAAGTTAACGCTGCTTGATTCGATTCTTCTTGAATTATGCCTAACTTAAAAAAAAATTCATTTGGGAGCCATAAAGAAGAAAGACGAAGCTCTCGTTTGCTGAAAAAAAAAGCAAAGCATGAAAATGATCAATTCTGAAGCGAGATATGAGAGACTACGAATTAAATTTGAAGAAATTGACTGACTTCACGATGTCATTGAAGGATACGTTCAAGATCTGCTTCTCTTACACGCCAGTACACCTTCAACCACAAAATAAGATTCGCAACGACTGACTCACTGATGTCAGATTCGCTTTCTGCATATATTTTTGAGACTTCTATGCGATTATGCAGTTAGATGCATAGAAACCAGCAGTCCAGTTCAGGATTGCACGCATTGGCAGAAAACTCAAAGGTCATTAGAGCATTCGCGAGTGTCTCCATCGCTGCAACCTTGACCAGGCCACTCCCTTTCTTTTTTTCTTCTTCTGGAAACTGCATGAAAGACGAATAATTAAAAGAGAAGTATTGAAAAAAAAATTGACGCCTGCAAAATTCAGTCACTCTAACGAATCACCCCGAGGATTCAGCGATGGTGGCAATAGAATGAGCAAGTAATTCGCACGTTTTCAGTCAAGGCGTGCAATTCTGCACCGGACTGCTGGTTTTGGTGCATCTAAAAGCAAAATTGCGTATGAGTCTCAAAAATCAATGCAGAAATTTTGCTAAGTGGCTGAAGGTGTAATGACGTGTCAGAGAGGCAGACCTTGAACGAATCCTTCAATGACATCGTGAAAGTGAGTAAATTTCTTCGAGTCTAATTTTTAGTCGCTCATATCTCGCTTCAGAATTGAATCGCTCTCCATGCGGTTTTTAGCAAATGAGAGCTTAATCTTTCTTCCTTGTGGTTGCGGAAAGGATTTTTTAAAAGTTCGATTCAATAACAAAATTGAAGTGAAATAGTGATTTGCATGTTGGATGAGATTATTAATATTTTTAATGCCTAAATTACTTTTAAAAAAGGTTAGAAAACAATTAGAGTAATACGTGAAAGAAATTGGTTGCATCGAAAAGAGCGCTTCGTGATATTAGCGTGCAGACTCAAATTCGGTGCGGAAAACGATATGAAGCCTGGATACCCCTACCCCGCCCACTCGTAAAAGCTGTCTTGCTTACGGTCCTGTGTAGTAATATTGACACGGACTGGGACGTAGTTAAAGGGAGGGAGGGGGTTAGCGAGCAAGTCTCGTGGGAAATGCTTCAAGGGGATATCCAGACCACTTCTGGGATGGGAAAGCGTTCGTGCTCATCGATGGGCGAGTCGGGACTTCTCTAGAAAGACGGATGGAAACATGGACATGGACATGGGACTGAGGGAATTAGAAATTGGATGGGGAAGGAATGTATTGCAATGCTATTTTCAGCCCGAAAGGCGCTATCGTGTCTTTAAATTCTACGCTTTAATATGAATTTGTGGCCGAGCCAGAGCAATGAGCAACGTCGTCGAATGAGGCATGTCTGGGCCTCTTACGATCAAACTTTTTCAACTTTTACTACTTTCTCTTCAATATTTCATTCCCATTCATAAGGCTTGGCATAGGTGACTAACCCTTTCGGTGTCACTTCAGCTGCCTACGGTTACATTACCTCTTCAAAATTTACACAGCGAAAGGGTTAAAGAAAGAAAGGCTCCTGTCGATGGGCTTGGGTGGTTGTACCCCCACAGGTGAGGGGGGGGGGGGCCCGGGTGCCCCATCTGCACGCCACTGCTTCAGTACATTCTGGCCAAATATCATTGACCTTGTATCGCTGCCTCTTGGTTATTTTCTATAATATAAACATAATTGGTATTTTACTTCACCCAAGAGTGAGCTCTCTCCCAACTGATTTTTTTTTTAGTTTAGCCGCTAACAGGCTCCATCGTACAACTGTAAGGGCCTTTCGCAGGTCCACTGAGCAAGATACAGTTTCCATCTTTTGGGCACTAATATCTTATGCTTATCATACGAAAAGGAGACTTTCGGCAAAGCGGATGGAAGTCAGCCTAGTCTCCCATAACCATGCTCCTTTTCCTCTATATTGTTGGAAGACTGTGGAGCTTATAGCAGAGTGCGAGGTTTTCCTGCTGCATCCATCCAGTGAACAATTGCAACCAGGTTTCAATTTCTAGCAATTTGTTTATCTAATTCTAATGCTGCTGATATCGAGCAAGAATATCAGCAGACGCTTGCATTCATAGGGATACTAGTGAGTACAATAATTTTTTGTCAGTTATATCTGTTACGACTGTCATTTGACTAGAATTAGAAACGTTCCTTGGATTAATATGACATTTAGGATGGGCAAGATCCAGATTTTTTTGTGACCAAAGTAATGAGAAGAGCAGTCTTTTTTATATCTTGAATTGGATCATTTCGCGCCAGTGGGTGTTGGGAGAGGGAATGGACGCTGACAAGGATCTCCTGCTTCTTCCCTTGTCCTGCACTGCCCTCCGCCCTCCTTCATTCCAACCTCGCCCCTTTCAAGATTTTTTTTTCTGTTCGCGTTAACCCTTAGTCCTTGCAATGTGAGAAAACCAGGACACCAGAATGGGAAGGAAAATTCCTATTGGGACATAGCCTGTAAAGCCAGGACGTCTGGTCACCCTTACTTATAAAAACAGCTGGTTAGGTTATAGCTACTATTATACATTATTAATTAAAATAATCTTAATCTTAAACAGGCCATTAAGACCAATTTGTTGCTTGGACATTGCATCTGAAACATGTACTGTCCATACTAATTATGAACGGGTGGCAACCATAAACATTTGGCATCTGAATCGTGCTTACTCTGCTGAGAAGCGGCTTGGTAATCAACATTGTATCTATAGCAACAAAAGGAAGCTTTCGTCTAGATGGAACTTGAAGGACCGCATTCAAGCTGAATGGAAGCTATTCCCTTCTGAATGGTGAAGAGAGCCGTCGAGTGTGTTGTTCAAGGTTGGCAAGATATTGGCATCGATGGCGGGTTCGTTGAAGCCCTTAGTTCCTCAGAAGTCGATCTTGATTCGTCAAAAAGAATTCGTAAGGAGTAGTAAGTTTCATTAGACGAGTGCCATTTTTGGCTTTCACCTGCGGTTCAGTATATGTTAACTTCAGAAATGGTAAGGTGAATGACGGGACATCCCGCATTTTGTATACAAGCTGGGTTACCCAGCGTCGCCCGGGATATTTTTTAGAGGTAATATTTAGGCTGGGTGGTTAGGGTGGTGTGGTAGTGATGAGTCAAATACTGACCCTGGCCAAACAATACTTGACTTGTGGCTTCTTGAAGGCAGTTGTAGACTACTTGAAGTGTCTTGGCTTTGTTGAAGGGGACCTTATAGGACTTACCAACTTCACTGTGGATGCAAGTGAAATTGGTAAGTAAAGGCCAGGGCAGTTTTACTACTGTTAGTTAGCTAAGGTGAACCAATTTTTTTTAATTTTTGACAGTGGTTTCTGTTGATGTTTTTAGCAAGCCAATTTTGTCAATTTCTTGACAGTGATTTCTGTCGGGGTGTGTCAGCCAGACTTTTTGTGCACTAAACAGCTTCTGGGAACATGTGGAACTCCAATCTGTTGTCCCCGTCATCCTAGTTGGCCTGGAACACCATTTTTGGGACCCTTAGCCGCCCCCCGAAGCTGCCCCCCCTGACCCCGATGACATACCCCTGTGGGTATCTGCCCCCCCCTGACCCTGATGACATACCCCTGTGGGGAACTTCGTCCCCAACCCACCTGCAAAGGTTTCACGTCAATCGGACCAAAACCCATGGAGGAGGTGCTCCACAGGCCCCCCAACTTGGCCGCGAACACCGGGGTGTGGCGGCCGGACTTTTTTTTTGCACCAAACGGGTTCTAGGAACCCGTAGAACCCCATCCAGGAATCCGTTGTCCCTGTCTCCCTAGCTGGCCTGGAACACCCTTTTTGGGACCCCGATACCCCCCCCCCTCTCGAAGCTGCCCCCCTATGACCTGCTACTGGACAGACCCCACCCTCCTGGGAAGGTTTCAGGTCGATATCTCCAACGGTGTCCGAATGCATACCGTCAGATGGACAGAGACAGATCCTTGTTTATAGAGATAGATATTTTTATTTACGTGTTTGGGTCTGACCGCTCCCACAATGGAGGCAGCAGTTAAAAAATTGATCATTATACGCTAGAAGGATTCAGAGCTGTGCATTTGCCGCCAGAACGACTGGGGAAAGAGAATGTCGTGAAATTGTGTGCATGAAAGGATTTAACAAAAGAGCCTTGATTGAGAAATGAATAGTGGCAGTCGAGGCTCAGAACGCGATTGTGTTTTGGTCAACGAGGCGATAAAACGCAAGGCCCCTCTTTTGTGGCAGAAGGCCGACCACTGCTCCCTGGGCTCACCCAGCCCCGTTCACTTTCATATTTATGACCCCGGATCTAAATATGGAGGGCTTCGGGACTGCAGGTTCGAGTAGGAGTCGAGGGGAAGTGGGAAAGAGAACTGCACTTCCCTTAGCGCGTCTATCGATTAACTCGTAAAAGCTCCCGGGGTCTTTCCCCCTTCTCATAGTAATGAATTATTGGAAGGGCCTGTTGCCAACGGGAACCTGTTGAACCCTCTCTTTCCTTCCGCCCTAGAACACGGCATGTCTAGGCAGAAAGGAGCATTTTCCCCCGGACGACTGATGTACGTCATGACAGGACTTACGGGGGTGAAAGCCCTCGTAAATCTAGAGCTATGACAGCTCCTTTGCATGAGGTGATGGACGTACATAGACACGAATCCATTACATTTACTGGTTACCGTTAACGAGCGCTGGATTCTGCCAGTTCTGAAGAAGGCTGTCTTTCAGATTGCTTTGTCTTCTGTGAGGATATAATTTGATGGAAGGTTTCCATAGCACCTAGGGTACAGCTCAGGCCAGGCCATGCCATGATCACAGTTCACCTTGATTCAGCCTTTATTGGAATTTGGTCCGTCGGGCCCAACTCACTCCGCGTCGGGAAATATCATGCCGCTTCTCCTGGACCAAGGAGGGTTCCGCTTTGACACGCACGGAAAAGCCATTAAAATTCTCGTGACGTCAATACCCCCTTCGTTTCATGCCAGTCTCTTGTGGATAGCTGGACTGATTTCACGCCGGAATCCATGCAGGTGTAGTCGTCTCGCGAAAACTTTCATCATTCAAAATGTGCTGGTCATGGAACCCTTAACCTGTTTTCTCTCTTCCACATGTGGCTGCAGTTAGTAAGGCGCATGCAAACTCCATAAGCCTGAATACTCTCTGATGTCACAATAATTATTTTCAAAATGTCACATCTGTGAGCGAAAATATTTCTTCAGTGATAACTTGCCCATGCAGTGGGGTTATACTGTCACTTCTGAACAAGGGTCTTGCCTTAATTGGAAGCCTTCCAAGCGACTTTAACAATTTTTTGCACGAGGCATTGGAGACGACTCTCCTTCCGCGAGGGAGCGCACTCCCAAACGTTGCTGCAGTTTTTCCTGTAGCCGTTTTATGGGCTGTACCCAAGCTTAACGTCTCACATAAAAATGATCAGGCTCGAGTCAGAGGTTTCGTATCAGATTTAACGTGAGGTTTAGCCTCAGTCCTTTTAAGGCTGAGCCTGCTATACGAATCCGTAATGGAACCTGAAGTGGTTACCGCTGTCTGACCCCGATCTGGGAAGGGGAAACCATCTTGTGAATGACGTCAGTGTCTTCTCCTCTTCCTATCTCAAGGAAATGATGGAAGAGGCTCTCGAGAATACATCGGCAATCGATTAGCCACGGGATATCTTCCAGCCTTCTTTGAAGAGCAATCGAAGGCCCCTCCTCCAGTCCCTGAAAGGCAGCACGGAGCACAGAGGGTGAATAGGAGCGTCTAATCATGAATCTCTCTCTCTCTCTCTTTCTCACTCTCTCACTCTCTGGATGAACGAGTCTTCCCACGGGACGTCCTATGTGTGGCTCATTTCGCGCGGGTTATTCAGGAGATGATCCAAGATCATGTTCCTTGGAGAGAAAAATGGCCCTATTCCGCAACGTCTTTGGGATGAACTGGACATCTGAAGATGTCCAGTGGGACGCGTCGCTTTTGAGATTAGATTCTGTATTATTTACGGCCGTATGCACCAATAAATAATGTCCAAGATGGGTAGGTCAACTTCGTCGAAGTCCTCCCGACCCTTCTGAAGGGCTGTTTCTTATGAGACATTCTGAATTATGCACCATTCATTGGAAAGAATTTCATAAAACCAATTTCAACAATTACAGTCAGTCATTGTTTGGGTGTTGCGAAGAATAGGAGGAATAGGCGCAGGACCTGAGGTCTCCGCCTTGAGAACTGCATGATCGATTTGAAAAATACGCGTCAGCTATTGTGGAGATTCATGCAAATATTTCTGCTCGAAACAAGACTTTTAGATTTAAAAATGAATAAATACAATTTCCGGAATGCAGATTGACAGTTGCTGAGTTGGCACTTGCTCTTGAAGATAAACTCGCCTATCCATTGACGCCGATTCGTTGCCGCCGCCGTGCTACTTCATGTATCGAACCAGCTTCTTGTCCTAGAGACAAAGAGAACGCGTAATTGCTCTGCGTCTTTTGCAGTCGCAATTGGTGGTATTAATGTCATTCTGTCTTGGAAGTGGTGGGGGCTTGGCTGGTTAGCCCCAATGCTAAGAAATTAGTCTCCTTCCGAACTAATCGAGATGACGTCAGCTTCGTGATTGATTCTTCTTGGTCGTCAATGCAATTTTCGAGTTTGGCTCTGGGGAAACTCAGATTTTGCGCATCACGCGATCCGTGCGCGTTTCATTGGATGCCTTTCTCAGGGTGTCAAATAACCCAATCAAAATTTCCAGCTGAAAATACTATGTAACCTGGTATCATATGTAAATTTGGACCGTTTCCCAGTTGGTTCCCAGATGGAAAGCTTCAGGGTTTTGGCAGAAAAACAACTTCTTCCAGCTTGGAAATGAAGGTGGTTCTACGCCTGACTCTTTCCAGAAAGTGCATTCATGAACTCGCGTATATCACTTAATAGAATAATCTGCGTTTCAAAGTTATAGGCCTTCAGAACTCCAAATGATTGTAAATCCCCTATTGCTCACAAAATAGGATTAAAATGACTGGAATCTTCCTCAGGTGTTTAAAACAAGAGCCCATCCTTATCTTTGACTAACCCATGGAAGTTACTGCCTTCCAAACAGCTAAATCTAGCTATTACCCGCTGGTTCCATTTTATTTCAGCCAAAACACTTACGGGATCAAGCTGGCCTTTTTAAATACTGAGAATTCGGTTCGATTAGACGCCCTACATTCGCTGGGCTTGGTTAGAAGATGCAATTACCCTGAATGCAAATCAAACTATGGAGGTTCCACTTTGTCACTCTAAGAAATCTCCCAAAAGCAAAAACAGCAGACATAATGGACTTTTAGCCTGACAGATAAGTCGGTATATGATCATGGGGATGCGTGCTTTTTTCCCATAGGATGGGATCTAGCTTGTATTTGGAGAATGAGCACATTTTGACAGATGGGAATGGGTCTGCGCCCATCTGTTGAGGAAATGATTTGTATATATACCACTATCTCGAATGAGAAATGCTGCCAAATTGGCCTGAACGAAACCATGGCTGGGAAGAGAGATTCCCTGACTCATTTGTTGTCTGTCCCAGCGTCTGGTTTTGTTTATTTGGTTCTGGCAGTAGGTCCCGTCCCAGTTCCTTCCTCTGTCTGCTCCTCGTCTCCCGTTTAATCTATACGTCCCCTCGTACACTTTCGGTTCTTGCAGGGGAGGAGGTGGAACGAAGACGAGGCCGGAGAATGAAGAAGTACACGTTCTTGAAGGAAATGAAGGAGAGACTGAGGAAAAGTGGCAAGACGTCGGAAGCCAAAGGTGAATCCATGGAGACACAAGGAACTGAACCAACTGAAGTGAAAGTGGAAGTAGAAGTGAATCTGGATTCTCCTCCGCACGATCCTCCACCTCCACCCCCACTGGAAATGGAAATTCAACCCACGTCGACTATCGTCAAAGTACGTCCCCTCAGTTAATTCTCACCCCAGAGTGCAACGATATGTACAGAAGATGCCCTTCCGCTACGCAGCATTTATATCGCATGTGGTGTGGCGGTGTAACGCCCAGGCCTTCTCTACAGTATCTATCCAAAACTTGATTCTGACCCATTTGGTTGGGAAATGTCTCTGTAACTTGAGATGAGCGAAATATGAGCATTCCCCCTCTAGGTGTTCATACCTAGGGGAAAAGGAAGAAAGAAGGAAATCATTTCATTGCCTTTGATTTCTACCTTCTCTCTTCCCATTCTTTCAGAATGCACGTCTGCAAACAGTCCTCTGAGTGAATGAAGTCCACACGATTCTTCCCTCATTGCCATACCCATGTTAATCATGCCATAAATTAGCCTTACCGGTATGAATCTGAAATGAAGGCTGGAGCTAGGGCCATCTGCAATGCTAATATAATTCTTTCAGCAATAGCAAGGAAGGGCTCCCTATCTCTTGGCAGAAAGTATCTACGAGTTTTGGCCGAGCATGTGTAGAAGGACTTCATCCAATACATGCTGGGTATGAAAGAAAGAACCCCAAATTTTATCCCAAAAATCTCTACTCCTACTACTGCTTTTTAACGGAACTCGCATCCTGCATATGCTGATAAATTTGCGAGAGGCTTGTGACATTTTCATTTGAATTGCCAAAGTTAGGCCGTGCCAAAGCTAAGCCGTGAGCATTTGTTCAAAATAAATTCGACATTGAAAATGGACAGGGAGTTGAAGGGAGGAAGAGCCTTGATTCATTTCGGGGTCTTATTCTGCTGGAAGTCCCAGTCTATTTTCGAGCATTAAAAGTTAAAAGATCAAGGGTCTTTTTTTATTACTGATATTGATATTTTAATTATATTTTCTCGGGATGGTTCATCGAATGGAGAAAAATCATTAACAGTTTCGACTGGGACAGTTCTCATCGATCATTTATGCCATGAGCATATCAGTATCCTTGTGTATACAGGCCTAAAATATTTCTGGGATAAAGATTCATGAAAATCTCGTTGTATCTGGAATGCTTTGTTTGCAGGCGTGTAGTCAGAAACAAGACAGAGACAGGGGAGCAGGAAAAGGAAATTCTCACCGATTTTCGTATTTCTTTAGTGTCACGTGCCGAGTTAGTTAACAGAAACTGACATGGGACATGGTTTCATAAACAGACTCCTTATTGGGTCCTCTTCATCATGTTAATTTCGTTTCCATATGTACTAGTAATTGGATTCAGGTCAGTATTAGGTGAGACGGATTTGGTATCTGTCACTCTATTGCCACAGTCTTCAATTTATTCGGGGGGGGGGGGGAATCGTAAAGTGAAGTCTTTCATGGGTGGGTCCAAAATTCTTTCTTTCATTGCTGAGGGAATAAACTGCAGATAAGACTCCTGGCCTTCACTGTCTCGTTTCTTCGTTTTTTCCTATTTCCTCTCCCGCGCTTGTCTGGAAATGAATTTCTCCCTGGAGAATTGCAGAGAGTAATCATTTCTGAAGTAGTTTTTTCTTTATTGAGGGGGAAAAAGAAAGACTCCGCCTCCACTGTCTCATTTCTTCGCTTATCTCTCGTGCTCTCTCTCTCCCCATGTGTATATGAATTTCTCCGGGGGGCTAATGCACTCCCTCTGTATATACCAGCACAAAGAGGGCTTTCCCTTTCCTTTCGAAGGGTCAGTATCGAGTGGGATGGGTAAACACTTTCTCACTGCGATTCTCAGGCCTTCCTGCAATGATGTTTACCCGCACTCCCCAAAGGATACGATTGACACGGAATGATGTGGGGGGAAAAGGGGCCATCCGATGAACCGAAGCAGATGGAATCGGCTGAAAGCCCAAGTTTTTTTTGGATGGTTTCCATTTTTCTTCTCCGTCTGGAGATCCATCAACATGCCTCTTTCATCCATCCCATTCGCGATGGCTCCAGCCCCAGAAGTCGAGAGAAATATACATGCGAGAATTATGCAAGAGTAAATTTCGACTAGGCATGTATTTCAGAGAATCGAGTTTACCAAAATATGAAATCCACCCCCAAGACTTCTTCCATCTTCAGAAAAAAGACGTTGATGAAAGCAAGAAGAAAAGGGTTGCTGCGAGAGCAATCAGTATCGTCTTCAACGCTCCCATCGCTTCTCTATATCGTTGTGTGCAATGGCGATGCCGTACGAATGAAAGAAATGGAAGCAGCCTGCTGCATTGGGCCTATTCCCTTCGTTACGATGAGAGGCGAGTGGAGATGGCCATGTTCGATCGGGGATGGGAATGGGTCCTCTAGAAAACGGAAATACGAGCACTGCCTTGACAGGAAAACTGATAGCGGTACCTTCAGATGCGATTCAGCAGAGCGCTCATTTAGCGAGGGCACCGTGAATTCAACTAGAGAACCCTTCTGCGAGCTGGATGCAATCGTTTTAAAAGATGGCTGCAATTAGGGGAAGCAGGGGAAGATATTAGAAGGAAGTAATGAGATCAAGGGGTAATGCAGGCGTCTGCTCCTGCGATGTTCGTTGCCCAGATGGTGAAAATTTTCTTTATGATTTCTGGGTTTTATGATGATTAGGCACACGTGTCTGCCTTCCTTGGAGAAGGTGAAATGGAAATCACAATGCTGCCAATGCTTTCTGTATTTCCTTCTGCCCCTACGTAGTGGCTTCGGCCGTGCGGGTCGAGTGAATCGCAGGTATGCCTAAGAAACTCCCTGGACTGGGATCTTAGGGATGATATAGTGTCGTCTCTGAAGAATTGTATTGCCAAATAGCCCTTCCCGTACAAATACTCAGCCTTACAATTCAGGCTCACGATCACGCGTATGGTTTTAAACAAATTGGCCCACCAGCTTCGTTTTTCTCACCAGTTCTCAGCGTGCATCAGTTTTCATACATAGCGACGCAGTACTTTCGAAAATTTGAAAGTAAACATTTGGGTATTTTTGTTATTTGAAGCACGATAATACATTATACAGGATGATAAACAAAAAAGAGAGAATGTTTGATTTACAAGAACATGAATTACGAAGTAATATCAAATCATTACAAATCCCATGGTTAATCGGATATTGACTTTATATATGTTCTTGCATTGCACTCAGTTTCAATCGCTTTCTTCTCTGGAACAGGACAAGTCATAGTTGTAATTTTGCATGTTCTTAACTAGGAATGCTCGAAGTCTCCCCTAATGTAGCTTTTGAAAACAAAAAAAAGAACATCAGGCTATGTACCGAAGTGGAAAACCGATTTTGCCGTAGACCCCAATTGAGATGTACAGTCAGTGGCCACTCAAAGACAGATATCTGATTCCTATCATTTGAACGAGACGACTTGGGAAGTTGTAGGATTCTCCTCAAAGTATCGATGGCTGGAGGCTACATAGCATTCGTTTTGAAAACCGTGTGGATTTCATAGGCTGTCGTGCGAGTCGGAGCAACTTACCCCATTTGCAGCTGCAAAATCACTTTTGCAGAATTTTGTAAGCATAAATACCGAATACTCGAAGCACTAAACTATACCAGGCCTCACCAATAAGGACGCACTTTTTCTCTTGGAAGAGCCGGGACGGTGGAAAATGTTTGCACAGAGCATGCTTCCCAGCAGCCGGCCTCTGTCAGACTGGGAGAGCTGGTGAAGGTGAAGCTTCTGCTGACTCTTGCGGGAAGGCACCAACCGTGCTCCCGGCGTTTGCATGGGCTCCTTACTTCCCTGTGGGTCCTATAGTCGAGTCGTGAAGTAGTCGTTTTCTCGCTGTCGAGATGGATGGCATCCTTGCGCTTCACTCATCACCGCATCCATGAGGCGGGAAGGAGGGGGGGGGGGGGCTGCTGTAAAGCTTCATCAATTTTTTTTTGTTGTTTATACACAATACGTCTCGGCTTCATACACACGTTGAGGAGAACGTCTGAGCAAACTTGAAGCTCTCCTTGGGATCGTGATGACTCGCACCAAAGAACTGTTGCTTTCCTGGAATCAACGCGATTGAAAGTGAGCCTCTCTTTAGATCGAAAAGTAAGAACCATAGCATAGGGAGCATAACCCTTTCTAACGTTCGCGTACACATGGAAACTCTAAACTCGATGGGCTGCTTTCCTAAATCATAAATTAATTAAACTTGTTTCAATTGAATCGTTACTTGAATTGATGATAATCGATTGTGATAATGAATCGCGTTTGAGTAAACTATTAGTTGATTATCAAAATTTGTTTGGAAATTTTTAGACTTCAATTACTTTCCTACTACTTACTGGTTGGTATAATCTCCAGGAAATATTGAAGATATTGCTTATCTAAAAATAAAAATGGTTTGTTTAGAGATGGAATCTTACGTGTTAATACGTATTGCAGAAGGAGCATTCTTTTATATTACGGTCGCAAAATGTTATGAGTATCGGTAAGTATGTCGTTTGAAATGATAAATTGACATTTTCAATTGATTGATGATCGGTTATGAATACTTTCTCACTTTTAATATAATTTAATGATTATTTGACTCGTAATAATTTTGTCCCGCTCCGATCCCTTCCTTTTCTGAGTCATCTAGTTCCATTCGTAAAAGTGCCGTGCGTGCGGCGGTATAACATCGCAGGATGTGCAAATATGGGAATAAATTATTATGATTAGACGAACCATTTCAATGCCCGGATGCATCCGAAATGCGACCGCATGCACCCTTCGTGCATGCTATCGCATTTGGAATGCAAAAATGTGACAAATTATCCGCCGAAGCGGGCCACTCAGAAGCAGAACCTCATGAAATATTTGAGGGCAGATCCAAGAATAGTGTCCGATCTGGGCAAAGGGGGTGGTTCATCTCGTTTCGCCGGTTCCTTCCGCCTCCATAGTGTCAAAGTTACTCCTTTTTCATATCTCTATTTGAGGAATTTAGGTTTGAGTGGATTTATTTCATGATTTCACGAGCCCGAGAACCCATCAATGACGACGCCAAATGTTATTTCTGTCGTTGCGTGGCTGCAAGAATCGCGATCCCGAATGAAAATAAACGCACGAGCCCACGTCCCGTAGGAGGTCGCTCGCCTCGCGCGCGTGTCGAATGGGCAAGGCTCCTGCCGCTTTTGTTGCCGCGTTCCCGCGCACGCTCGGTGTAAGAGTATATTTATTGATTCATGGGTCTTTTGGGCTGCGATTGTTTCTTTTTTGTCCATTCTCACGGTGTGCGAGGGAGAGGGGGATCGTTTCCCATCATTAAAAAACGTCTCCATTGTCCTTCGACCCTGTGGCCCTGATTATTTCGGCACCTGGGGGTCTTCTAGGAGCAATTTTGGTTTCCGGTCCACACGTCACCGCGGAGACATAATGCTAGTATACTTGTAATGAGGATTTTTCCTATCTGAGCACGCTTACCTACCTATTTGGAGTGGGCTTGGGCAATTTGTCATGCGACTGTGGGGAAAAAAACTCTTCCGTCTCTTTCCTATCTCATCCATTTTTTTAATTTCCACGCCGAAAAAATTAGCCCTCGTCATGAATTTGATGTACCTAAGACACGATGAACGTGGGGGAATAAAATGAGGAAAGAGTGTGCCAACTTGTCTCGTCGCAAAACGATCTACATAGGCAACGCGTGAGAGAAACGTATTGACATTCACTGTCAATACGTCAACAAAAAAAAGGGCGTGTCCCCCCTTTGCGTGTCGTGCGTCCTTTGCGTGGATGCTTTGGCAGGTAGGCAGACGGACGAGTGCACACGCATGCCCATTTATATTTATATCCGAGGGTTTTCGCCAGACGCAAGGCCTGCGTTTTCAATCGAACTCATCCCATTTCCACTCGCAAGGCTGCGTTTTGCGAAAATCATTGGACGTAAAAGTAGATATGCGTGTGCACTCGTGCGTCTGCCAACCTCCCCCGGCACCCATGCAAAGGACGCACGACACGCCTAGTGTGAAACGCCCGTAAAAACGCTCGTTGCTTGGAATCCTGCTCGGCCCGACATGAGGCGGACTTTTCGGACGCGACGTTGAGCGAAAAGTGAAATAGAGTGGAAAACATTTTTCCACTTTATTCGTGCTTACGATCGGCGGCCGTAAGTGGCTAGATGCAGCCGTGAACGAGCAGATCCCTTAAGAGGATCTGGGAGCCTTAGATCTGTGCAAGGGGAGAGCCGGGAAGCACGGTCTCGAGAAATCCAGTTATGTGCCGTTTCGCGCCTCATTGAGAGAGACCCACGTTATCGTATGCTCTTCTGCTGCACCCGCAAGGGCGAAGGAAAGGAAAGGGGAAAAGAAAGAGGAGACAAACCTTCCTGAAACCTCTCGTGATAATCCGAGGAGGGAGAAGAGAAAAGGTCCTCCGCCCATTCGCTTGTGTGCTCTGGAAATCTCTGGAGTCCGAAATCTCTGGAGTCTCCGTGTTAGCTCTCTTCAGGAACCACTGCCCCGTGGATCATGTATGCCATCTATACGATCGAGGAAGAACCTGCTTATGAGGATTTCGGTCCCTTCCTGGCTTCGGTATGCCGTCGACGTCATGTATCGTAAGGATCGGTAGAGCCTTTTGTACGAGTTGCGGTGTCACGTAGGTTTTTCGGCGACGGCTCCTTCAACTCCCGACTGGGGTTCGTTATCGCAGAGAAACTCCAAAATCGGCACCCATTTTGTGTTCCTTTTAAGTTCCCACTCGGTAGGTCTCCGCCAGCTTTCATCTGCAGAGATGTGAAGTGTTTGGGGATGGTCTCCATACACTTCACCCAAAAGCTGAAACTACAGAACTGATTCGAAGAGATGAGGTACCGACGGGAGACCTGCCGCGCCCAATCTGTCGACCAATCGTCGTCCTTGACCGTGCATTTGCATCGATTCGCAGGGTTTTGTCTGTCTGATTGGATTTTCCGGGGCAAACATCTGTTCCAGTGAGAAGGGGATCCGGACGCTTTCAGCACTCAGATTTTCAGAATGGGATGCTTCGATTTTTTTTCTTCATAAAATTAGGCTTGCCAGTCGTTAGACAGACTTGCTGCAACACAACATGGGCTCAGTATTAATCAAAATCGACAACTCATTGCCAGGGACTTCGAGAAAAAAAAAAAACTTCTATCGGCATCCGAGAGATGGTGGAAGTCATCCAAGGTGCAATCAAATAGATTTTGTCGTTTAGGTTGATAATATATTAATAACGATGCCCGGAACGCCCATTCATTTCTTCCTTGTCACAGAGCAATTTTGGGTCTCGACGAGTTCCAATTCGGAACGGCAACCATTGCATGACCACATCGCAATCTTGAGATCAGCTTTTTCCGTTTGGGATGAATGGTATCGTCGAATGACGAATTTTATATTGGAGCTAGGTTAGGCTCTTGGAACGCCGATTAAACGTCTCGCCTGTGAAATTCGTTAGGGACTTGTTGCCAAAACCAAAGGTTTTCCTGTCCATACTTCCCCCCCACCCCTCCCCGAGAACTTCGCGAATCGGCCTGGAAGAATGAGGAATTACGAACTCGAGAACCGCCGAACTGTGAAGCAGCCGTGGGGGAGGGTCGCCTCATTCCCCCATGAGAGTTATGAAGTAGAGGCGGTGGTGATGAAGCTAGTTTCTGAGAGATCATCAATATCAATATGCCATTTCTTACGTTTCTTCTGCTGAGAAAGGATATATATAGGGTTTTTAAAAGGTCTCACAAGTATTCCATGCGCTTTCCAACTCGTAATGAACCCTCACTAAGGTTGCCTATTATTTTTGGAGAAGGGGGGGGGGGGGGGGGGGGGGGGGGGGCGACGTTACACAGAGGCGGCCCTTTTCCCCTCGTAAGCGATCTCCTATTTATGCAGGACTATTATGGCGAAGATTATTTTTAATGGGTAACTGTTGATAGCTGACTTCATATTGCTGCCAATGCATGGGATTCTATGCCCCATGTATACAGAGTACGGTTTCTTGTTCCCCTGGCATGCATCCAACAATTTTTCTCTCGTTACTGATGATGCGCAACGTGTTTTCCCAGTGTAAGAGTGAGAATGTGGTTTTGTCTTTTTTTTTTCTCGTGGAGGAGGGCTGAGATCGCCTGACGAGGATGGTTAACACTTTCCCCTCCTCCTCAGATCCCTTCGTTAAATTGTTCCTGTTTAGAGTGAAAGAAGATTGGAAACAATTGACAGAAGTGAAAGCGGGAGGGACGGAATTCTGCTGCCTAAATATACATTTTCTTGCAGATTCTCTCCTTCCCCTGCCAAGCTACGGCTACGTTTTTAAGACAAAAATCGGGATTCTTAACCCGCAAAGTTGTCTCACGAAAATATTAATAGTTCATCCTGCCAGTTAACCGCGCATTAAATTGGCAGGACACTCCGTCACTGCCTAATGTGAAGTCTGCATTACTCCAGAGATTTGCACTTTACGGTTACAGTTCTCGTTGCCAGCGTTTATCATCCAGAGCTCTGACACGTGGAAAGTCAGATAAAGAGTACAAACGCGACACGGAACTTTGTTTGCTTGATAATGTAGGTTCTATGTATATAAGTACGTGTCTGATGTCCTGTTGCAGATGAGCCCAGACGGGAAGAAGAAGCCGAAAATATCGCCAGCCAAGACCGGGGAAATCATCCCCGTCGCCTATCCAGCCGGAATTCCTAAGAATGCAAAGTGAGTCTATTTCACTCGTCCAGGTGCCTTATGGAACTTTTCCTCTTTTTGTCGATTGACAACATTTAATTTAAAATTTGACATTACAAATTTGATGAACTTTCATCCGATCGATGTTGGGCCGTGTTGTCGGTTAATCGAACTCTCGATCCGCTGATTTCCGTTCTTCGTATTGCCCGACAGAAGCAAGAGATCGTGCAAAATCAGAAAAAAGATGTAAAAAATCCTTCCTTTGGGGGCATGGCGTTCGTTAATGTGCACGTGCACGCTTTGTATAACTTGGAAACTAAGCAACGGATAATGTCTGGTTTCCCCGCGCATAATAGCGAACTTGATAGTGGGATTATGCTTATCTGTTGCAGGATTCTTGGTACCCATGTGACCTAACGACCCTATGGGTTGTCTGACTATGCCCAAAGGAACAGAACTATGTATTTAAAAAATGCGGCAAGCGATTTCTTAGGTTTTTACTCTAGTTGGACAGTCGTGTGACATTCGTCACAGCGGAAGGGACATCGGGACTCATAATCATGGGAAATGCATCCGTCAATAAATATTACACTCGTTTTCGCAACGGTGTATCGGCCTTGCATGACTGCAACCGCGTGGGAGAAGAGAAAACGAGTCAGGAATGGCCCTGAGCGGATATTTTGAATGGTTAAAATTTTCGCGATAGATCGCATTTGCATGGTTCCCCACGCGGTCTGTTTCGCAACCCATGAAATCTTGCCCGAGTTCCTCACCCACCCCAGTCCGTCTGGGTGGGGGGGAAACTGGTCTATCCCGTGCACGGCTCCGTTGTAATCAATGCGGAGCACGGACCCCCTCTCGCGTCTGTCTAGTATCTTTAAATCACTTTCTTCTCTCCCCCCCTTGACCCGTCTGACCTTGAGATGGCTTCAGACGGCCACTCGCGCTCGACCCCAAGTACCTGTCAGCCAGAGAGAGAGCGATGCACCGGTCCTCATGCATCAATGTTCAGATAGTGGATCTCCGTTCAAATCCCTTCCTCCCCCCCCCCCCCCCCCCCCCCCCCCCTTCTCCCACGGAGAGCACCACGGATATCCAATCAAGCTGGAGCGTCTCCATTCTAGAGTAAATAAAATCCGTCCGTCTTCAATCTGGTATTGTTCCAGGAGATCCAGGAAGCACACAAGTGCCTCTCATTCTGGTGCGCTGCGAGAAGAACCAAGCCCCTCATCGAGGATGAGGAAGCATTTATTGAATAGAATTGAAAGTAACACACTGAACATTCGTCACCATTATTGAATCTCGTCGTTGCTATCACGAGGCTCCAGCGGATGAGCAATTGCGTTTGAGAGAAAAAAAAGGAAAGAAAAGAAATTCCCTGCCATTACGTCGATCTCGCGGATCTTAGGAAGGAAATGACCTAGAAAAATGGTATTAGCTGGTATTAGCATGATGCTTAAGAGGAATCATGTGAAGTGAACAAAACTAGAGTTCAAGGGGTGATTTCATGTCATCCTGAAAAGTCAATGATGGGGGGATACGGTCGAGTGAAAAGCGGATATGCGGAGTGAAGTCAGCGGAATCTAGGGAGCAGATCAGAACTCAAAGTCCATCGATTCAACTGTCGACGGGAATGCCGGAACTGGGGAAAAAAAAGGAATCGCGTCGACCCTCTCTCCAGATAAGAGGCATGAATGGACTTGCGTCAGACCGGAGATGCCTCGTTTCGCTGCTCTCTGCTGTAGGTCCGGCGATATTCTGGGCACTGGGTTGGCACTGGGTATTCTGGGTTTCTAGGGCACTTTTCATGAATGCTTGTTGGATTGCAAGCCGTTACCCGCGTTTCTTCCAGAATGGGATGCGTTAATAATTGACGAGATCATTCCATTCTCACGACCTAGTAGCTATTTGTCACTAGCCAAACTTTGACCTGGTTTTGCAGTTATTTTGAGAGGAAATTTCGTAATATTTCACTTGAAATGAGGATGGCAAGGATGCAATAATTCAAATGAACTGGCCGGGAAACGGAAAACGCGTACAATGTAAATCTTTTCCTATTGAGGTATACGGAGGAAAGAAAAACAGTAATTTCTTTACCCCTGATGCGTATAGCAAAACGATTGCGGACTTCTCGTGAGAGTGAGTCGAAAAAAGTTGAAGAACTCACATAGAGGACATGTGAGACGAATTGATCGAACGAAGAAGTTTAATCCGGTTTAACTTCGTGACTGGCATATATATATGCTGCAGCTGAGACCCTTCTGCTCCCTAGGGTTTTTCACTGAGACGCCATTAGAACTGACAGTGTGCACCGTTCGCCTTTCTGTGCTCGGAATCTCGGCTTATGGAAGGCTCGAAATAGAAGAAAGATACGACTTCGGTCCCTTCTGAGAAATGCATTTAAAGAAAGTCTTTTAATGCAGAAAGTCTTTGCTCTTCCCGACGACTCGATTCGGAGATCCACTATCTGAACATTGATGCATGAGGACCGGTGCATCGCTCTCTCTCTGGCTGACAGGTACTTGGGGTCGAGCGCGAGTGGCCGTCTGAAGCCATCTCAAGGTCAGACGGGTCAAGGGGTTTGGGAGTCTACTCGTGTTGAGTATGCCATTCGTCTTTCCGAGTTTGGAATCTTGAAAGTCTGAGTAGGAAAAACGGTACTCTTCGCAGGACGTCACGAAGTAATGTTCTGAGGTCAGGAAGCTAATGGACTCCCTGACTTTTTCATAGTTCAAGGTGGCTGCTCCCATGCGGCTTGAAGTGAGTATGTCGTTCCTTACATCACAATTATGAATTTCTGAATCATGTCAGCCAGGGTGAAGGCATTCGTCCCATGCTCTTCTCATGTGGGACAGAATTGAATTCATTCCTTGAGGGTTTTCAGCCCATTCCGCGGTGCTTCAATGACAAGTACCACGAACCTCCTGGGCAAGTCTCAGCCAACATCGAAAAATAAGTAAGCCAAAGATGCTGAGCTCAGGACGATTGGGCCTCATCATCAGGGTTCTCATACAGTGATGTAAATTATAGTCGCATTGCCCATGAAAGTTGATCACGAGTCACTTCTAACCGACGTGGCTATTAGTCTGAGTAGTAACCACTTGACTTTTTGCTCCAATAGGACAAATAACAATAGTTCTATCCGGAGTGATTTATCAACGCGGAAAGCGACGTCACGCGATACTGTCTGCTTTTTGCGTTGCATCGCGAGGGTCTCGACGTTTCTGTTCTCTTTATTCCGGCGCCTACGGTGACCTATTGAATGGGTAGGGTTAGATGCAGACCGTATCAATTGACCAGGAGCGGAACGGAGCAGGAGGGACGCAACGGATGAGTGCACTGCTTTGCAATTGGAGAGGGAGACGAAATGGGTAGGAGCAGACGACGAAGCGCTTCGTGGATTTTCATTGGCTGTATTAGCGATGACGTCAGGGCGTTCGTCGCTCTCCCTCTCGCCCACGCCTGCGTCCCGTCGGCTGCTGCCTCACTCGGGGCTTGTCTGGGTCTGACTGTCTCCATGCATGCATGGTCCGTGGATCAGATCACACACTCAGTGGCGTGTTTTCGGGCATATCATCGTGTTTATCCTGGTTACGCTCTCACCCCCTTTGTCTTTTTCGATGCGGTCAGGATTTCGGATTCGCTTTCGATGGAACTCGTTGCGGCTCCTCTGTCTGTTTGGTGCTTGTGAGTGACTCCATGCAGAGGGCCTGAGGCGTCGCCAGCTGCTCTCTTCTCACGTGTTTTTCAGTCTCTTTCGTTGGGCCCCTCTCTTTTCCCTGAGAATAGGCCATAAATGCCACTAGGGCGTTGTGCACTCTCAATATGGGCATAATAGCTAGTACCAGTCAAGGATGAAATGGAGTCTCTAGGTGTTGTGTGGGAATGCGGATTCCAATTTTATGTGCGATTGAGATCAATCACGTCGATTCCTGTTGATTTCAGCTGAATCGGTAAGGTGCCTATGAATATTCTTTCTCTTGTCCCTCTGAAATAATGGATACTGAGTAAACATATAGGCAGCTGAGGATTCGAACCCGCTCGTCACCCGCTGGAGTTGGCAGAGAATCGGTCGAGGGGTGAGCTTGCATTGAAAATTGCAGAATCCATTCATCCAAATCTGAACCACCTCATGGAAAATTGAGATCCGCCCCTATCAGCCGCATTGGGTTTTTCCGTTGCCGTGGATAACCGCATTCCTTATTCTGATAACGAACCACAGATTAAGGAGAAAATGCATTTTGGCAAGGAAACTCTTATCGCCCATCCTCACCAACTCTACCTCTTAAATACTCCATGGTGAGATGATTAATGAGAAAGGGTAGACGGATGCGTAATTAGCTGGTCGTGTCTGCCTAAGAGCGTCATGAATATCCCGTTATTCGTCTGGGATCTCGCTCACACTTTCTTCTCTCCCCTCTGTCTCACCGTATTTGCAAAGAGGCCCTGCCAAAGGAGATTCCGAATCCAAATAAACACACTCTTGGGTCTCTAATGACTGTATCCCTCTTGAGCCTCTTCGTAGGCGAAGAGCGGAGGGATGGGAGCAATCCACGTCGACGAGGGTGGTCTATTGAGTGAATCCTCTTATCTTGAGACCGGGATTGATACGTGTCCACGTTGGCATCTTCCTGTCGTTGTATCTTACACGTGACACGGGCTTTCTTTCTTTTCTCCGGACTGGAAAGTGGACATTTCTTCTGTGTATCTCCCCCCTCTTCATTGCAGTTCCCTAAGTTCGGTAATGGATCTTGCATTTGGAATGCGAGTTCTCGTCAACAGCAACGAACGCCGATAATAGATCCAACGATCATATCGCCCTCTGGTATGCTTTTCAACAGAAGCTTGGAAAAAGGAGAGATGAGGATCTCTCATCGTTTCCTTCCGGATCTTTGTGCTGTGACCCCACCCCACTTCTGTCTCTCTTGCAAACAAGCGATACTTCCTGGCAAGAACGGAGGATGCGTCGGGGCGGGGGGTGGAAAGCGTCCCCTCACCCACCCCACATTTCTTCAGTTGTGCTATCCGCATTTTTCCCCCGTTAGATGCATATCTCTTACTAGAGGATCGAATTTTAGCATACGCATTCGCGGAACCTCCTTCCGGGGTGTTCGGACTCATTAGCCTCCGCCACTCCCCCTCCCCCTGCACTTCCGAGGAAGTTCTTGCGTCTGTGCTTTCTGGGCTGTTTCCTCGCCTCTATGTATACGTGTCTACAGTTCCATTCACTAGGCCTAGTTGAATTTGAAGTAACTCAATTTCCGGAACATGTGTGTCTTGAAAGTCATGGTTTCGTTTCCTGCAGATGCCCAATCAACGCTGTCAAGGAACGTAATCCAGAGTCTGGCTCGTAATCTAGGTTCTAGAGCAGCGTAGATTGGGAAGATAGGTTTTTATTTTATTTAGTAAGGATGATATAGACGCCAAGAAAGTGACCGATGAGTCCCATGTTGGACGGGGAAACGCAAAGCCCCGTGAAGCCGTTGAAAATGAGCGAGTTGAACCCGGAAGGGCAAGGACACGGACAAGGTCACAGCCACGGTCACGTTCACGGCCACGGTCACGGGGAGGGTGGATTGGAAGAATGTGAAGAAGGGAAGACGAAAGATGTCCCGAACAACGCTGAACCTGGATCTTCGGCAGGGTTCGTTCCCCCATCCCTTGCTTTGTCTTATTGTTTTCGTGAGCCCCTTTTCCAAAAAAGGAGGGCAACCACTTATTCCTGTCCTTCGCCCTGCTCCCTTTTCCCCCTCTGCATCGGTAACTATGCGGACACATGCCGCGGGACAAGGTGCAGGCTGGGATGCTTTTCGTGAAGTTAGCTAAGAGCATACTTTCTTTTCGCAAAATTTTCGCACAGTCAAAACTTGCGCATTTTCTTGGCGGAGAATGTGTTGGACGGGGAGGGGATGGACCTTTCATCCCTGGCCCCAATATACCCTTTAATGTTTCTGCCCTAAAATTATCAGTATTGGGGCGACTGCGCTTTACTGGACATGCCTGCCCCCCCCCCCCCCCTCCCATCTCAAAAAGGTAAGCCACACGTTGACGTCATCTAGCTTCTCCGATATTTAACCCTGCACTGCTCACAGTGGTGCGGAAACATCATGACGTATGTATACACCAGTACAAAAGTTGTACTGGCGTTGTCAAAAGTCTGGGATGGATTTATAAATTTAATGCATGGACGTAGCTCCTATTCAGCTGAAGAGTGAAGGAATTACTGGCGAGATTCAGTTAGTATGCCAAACGTATCGTATCGACCTTCAAGTCGGCCCCGAATTTATTTGATTGAATGTCTTTTAGAATATGATAGCATGAGTTTTCATGCTATTTCTGTACTTTTTTGCTCCCTGAGTGGTTGCAATCTCCTAGGGCCCACTTACTGTCAACGTAAATAAAGATAAGGAAAAGGGAAGTTGCGAGAAGGAAAAATTATAGGAACTTAAAATGTCTCTTCGTGGATAAACCTACGAATAAGGTTCATTATGCATTTTGACCAAGAAATATTGGAAACCATCTCTATAGTTTCCACGTTGGCCACAGTGTTATATAGAATGACATGGTAAAATGAAGATCCACTTTATCGAAAGAAGGTGCACTGCTGGACTGGACTTGCCCTTTCGATAGAAAGCATGATTGTACCTTATGCTGAGGATCATAGTGCAAGAGAGTCGTTCCGTTCAGCCTCATCTGAAGTTAACGCTTGCACATAAAATCTGTAATGTATATTATCTCTCCAAATCTCAAGTCGCAAAGTTCAGCATCTATTACTGTCTGGTACCGTCAATGATCCAGAAGTATAGTGCATAAAAGAATTAGTTTATGGGGCATTACAAGAAACCATGCCAAATGCAGCTCTCTGCTGCTCTCAGTATGTTGTGGCTTCTTCCACGCAATATTTCTTGAGAGAAGGAAGGGGCAACCTTTTTCAGACGTATGTTCTGTTTACTCCCATGCCATTCAGTGACCTGTTTGTGTACGCACCCACACTTTCTTTCAGATCACGTTCAAGCCAAAAAAAAAAAAATTGAAAAGCAACCAAGTAAGGGTTGCATGTGATCCTGCCTCTGTTGTACTTTTCCTCTCTTCAGCTCCGTAGTATCAAGTGACCTTAGCTGTCATTTTGACATTTAAGAGGATTTGCCAAGGTTGAAGATTGTCTCCTATTCCGAAACATGACACCCTGCAGCATCTGTTAGTTACGATGTCAACTAATAGGTGCTTAATTAATCGCTTGTCCATGCATGAGAGCGCAAGAGTAATGGCACCCCTGGGAAGTGATAATTGTATACCTTATATGTGGTCTGTTTTTTTTTTGTTGTTGGTCTATTTTTCATATATTAGTAATGAAGCATGCAGCCCACCAAAGGAATAACTTGGACTGTCTTTCTTTTTACGAGACTCACTTTTTTTCAATTTTGTTAATGGTCTGAATTTGCATTGACATTGGATCATACATTTCTAGCCGCCTGAATGAGATTAGAAACTAATCAAGATAGTTTCCTCTCATCTCGTAAATGTCCTCAATTTTCTCAGCAAGCAGGAAAGACATTTTAACAACTGCATTGCTCATAAAATCTGCAGAATTCAACTAGAATGGGAATAGCAGCATAATGAGATGTAGATTGTCTTTAGTTCCAAAGACCCATTCAGATTGCGATTACCCCAGACCACGAGTATTATCAGAAAAACTTGGAATATTTAGGCACATTCATCTTAAGGAGGATAGTCATTCTTGAATTTCAATTTTGTGGTCATTACTGTATACTTATAGTGAGCAGTGCATGAATGAAGAGGTAAGTATCGATTCTCAGAGCCGTCACTGTATCCATGTGAATGTCTCCTGCGAAGGTAGTAGAGTGAATCCGTCAGGTGATGAATTGCCACTCAGGCAATTCTTCTCCCTTGTAGCCTTGTTTCATTGCCCTGTGGGGGCATGATTTCATACGATTCTTACTCCTGCGGTGATTACGGGTGTTGCTTTTCGCCATTTTGCAGAAGCGGCCTTGCCCTATTCTATGCTAGATGTGGTTCATGATAGGATGAAGTCTAGTCAGTGGTGGTGAAGAAAGAGACGAGAGGTCTTTTGTTGCCTTGTGAATGCCGACACCCTTCATTCATCATCGCGTCAACTAGGATACGCCATTCACACCCCTATTAGTGTCCCACTTGTAGAATCAGCTGTCTTATTTAATCAGCGTTGTAGGGTGAGAGTGCTATTCCGGCAAGCCATTATGCCAATTCGAACTAGATTTCATGAGACGCTTTCTAAATGAGAATTGAATTTGACGGAAGGAACACAAGACGTAAGCGTGCCATAGTCTCCCAAAGGATTTCAATTGCTCCGTGAAGAATCCAGAGAAGAATTCAGAGACTTTCTCTGGTACAGCTCTTTCTCCCGTGCAAGCTGCTATGCTTCCCTCAGAATGAACGAATTAGAGCTTCAAGGACCGACACATTAATAGGCATTTAGGGGAGTTCTTTATTGGTTTTCGTGGTGAACGGTTCGATGTAAGGCGAACATATATAAGCATCTACAAATAATGGTTAGACGACGTACAGCACGGATGGAAGGCTACGATGGGACACCCTGACATGCTTGAGATGAGAGAAGCCTTTTTCTAGAATTGGCACTGGTGCCAAATGAAGGAAGCAACGTAATTGAATCAGCGTGTCGCCCTCATCCCGTCCAATAGTCATTGCCCCCTTCTACACTTAGCACCTCTTTCCCTTGATTGAATCCACCCTTCCGGGGACGTTGGCACGCCAAGTTGCTTTCCTCACGTGTCCATCCTTGAGTTTGCTCACGGACTTCTGTCATTCCAGGAGCAATTTTCAGTGGGTATAGATGAGAATAGGTTTGGGTTCCCCAAACTCCCACATGGGTGATATCGGGTTTAGCTGGGAATGGGAATGCCTCGAAGGAGGTCGCAGTCTTGTAGAGGGATGGATCGATGCAACTTCTCCTTGCGCCGCTCATGGGGCTGTCTCCAATCGATCCTGGCTCTTGCACAGGGTCTTGCAGCTTCAGCTCTTTCCTTTCTTCCTTCCTTCCTTCCTTCCTTCCTTCCTGTTTCTTATACTCTATCCCTTGGTTCCTCCTCCTCCTCTTCAGCGAATGATGGTAATACGTTTTCCCCAGCACCGACGTGTTTTGCATCTGGAACTCATGACTCTTGCACATGGAAATCCTGTATTTCCAGCTGCCTTCACCATTATATCAAACCACCGATTTGAATGCGGGGCATGAAAGTTGTCCCATTTTGTAGAATTTACCGTTCGAATAGAAACCGAGAGAGTCCTCTGCAAGTTCTGATCGCTTTCTGCGGATTACTTTGCTGTCGCCCTATTCGACTGCAGTTAATTTTTACTCCCAAAACGCAGTGAAAGAGGGATGCTGATAATCCCATCATCGATATTTTGTTGTAATTCACCCCAAGCGATTGATCAGGTATAGCTATATTATAGAGAGGTGCTTAAAGTGGCGCTGACGCATTTTTTTTTTTTTTACCTGATTGAGATCCATCAGAAACGGGTTTGTCAGAGAGGCTAGACTTCCTTCATCTATGTTCAGAAAGCCTGCTCTGGGTTTAAGCCGGTATCATGAGCGTTCCAGTTCTCCCGAGCCAGTTCTGTTAGCTCGTAAATATCCGGGTGACACCAGAGGTTTCTTTATTATTGTTCCTCCCCGTCGAACCCAGTAAATAATAGAATTTTAAGACTTGCCTTCATCGCTAAAGTTATCGCGAATCATGACTTGTCCTCCATCGTTGAATTTCATCCAGCGTGACGGTTAGACTGGAAATCATGGACTTCTAATTGAGAATAGTAGCAGCATGAAAACTTGTGAATGAAAAGTCGGACTGCATCTAATAAGCTGTCAATTTCCTGCAGTGCTAGCAACTAGCATGAATCAACAGAAGAAGTCTGCTGGTAGATTTTCATGGCATCAATTAAAAAGGTCACAGGAACAAGTCTTTGTGAAAATGGCAGAAGTTTGTCAAAGTATAGTCATGGATTGCCAGCTATTTCCAACTGATGAATGTACCTGCTAGTCATTGATTGGATTTGCAGTAGTGAAATCTTAAAAATCCTCTCATCCATCAAAGAGCTTACAACATTCATCTCAGATAAAATTTTCAACTACATATATGCCTTCTCAAAATGTGCCTCTCTCTCTTCCTCAATTGTGGAAAAAAAAATCCTAATTGGTTTATTGTGTAGTTTGAGTCAATATGTGAGGCATTTCATTGTGTAATGAACTGAATCATGTCTACAAATAACATAGGTGGTTGATAGATTGTTAGAGAGGATAGTAAATATGGACTCATGAAATGTCTATTATGAATGCATGCAAGTTTCAAAGGTTACCAGGGTTGTATTTCCAAGGGCTTTCAACTTGACAAGTTGAGAGATTCAGGAAAGGAATTGAGGTTGAAAGAAGTATGATGCATATCTAATCTCATCAAGTTCTTAACATAATGTAAGGGATGGTGCCTCATTAGTGCCTCTTGAGAGTCACCATAATTGCCTCAGTGAGCCTGAAATGAATATATAATATGCCAGTGTGCATTGTGAAATCCATACCATTATTAGTACTGGTTTTACTACTGGAGTACCATTTCTCTTTGGTATTCCTATGCATTGAGTCATCAGGAAATGGTGAATCTGTCTTATACATCCCAACATGGTAACTCAGAAAAGCAGTGCATCATCTTTCTTGTGGCAGGAGGTAGTCAACCTCGGCAATCAATCCTTGTCAAGCATGAGGAGAATAGCCATAGTAACTTGGGGGGACAGGGTAACAGTATGGAGCGCACTGATAGCAGTGGGATTATGCATTGCATATTATGCCATGCATTACCTCCAAATTAGCAAAATGCATAAGAATGCAAATGAAACCAGTTGTTTCAAAGTTAAATGATGTGGATGTGATATGATGCAACATGAACAAGACATGAGTAGCTCTTGAGAAAATGGCCTCAAAAGTCTTGAAAAGGAAACAAGCAGTGTTTCTTCCCTATTTACAATGTGTCATGTAACCATAGTGTCCTGAGATCTACATCTTTGCATTCTTCTGTTGTTTTCTGCACAATCTTCTTAATGCTCTGATGATTGATAGAGGAGAGTGGGGCACCATGGATCAGGCTGTTCATAGCTCTCTCAGCTGTTTCTCTTCATGTTGTATGCTACATATCTTCCTGCTGAGGTTCCAGGAAAGTGTAGTTGAAAAAAATGTAGTCCCCACCCAAAGTGCAAATTGTGTGGACGTTTTTCTGTAGAAGACACATTTTTCATTTTTGTTGGCAGTAATGTCTTGATTTTTGCTAATTATTTCATTTGATGATTGGTCTTGATTCTTGCTGGAATTTGATTCAGGAGATAGGTAGTTCAATGTATGAGCTGCAATCTCAACTTACCCTGGTTGAAATATTGATTTCACTTCAATGGCTCCTGTTGGGGCATGATGAGTCACTCAATTTTTGGCATAAAATAGTCATAACTCAGTGTGCCAAATGTTCTCTGATAGTTGGCAATACAGATCAGGATTTCCTTTGCAGTCTTTTTCCTATCTAATAAAGTGCAAATAGAAGTGGAAGACTCTGTTGGGTTCAACACCAGCAGATGTGAAATTCTTGGATGTGAAACAAATCTTATACTATTTTCCTATTAAGGTTCTTAATTTTTCTAAACAACTTTGGTGGAGTGTGTTAGTGTTCAAGAGCTTCTCCTCCTGGGGTATGAAGGCTTCTTTGTGTGATTACTTTGGGTCAAATGAAGTACATTTTAGTGATGATTATGGGATGACCCATCGTACCCCTGACACTGACCCATGGTCCCCCATTTTAAAATACAACTTCATCCCATGACACTTGTATGTTAATAAATTTGAAACACTGAATTTTGTAGGTGTTTTGAGTATTTACATGCGGGGCCTTCCATTGCGTCAGGAGTAAAAATGTGTAAGTTGCAGGCCCACAAAAAAAGTGACCCATGGTGCCCCACCCTTCCTTACTTGCACACTTTAATCTAGTAAAGACATGCTTGCATACAGTATTGATCCACTGAATAGTCTCATTCAAAAGATTACTCTTATCTGGGTGGAGAATATGCATAGTGTTTTGTGGGAGTACATGTCAGTTGTGATGAATTGTTTTTCATGCATTCTTGTAAAATTTCAACCAACTGGGAAAAAGATTTCATTTTATTTTTTAAAGCTATTTTTCCTTTCCTCCAGAAAAAATTAAGTTTATTGGCATCAGAAGAGCCCTGGTGCTGGCTTTAAAAACTATGGATCTCATCATTGCCTTAGAGTCATGATTGAGCAGCATGAGAGTTACATGTGACACAAACCCTGGCTGAGAGCCTCTAATGAGGAACTGATCCAAGCATTCATTTATTCTTATCTGTACTACTGACTGTATGTTTCAGGACAGCAGCATTTGTGGTGTTCAGCTTCATCTATGCAAAGCTCCTGGTAGCTGTGTGTGTGTGCTTCCTTGTGGCTGAAGTGTCAACTCACCAAGTCCCTCTCTTCTTCTTTGAGGTTTGATCTTGTTGCTCAATTGCTTACTCTGAATTTTTGTAGATCCTAGGCACTCTTCACACCTACAGATTCTTTCCTCTCTTCCAGGGCTACTTTCTATATCTGTATGGGGTGAGCATTCTGTTCCTGCTCTATGTGTTCTGCTATTTACTTCGGGATGGAACACGCTCAAGAACGAAACGTACAAGAAAGGTTGCTTCTGGTTCCAAGCTCAAGGTCAACAACTTGTTTCAGGTAAGAATAAAAAATAGTAATTGACTTTAGTATCACTTCCTATTAGCTGATGGCACAAATTCATCATCCAGTTGTGACAATTTCAGTGGGATTCATCCATTTTGTGGCCATAACATTTGCAGGTTCATTTATTGAGGATGTCATATTTCACCACCATTCTCTATTTTAAATGGAATTTTCTAGCCAACAGGTATTGCTTGGTTATAGGGTAGAGAAGTTAACTGATGTCCTTCTGGCCCCACAAAAATAGAAAGCACGAAAATCAGATTTCAAAATGAGGTGCTACTTTGCCTCTTTTGGGGTACTCATTTTCAGAATTTTTAAGAATCAGAAATGTTAATGGTTAAAGCATTCCAGATTATTCCAGTTTCACACAATATTGATTATTGAAGAAAATGAAGCTTCCATGATCATGAAGTATGGAAGTGTGAAAGTGAGTATGAGTAGATGAACTTGACTGAGAAGTGTAGCAGAATATAGCATTTCTTAAACAACAGACTGCTGTACCTAATCTGTGTTTATATTGGGTGTATGCTGCAATGAAGTTTCAACATACAGGGTGGGCCAAAAAAAAACGCACCAAATTTGAAGCTTAATAACTTTGACCCCGTTGGGCCAATATCAGTTTTTAAAACAGCAAAATGAAGCTTGTTCAATTTTCTTTCGAATGATATATAATTTTGGGGGGTTTGCTTCAGAGAAATGGCTGTTATTACAGTTTAAAAAAAAAAGTGATGAAAAATTTTCCTGAAAACAGCTTTCCTGAGTTCTTTCCAATGTTGCGCTGCTGCTGTCACCTGTTTCTCCCTCGCACCCATGCATGATATGGATTGGTTGATGAGAGATCATGCGATCATGAGGCAAGTAACATGAGGCTCTTGTAGATTGTGGAGGAGGACATATTGAGCCATTTTTGGGTCATTATAAAGGCGATGTGAGTGATAAATTCGAGGTTGAGGAAAAGGAACTTGGAGGTAAAGCCCATTTTCAGGAAATTTCTTCGTCACTTTTTTTTAAAACTGTAATAACGGCCATTTCTCTGAAGCAAACCCCCCAAATTATATATCATTCGAAAGAAAATTGTACAAGCTACATTTTGCTTTTTTAAAAATTGATATTGCCCCAAGTTATTAAACTTCAAGTTTGGGGTGGTTTTTTTTTGCCCTACCCTGTATATTCCATTGAAAACTTATATTTTACAGCATTCCCATAGAAAATAAAATAGTTTAATCTGTTAGTAGTTGGTATTACTTGTGGCCAAGAATTGATCAGTGCAGACTGTGGATGTGCAAATATTCTGGTCATTACTTCCTTTGATTCCAAGAATACAAAAAAAAAGAAGAGGCTGTTAACCATTTCTGTTCTATATGGCATTGGTAAAAGATGATTAGAAGATTTAGGTTGAACTCAACTCCCCTTTACTCTTGAAATCCCTTGTATGTAGTATATGAAGCTCTGGATAAGCCCATTTATGGAGAATTTAAAATGAATTTCAGAAAGGCTCTAGAAATTTACAACTGTTTTTTTTATTATAGTTTAATTCATTTTATTTATTGAAGATTAGTGTTAAAAGCTATTGGACAAAGGAATTTAAAGTAAGCCTGTGACTTGAAGAGACTTGGGCTATTCTGCTCTTTTTTTTCTTGTGATTTCTATGTGAGTTTTTGAGGATTCACAGAAGCTACTTCTCTTGACTTGGTACAATTTTATACAAGTAGGTTGTATATTGTAAGTTGTATATCTTGTTGTAGATTGATATAATCAAATTGAAGGGATGGAATAGATCTATTTTGCTCAGTTCCAAATAAGGGAAAATCAAGTATTGATGCATAGAATTATATCAATTCTTGATTTCCCACAAAACAAAGACAAAGTCCTGTGTGAAAAGTGAAGGAATGGAAGTTTTTGTATTGAAAGAGATGTAAAAACCATTTGGTACTTATATATTGCAGACACAGAAGAATCTATTATATACCAATTTTACAAACTCATGTCACATCATTGGTAGGTGAGGGTAATTGCTTCAACCTGTGAATGAGAGATTTGGTTCTGTGTCTTATCAGAACAGCTGAATATTTGGTATAATTCTCTCACTTTCTTTGCTCACCAGTATGAATCATTGTTGAAAGTGGTGCATTGGATTTGGCTTGAGAAGTTAGAGCCTTTCAGAGATAGCATTTTGGACTTAGTTGCTAAGTCCTAACTAAGACCTGATTAGGTCTCTCATGATTGATCATGTATGTACAAACAAGGTTGTTTTCTGCTGTGAAGTCTCTCACTAAAAAATACTCATCATCATCACTTAAAGTTAGGACAATATCATAACTGTAATTCATGCCCATGCTTGGATGTAATCCTGAGAAACTGCTCTTTTAGTGCAAGATATTGAATTCACTTACCCATTACCTTTCTGATTTTTCTCTGTAGAAACGTAACATTTTCGCTCTCTTTTTCTCTTTCTGTTTTGAAACTCCACAAAGTGTTTCAAGTAAAACCAGATCAGTCTATGTACCGTTTGATGGTTTGACCATGTCATGAAGCATCCCAATTTCTCCTGGCTCTCTATTTTGCTAGTAATATGGCTTATAAGCTTTGCAGTAGATCTAGTTTACCTTCATCGTATTTTGGGAACAATTTTCCAGTTTCCAAACTACATTGATAAATTGGTTTGGAATATTGTAATTCCCTTGTGTATCTCTTGATACTCAGGAAATCCTATTCAGGTTTCAAGTTTCAACATATCCCCTTCAGAAGTAAAGTACTTTTACTTTTCACAGTCCTTGGAGTTTTCACTCGTGACTAACCCTTTCACCGCCAAGTTATATTTGGGACTGCTGCTAAGAGCGATGATGGAAAATGAGTGTACTCGGGAGCAGCAGTGAAAGGGTTAAAACACATACCCAGTGGAAGATGAGCATTATTAAATGCCATGATTTTGGGTTCTAGCTAATAAGAATCTGAGAAATTGCAAATGGTGACTGATATTGCTCCTCCATTGCAGTTTTCTCAGCATCACTGGAGTGGACTATTGCTTCTTTTTATGCTGATCTCCCTAAGCAGTCTGTCTGCTTGTTATGCTTGAAAGTCTCTGGTCAATTTTGCAAATATGGCTCAGAATTGGGAGCAATTTAGCTGAGTGTATTAGGGTGTGGTTCTTGCCCTACATGATACATGTTGGCTGAGCCCCTAGCCTGGATTAGATTATCAAAATCACTTTGTAGTAACATTTGGCCACTTTGGGAAATTGAAAAGTGACATGTTTGCACTTTATTTCTTATTTTTGCCATGGCTTGCTGCATACCAGGTTCTATAATGCCTTCACTATGGAATGAGAGTTGATTTTCAAGGCAATATACTGCTGATGAGTGGTGTTGCCATTGCCTCACCCATCTCCATCTTTGTAACAACCAGTTCAGTGGTGTCCACTGGGGGTGCATACTCTTGGTGTTCTTACCACTTGGGGAGGAAAGCACCTGTCCTCCAGTCAAGATGTTCACTCAATTAACCCTTTCAATGCAGAGGTTTTTTTTTGAGGCTGTGCTCCCTATGCAAGTATATTTCAGGATTTTGTGTGTCTTAAGAGAGATGGTACTAATTAGGATTGTGCATATTCCCCTTAGTAATGAAGTAATGAAGTGATGTCAGATGAATGCCTGATTGACTAGATGTACTAACTGCACTATGCACTAAGAATGGTACGTACTTGGAGTGGCAGATGTGCATGCACATCAATAGCATTGAAAGGGTTAAACATAGAAGGACATTGCCCATTATTCTGTATCATTGTTGTGCCACAATGCTTGACGCTTAATATCACTCAAAGTTGAAAAGAACAGCCTCAGAATAGCCCCAAAGGTGTGGCATGTCAATGGGGACATGATGTGACTTGAGTTTGCTATGATGGTATATTTGGAGGCACATTCCCAGAATATTGGAAGGCTTGGAAGTCTTGCCCTTGAAGTACCCAGAATTTGTGAAACTTTTAATCATTATTTAAGGAGTGGACTGAAGTTCAGCCACCAACTGACGTAAACGTAAACTGCATGGCCTATTGATGATTTTTGGGAGGAATCAGAATCCTCCATCTCAGCTGGCTTGTGCATGATACTCTGATTTTTTTTTGTCTGGATTATCTTTTTTTTTTTAAATCTGGTACTGATATCATGTTGGTCACACGAGCACATCACATGATGTTTTAGTGATGATTTACATTTGCATTTTGTTTCTTGTCACCTTCCACTTCTCTGACATTGTATGCCTTCTGCTTCCACTTGTGGCTTCTTCCTGTTTTTCTCTTCAGACAAGCCAAAGTGGAACATACAATGTTTCCGAGTACAACAAAGAAATTGAAGAGGTAAGCACTTCTCATTACTTTCATGCATCAGTTGTACTGTACCTACTCTTTTGTGCTTGTTCTGCTAACTTTCAATTGATGTACTTTCTGGTCTTGACTTATCCTATATGCATGATATCTGCATACTGACATATGATTGACCATCCTTTTTTTTATCCTTAGGTATATATGAATTGATATATTTTCTGGTGCATGAAATTACAAGTTCTATAAAATAATGTTCAATTAAACCCAACATATCAATGTGTTCTCCTAAAATGACAACTGAGGCAGGAAAGGATAGCTCAAAATACATGAGGGGGGTTGTATTGACTGGATGTTTGAGACAACCCACCTAATTACTATAACCTTCTCACTGATCACTGTGTAAGAGTTTTCAAATGAACATTTTTCAACTGAATTTGGACTTTTACTCCACTTTCACCTTTTCAGAATAATTACCTATATTCAGTGCACACTACTTTCAGTGCTTAGGTAGTTTTTGAATTCCTTCATTCTTCAGAAGTAACTCAATAGTAATCCCAACTTCATATTGTCCCATGGGCAATCTGTGACCTTCAATGAGGATTTTACCCCATTCGTCTCAAAGTTCAGGCATAGCATCACCTGACTTCCAGCTCTTAGCAGTTTGTAGAGAATTTCTTGCATGGAAAGAAGTATAGGTCTAGGATTGATGTTGCTTTAGCCATAAGCCAGCCAGGAAAAGTTACTCCTGAAGCATAGTTTTCTGCTTAAGTTAAAAAACTAGTGGAAAGTTGAAAAAAGTGTGTATTGCTTAAAGTTAGTGATGCTCAAAAGGTGGAAGTGGAGTAAAAGTTCAAAGTTGAATGTCAGATGTTTTAGGAAGCCTTGGAAGTCCCTTCTTGAAAACATGGTGTTTAAAAACAAAACACTGACAAACCTTTCTTCTAGCATTGATGCTAAATTTTATTTCATCAGCCCAAGAAAAAAAACTTTATATGCAAATAGATGAAGGGAGGTTTGTAATGAATTTGAAGGAAATTGAACCATTGCATCTCATGTTGCAGTGGTTCAAGCTTGAAGGATAAGAAATGCACCTGACACCTCTGATGCTGTGTCTGCTTCAGCTGGCACAGTGATCTCTTGAAGATGTGGGAGCAGTTATTCTAAGCCTAGAGGATAATCTATGGAGCCACTGAATGCAAAGAGAGATATCTGGATCCATTGGTTTATCCAATTCAGCAGCCCATTAAATCTAAAAAGAATGACTTCAGATTAAAATTCTTTAAAAAAAGCAGTTACTGCAAGAGTGGAGTCACTTGGAGCGGAGCATTATCAATAAATCTGTAATGGCAACAGTAGCTGCATGGTTGCATTCTCAAGTGCAATCATGCAGCCACTGCAGGATGCACTGATGCAATAATGCAGGAGCCATTTGAGCATTAGCCATGATCAAAGGTATGATACCTTTCAAATTCAGCAAAGCCCTTCCATTTTCTATCCACATTTGATGTTCTAAGAAATATACTTTTGTTATCGAAAACAATTTAGCACATTTTTTTTTTAACACTGCATATTTATGCTGGAAGTATTGATTGCATGGTGTCTGAGAGATCTACAATTGGTATGGATGAAGAATGTGATAAGTTGCAGCTTGCCAGAAAGAAGCAAGGTTGGAACAATGCCTATCTAGAGTGCAGGATATAAAATGACTTTTTTCTTCCTTCTGACTGTTATTGCTTATTTTGATAAAAAGTTCCATGCTTTTGCATGCCTGAGAATCCTGTTGGGACTCATTTCTGGATGGATCAGTGTGACTAAAATTGAGTGGGATTAATTTTTATTTGGTAGTTTGAGACCTATTGGTGCCAAAGAAATATTCAAATGCCACATGCTATTTTGATTGCTTTTAAAGTGCCTTGTTGGGATTGCCTTTTTTTTATGAAGTAGCAGCTCTGATATGGGACTGCCTTCCCCATTTCATAAAATTATACATGAATTCAAAAGGTTGAAGCATGTGTAGACTAAGAAAGAGCAGCAAATCCTGCATGTTTGACTTGCATGAGCTATTTTATATGAAAGAAACATCAAGCCATCAATCATCATCCTGTGAAGTATGGAAGAGTTCTTGTTGCACTCAAATTCATTCTTAAACCATCTTTCTTATTCTTGATAACATTTCATCTACCTCTGTGCTTGGATTGTTGTTAATTCATTTATTTCGCCAATTTGCATCAGAAATGTGAAAATTACTTTGAAAAATGCCTATTGAATTTCACTGGAAGCTTCTAATTTGGGTAGATCTCACTAATTCTAACCATCTCCAATCACAATAGCATCTTATTGTGGATGCATACTTTTCTGATTCACCCCATATGCTGCATCTGCATGTTGTTGACAAGTTGATCATGCATGTCTATACTAGTTCTTTTCCTTAACATGATGCTCCTTAGGAGCACTTGATTGCTTTTATCTGCATTCATGATCCCTTTTTGCCTTTTCCAGTGAAAGTTACCATTTTGAATTTAGTCAAGCATGAAAATGCCTGTTATTTTGGATGTGACTGGTCATAAAGGTGTTCCATGACTGGAGTTGTTAGCAGGCATAGAATAAGTAATTTGCTCTTGGACTTGCCTTCATTATGTTTCTCACATTAAACAGAGAACTGTTTGGTGGTGATTCTGAGTGCATCTGATTGAAGTATAGGTAGAGGAAGGGGATTGAGCATAAGAGACAGACATGCCTTCAGATAGAATTCATATACCAATAAAGGCCAAAGATGGTCCTATCCCTCTTTTTTTTTGTTTCTGTGGACGTTTTTCCATTTTTAGATTTCAAGAATGATTCACCATGTCTTTATACCACAGGAACCAAATTCATAACATGGAGTTCACATGAGGCAGTTAAACATGCTTTAAAAAAAAAGTAAAATTTAAGATAGGTGGAAAATTGGAGCAATATTACAATGTTATGAATGTTATGGACAATGTTATGAATTTCAGATTTTTAGCTTTATTTTACTGTTTTGAAAGTATTAACATCAAGTATCTTTTCACTATCACTAACTTACTGCCATAGAATAATTGGCATTTTCTAAGCATTGAAGATTGATGTACTACATGCTTGTTACAGTATAGAAATTACTTAGCTAAAAATAAAAATAAATTGATGCTGTAGATTGATGGAAAAACTTATTGTGGGCTTCTTGATTGATTAGTTGATTCTTCAAGTGATTATTTAAGCCAATTTTTTCTGTGATATTTTAATGGATTTCCTTGCTATATTTACTTCTGAGTCTCCCAAAGGAAGCTATAAAAGTCAAAAGAGGGGAATGAAGTATTATTTGGTGCTACACCTTCTGCAAGGTGCTGGGTTATTCATTCTTAATGGAATGATGTGATGGAAGTGTTGCAGATATTGCCATATCACCTGATTCTGCCTTGCTTCATTATTCAACTTCATTTTTTGACATTTATTACAACTCATACATATCAGCAACAAATGCAAAATATGTACCTTACATATGCAGGTTTCAGTATTCAATTGATTAAGGAATCATAATGACAATCCGTCAAAAATTGCATTGAGATGTATGATATGGCTAGACCTTTCCTTTTAATAAAGCAGCACTTGGTAGAGTATTTGGGAATGACAGGAGACAGAGAAAACTCCCAATAAAATTTTCCCATTACAATGGAGATATTGTATGCCACATTAGCTTTTAAAGAAAATTCACTGGTGGATCCATCAAAGCATTATCTTCCAGTAGAGAGTGACACTTTCACTCACTTATGTGTCTCATCCAAATTTTCTCATCATTTGTTCCTTGCAAGCCATGTATGCCATATTAGAAGTAGTTATTTAGTGACTGATTCTAATCAGGAACTTCCGAATTATCAAAGAGAATTTGTTGAACATCCAAATTATGGAGAGTAACACAATTCTATTGATTAAAGAAGGGAATGATTTATCAGGATCTAATCTCGAATGCTTTCATATTGCTTGCAGTCAGCATTGCAGCGGGTTTCTGGAAGAGGAGAGGCAGAACCAGAAGGTGAAAGTGCTTCTCAGGCCTTGACTGGAAACAAAGAAGCAGAGGAAGAGCTTGAACGAGCAATCAAAGTGAAAACCACTGAAAACAACCTTCATGGTAGCTTTTTCCTGCGCATTGGAGCTCTTGGTGAGTTGATCTCATTCTTTAAAATGAAATATGAAATAAAATCTTCAATCAGGACCTTGGCATATAAAAAAATATATTAGCTTTCTTTTAGTCACATTTACTACTTTATACCTTGAGCTTTTCTGCTTTACTTTTGTACCCCCATAAGAGTTGAAAATGGGATAAGAAATGTTTTTATTGTGCTGTCAATAATGATTGAAATATTATCTCTTTCAGCCTTTGGGCTTGGGACAATGATATATTGTGGGCTGGAATTTGGGGGATTTTGGGAGATCCCATGGAACTCACCTTGTCATGAACTCATCAATGGCTTGAATCCCTGCTTCCAAATGGTGTTTACCTTCATGCAGATGTATTTCATCTTCATGAATGCCAAGGTGAGATTTTAACAATTCTTTTACACTGCATATCAATTGAGGTGGGTTTTTTGTATTTTTGGTTGTATTTGAATAATTCTGCTGTTACCTGTTTAAAAAAAAAATTTCTGACTTTTTTCTTGAGTATTTGTTGATTTTCTGTAGAATTATGAATAATAAGTTGAAATGAATTGCCTGTCACTTATTTCACAACAAAAAAATTCATCCAAGTTACTTTTAAACAAGAAAGTATTAAATATTCACTTCAATTGATGCATAATGTTTTATAACGTAGCTTGAAAAAGGGTATCAGGTTCAAGCAACTTTCAAGTCAGCTTTTATCAGGTTTTACCAGTCATTGATACTTTTTTTTTAATGAATTAAAGGTTGGAATCCCATCTAATAATTTCTTGCCCCTAGCAATATTATGTCTATTCATTGTGGGCTTAGAGCATTTTTTTTCTTCAGAGAGTGCTGGATTCCTGTGTAGTCTAATTGAATAATATATAGACACAATGACATACTCAACAACAGTAGTTCTAAAATGTATAGTCACTAATGTGAAGTATAAATTGGGTTATTTACTAGTAAATTGTAAGACTTAATCCTTACCAATGGGCATGAAATGATATGGGACATTGGTGTCCCATGTACTCAGGTGGCTTTAGGTGGTATGCTTCATTGAGAAGCTGAAGCAGATCTTTGTAGCATGTTGCTATGGCTACAAAGAGTTTTTTGTGCTCTCAGTTATATGAGGTGTGATCTCAGCACAAGTGGCAAGTGGATCGGCCCTCTGACATTGAGGACCTGCTTATTGCTAGTTGTGATTGTAGATCTAAATATTGCTTTAGTCTTGTAAAACGTCAAAATAGGCAGTATTGCAAATAAGTCATTGGCAGACTGAACAATTTTTCTCCTGTTGTAATAGGTTTATGCAGGGTAAGAACACTACATTAAATTACACATTCATAGTCACTAAGGAGAAGGAGCATAAAGAGATTCATATATTCAAGAGTGGACTTGTGTAATTGGTAGTTTTCATGATGTTGCAGCTGAACATTCACAAATTCAAGATTGTGGCACGATTTGGATTGATGCATGTAATTGGGACTAACATCTGTGTTTGGCTGAGAACACTGTTCCGAGAAGGGCTGCGTGATGTCACTGGCCACAATACTGACAAAGGCATTGGACCCTCTGAAGACCAGATGATTCTTGGTCAGTATTTTCCATGATTGCAACCTGAAGCATGTCAGCCCAGAACTAGCTGAATCAATTCATTTCCTGTGGCTTTCCTTGTGCTTGCAGTTGGTGGAAATAGAAGCATGGAGGTACTGATGGAGACAAATGCATCATGTGCAAGGAATAACATTGTGGGAAACATCCGCTCTGACTCTGCACCTTTTCTTTATGTGTTCCCTGTGGAATACAGTCTCATTGGCATTGCAATCCTTTTCATCATGTGGAGGCACATTGGACCTTCCAAGGCCAGGTCAGAAGGCCTGTATGTTTTCTTCCCGTTTTTGTTTTTATCTGGACTCAGATAATATTGCATGACTGAGACAGAGTTTTCATTATTTTTCTTGCTCTCTTGAATGCTCATGACACTTCCTGTGCAGGTCAACAGATGATGACTGGAGTCGAGAGAAGAGGAGAATGGTGGGTCGCGTGGATTGTGTAGGGGCTTCATATGGACTCTTCCTTGGACTCCTCTTCTTGGTTGGATGCGCTATCTGCCTTATCCTGTTCTTTGTGCTCATTGAAAAAGTTGAACACCACAGGCTGGCGATATTCTTGGCTGATGTCTCGCATTCAGCCATCATCTTCTTGGCACTCTTTGCAGCTCTCATTGGCTTCTGCCGGTCAGAGAAATGAGTCACAATGCTGCAGTGTGATTAATTTCTTTTTTACTTGCATGAGTTTCTTTTGGGGTATAGAGTGAAGCACCTGAAGTTCCAGGCTGACAGAGATGATCTTCTGAATGAGATTCTTCTGAGGCTGTCTGGATTTGGAATTCTCCTTTATGCTGTTCTCACCATCATTGCAGGCGTCTTTAGCATCATGGACAAGGAACCTCATCTTCTTGTCACAATAACTGGAGTTCTCACAGTGTTACAGGTCAGTCAAGCAGTCTTCTGGAACCATATCTTATGGAGTCTCAACATTGATATTTCACTGGTACAGAGCTGGATGCATCTGCATGATACTTCTGAATTTGTATGACATTTGTGTAACTGCCACCCTTTGGAACACTGTAGCATTAGCCATGATTTGTTTAGAAAGGTTTTTGTTCTAAATATGTGGACTGCCAGGATCTCTGACACATTTGGTTCCATCAGTCACAAGTGACTGATGGAGCTATATCAATGTCAATACATTAAATGAGTTTTGGTTTGAATTTGAAGTGCTTGAAGAAAAATGTTTTGCTTTTCAATTTGTAAAAACATATTGCATTTGATTGCAAAGAATATTTTGTTGAATCTGTGTACCGTTATATTCAATATTGTAAAGTATGAAGCTATGTGAAATGAATTTTTCCATAAATATTTTGCTTCCTTTTGATTGTAAAATGGGCTCCATTTGCAAAAAATATATGGGTTCTCACACCATGGTCCTTTAATTACTGAAGGAAGATCTGAAGCTTACTCCTTGATTTTCAATAGGTGATAGTGCAGATCCTGTTCTTGGCGGATGTGGGTAAACGGAGCATTAATTCTCCAGAGCATGAAGCCAGTCGACCTGGAAGGCAGCTCATCACATTCCTGCTTATTTGCAACCTTGCTATGTGGGCTCTTCTCACTTTTGAGATGCAAAAAGTTGAAGCCAACCCTGTTCAGGTATGCAAGGCTTTACTATTCCTTAAAGAAAATTAGCAAGTTTATTACTAGGAAATTAAAGTACTATACTGCTTCAGCACATTTGTTACCAAGTGTAGCATGAAAACATGCTGGATGTCAAGAACACCTCACATTCAGTAGCAAATGTGTGAACTTCCTTTTTGCAAAAAACCTTTTTTTTTTTTTTAAAGTAAAGTTAAATTGTAAATTGTGAACTTAAGACCTATATTCATGAGACCCATGAATAGAACTCGTACATCATGTATTGCCTAGTTTAAATTGGCGGTAAGGTGATCATCATTCTAATAGACCTCTGTACCTGACATGCATTAGACATTGATATGTGGGTACTTGGTATTCTAGTTGAACTTCTATGGCTATGTCCCCTGGAATATCTTGTTGAAGATCACTCTCCCTCTGAGTATCTTCCATCGATTCCAAGCCACTGTCATGTATGCTGATGTGTGGAAGAATGCCTACAGGCTTCGTATCGAGTGACTCCCTTGCTCCATGTTGCAAATGCAGGGAATCTCATCATGACTTCGTGATTGTGGACTTGTGTGATGTGCCAGCCCTGATCTTACTGCCATCGTGTTTGCCAAGGGATACAAGTACAAAATTGTCTCAGTCTAATGTTATTATTGTTGTCATTCTCCTTGTATTTTGCTTCTTATGACTTTTTTTCTTGGTTGATGTTCCATGACTACTGCCCAGAGTCTTCTGCTCATGACAGTGGGAAACAAAATAACTATCTTTTGACTTCCATTGCAGTTGTCTTGATAGAACATGCATGTCAGTAGCTTTCAGTAGCAGACATAACTGCTCAAGAACTTCTTCCAAGAATATTATTGACATTTAGCGGTGTAGAGAAAACAATGGGAACAGACATGCTCAGATGATTCTCATGACTTCAATGCAAAACTATATTTTGCTCATTTGATACTTTGCTGACAGTTGGGAACAGTGATTGAAGGGTATCAGATTTTTTGCTCATATCTACTTGCCTTTTATATTGCTCCCATTTCATAATTTTTTTTCTGTTGACATTTTGAGGAAACCAAAGATTCAGATATTTTTATGTGCTGCTCATCTCATGTTATGTGTGATGTTACTGCAAACAATCATTAATACCCACTAATACCATAGCTCTGGATCTGTAGGATCAGGCAGTATACAAACTGACAGTTGACTTAATCTGAAGTTTCATCCTCATTTGGTCTTACCTGCCTGCATCCACTAAGCAAGAGTCCATAGGGGCTACTCATAAAGATGTCATAGAGCTTCTTTCAAAATTTTTGTTTTCCTCCCTGATTTAGAGGTAATAGTTATATATGCTCTCATGGAAGTCTAAGTCAGATCTCAAACTACCAGAAGGATTGGGAGGTTTCTTCATCCATCTTTAAATGAAGCATGGGATAACCATGATTTATGTGATTATGGGAAACTAGAGATGAGAGGGAGGAGATTTTGCTTAATAGTAAGCTACCCATTTGGCTCCACCTTCTTTTGTGGGCTGTTGTGTGTTGATGTCTCTTGGATGGTTGGGCATTAGGACTTTGATGCTGAATGCAGCTAGTACTTGCAGTTTATTGAATTCATACCATGTTGACAGATCCATCTGTAAGCCATGAAACATCTGTGGCAATTATGTATGATGAAGTCATAGGATTCTTATCAAGACAAGCTGCAAGGTTGCTTCATTATGTCCATCACATAGCTGAAGAATTGCAACAAGTGAGTTGTATGTTCATGATGTGATCTTTGGAGCATTTCACATTTATATTCTTTTGCAGGAGTCATATGTTTTCAGGCTAATGACCTTTGCTTGTGAGAATTTGGTCAGTGACCTTTGTCCTTATTTCAGTGCATGGAGACTCATTCCCACAGGAAAGAATGAATGAATTTTTCAAGGCACGAAGTGACGTCAGGTTCTAGTCAGAATGAGGGGCTGTTCTTGAACTGTTTTAGATGTGTGAGTGATCTTCATTCCCTTGTCTTACCTGAGCACATTTGCTCCCAAATGATCTCACACTGAATTGGGATACTCTTGTATCATAGAGCCATGTGTGTGTCAAAAAAAACATTGCTGCAATGTATGTGTATTGAGAATGCCTGTGTCCAGCTTGACGCACTGTGTGTGTGTGTGAATGAGTGTGAATCCAGATGAGCTACCCACACTCATGAAGGCTGCATTCACACCTGTGACATTCAAGTCAGGTTGCATGCATTCATGCTGAGGTGTTTTCCGTACTCAAGTGGAATGAAGCATCTGGAGTACTGAAGTTTAAAAATTTGCTTTTTCTCTTCTGGCAGTTAGGTACATAGGACTCTTGCTCTCCATCTTCATGAGTGTGGTTCTTGCTGTCGTTTCCAAATGTTTCTTACATGAATAAAGAAACACCATGCACTAAGTCTTGATATCTTTTCACTAAGAGTTATGATGGTGAGTCAAGGGGACTACAGAAGGTTTTGCACTTTGCAGCAACTTGCAGGTGGTTTTTCTGGGTGTCACCTAGTGACTCTTAGGGTTCATAACTACTGTCTCTGAAGTGGCACTCAATGGTGATTATTAGGTGGCTAATACAAGGTAATCATGAATTTGATTGATCCCTAATTTTGTGGAGAAAAACTGTTAAACATGCCACTTTAACTAAGGCAGACAGGAATTCATATGTGCATTGAACAAAACATGCACCAATCAGTTATGGAAAATAAAAAGAGGGCAAAGTCATCAGTCTGGGAAGTCAGTGCACTTGAAGGTAAGACTATTTTTGCACTTTGCCTTTAGATCAGCAACAACAGTGCTGAAGGTAAAAAATAATTTATTCACAACTTACACTGGTCATTGAGATATAGATTCTGACATGGTGGCATCTGCCTTTTATTCACATGGTCAGTTCAATGATGAGTAGACACAAATAAGTCTGGTACATCCCAAGTGAGTGCCTCTTTGACCAAATTGCTATTGATGTCTTCAATGATAAAAGGTACTTAATAAATTTAACTTGTTTATTGGTGCTCATACATGGCACATCAGAAACTGCATTAAGTAATATCACTATAATTTTTTATTGCACAAAAAAGACCACCAATAATAGAAGAGATCAGGCTGACTCCCTTCTCTTGTTCAGATGATTCTTCAGGAAAAACTCTCCTGCCTTGTAGGAACTTCTTACCAATGGCCCACTGGCAGTGTAGAGGAAGCCCAGTTCGTTCCCAACCTCCTCCCAATGCTTAAACTTGGCAGGGGTGACATACTCTTTCACATGGAGGCGTCGCTTTGTGGGTTGCATGTATTGGCCAATGGTTAAGCAATCCACACCTACCTCCCTCAAGTCTGTGGAAGAATAATTGATGGTATGAAAATAAAAACACACTTGCTGAAAGCATTAATTAAACTCTTCCAGGACTGTCTCCCCCCCCCCCCCCCCCAAAAAAAAAAAAAAAAAAATAAATGGGCAGAAACTTNCTCTCCCAGGACTGCCCCCCCCCCCCCCCCCAAAAAAAAAAAAAAAAAACTAAATGGGCAGAAACTTTTCCCTACAGTTATCTTAAAATGTCAACTTCTCAAGCTGGTACTACATGTACATGCATGCTCATGACAACAGAAAAGTATCATGTGGAATCTCATGAAATGCTTCTATACCATTCTAATTTGGAAATGTGGCAAGTCTGCATTGTCTGTCATTGAAGGCAAACAAGTAGCAAGTAACATATGCCTGGGAACCTGGATATTTCTTGGAAATAATGGATATCAGAAATACAAGTATGTCCTAATGTGATATCTGCCCAAACATGAAACTATGAAGCAATGGTAACATCAATTCTCATGGCACTACAAAATCTTTGCTTGAGAAGTTACATACAGCAATTCCAACATAGAGTTTCTTCTTACTGTTGATTTTAGAACCATTTTATGAATTTAAAAAATGATATAATGGAAAATCCTGAGACAATTCCTACTTTATTATTCCTTTGCAGGCCTCCTAACCTTTCAAAGTCTGTAGAACTTGATCATCAGATTCTCCAAGACCAAGCATTACAGATGTCTTAGTGATCAGATCAGGCTGGAATTCCTTGGATGCTTTGAGAACAGAGAGGGACTGATGATAGTTGGCCCGAGGATCACGAACAAAAGCTTGCAAAGCTGCAACAGTCTCGATGTTGTGTGCAAACACATCCAATCCTGACAATGCAATTCGCTGAACTGAGTCCCTATTGCCTCGAAAGTCGGGGGTCAGACACTCGACCAAGATTGATGAGTTTCTGTCAGAAATACAAAAAACCCATACCAGAAATAAATGGCCATGTTCTTGAATCTGGAAAATTTTAATGATCCTTATTTGCTTGTTGGGCTACTAGAGGCAGTAGCATTGGGATTGGGTATTCTTAGTACAAAATTTATGCTGAAAGCCAAGTGTGATTTCAGGTTAAAGTGACTTGGGGCATAGAAAACTCAATTGAAAATTTAGAAAGAAAAACTAGTCTACATAAGCATGCTACTGCTACTATTGAGAGCCCATGAATACTTGAGTAAGCAAAAGAAGTTTCTCAATCTTTCACTGCTGTTCAGTGCAACGAACCTCCACTCCCATACCAGGCAAGGAGAGGTTGGCAGGGCATTTAAGTTCTTAGCAAAGAAAGGGTTAAAACCAATTTAGGCTCTACAATTGCTTGAGATTCTCATTTAAACAAGCATTTGGTGTCTAAAGCCCATATGAAATCAGGTCCAATTTTTACTAAAAATTGAGGACTTATCAGCAGTATATATACACCAATTATATAGTCACAAAGCTTATTGCTTTATCTCCTAGTACAACAGTACTGGTTAGGTTTCTTGTAGTAGCACTTTTTGCACAAGTATTCAGGTCTATATACTTGCATGAATGAAAACCTTGTTAGCTCCTCCCTATAAAACCTGGAGCTACCACTTCAAACATTTCTCAAGTTGCAAGTTATTCAGATTTTAATTAAACATTTAATTCATTGGTACCGATGAAATGGGATGCAGTCTCTCTCAGGAACTGAGTCCTTCACAGTAAAATTGCATAAAGAAGGTTTTGTACTGAGGAGAGCATCCTGGAATTGTCACTAATTCTAATATGGAGCATGAGGGTAGATGTGGTAGTCTACCTGGATTTGATCTCTTCTACTGTCCTTGCAAAGTGATCAGCACCTCCATCTGGTAAATCTGGAAAGATATTTTGAATTTTGAGCAAATTTCTTAAGACAGGGAGAGTGGCCAATCAAAGAAGCTAACCATCCCTATCAACAGATGTAAGCACCACATAATCCAGGTCCCAGGCATAAATCGCAGCTGCTGTATTGACAGGCTCTTCATTATTCAGAGGTGGGGGCTTACGGGAGGTTTTCACAGAACAGAAGCGGCAGCCACGAGTGCACTCATCACCCATGAGCTAAAATGGAATTCAATGGGTACAGCTGATAAGAAGTCACTTTTTTTGAGTGGCATGTATTGAGACATGTCGATCAGCACTCATATGACTCACCATGATGGTCGCTGTGGCAGTCTTTTTCTCTCCACCACCCCAACATTCTCCAATATTTGGACATTTGGCTTCCTCACATACTGTGTGCAGGTTCAGCCCTCGTAGAGATTCCTTGATTTTCTGGAAGTTCCTCCCTATGGGTATCTCAGTCTTCAGCCATGGGGGCAAGCGTAATCTCTCTTTATCTCCCTTTTGCTTCTTTAGCTTTCCTTGATACAAACTCCATGTTTCCCCAACGTCAACTTCTTTGTCAAGGAAATCCTGAAAGCTGGGGCCATCCTGGAGCCTTTTTGTGATCTCTTCCCTATGAGGCTTGTTGGTGCTTTTGAGATGGTGATGTGTGTGCAGGGAACTGCCGACGAACTGTTCAAATAGCAAAAATACATCGAAGAATGGGGAGGGTAGACAAATTAGAGTGACACAACAGAAAAGTACAGTTATTGATTCGGTATTCATGGCTGGCATTCAATGGGTGATCATCCACCTATTCCATGAAACAAAACTCACTGCAAATCCATCGTTCAAGTGCGCTGCAGGGATGAACTTCCCACCTCGACGTAAAATAGAATTGATGGGAGCGGACATGATTCTTGTCTGCACAAGATGGCTCCAGTCTCGGGCCACGTGGGAAATGGAGATTTCACAGATTTACAAGCGGTGATTGTAACTGATTCCTTTCGTGATGACTTTCCTCCGTTGAGTGCAAGTGGGCCGAAGGTGAGTAATTTGCATAGCAAGTCTCCAGGGTTTCGCTTGTGTTCTTCCAGCTTCTTGTAGCCCTCCCTTATTGCATGTGTGATGGTGCACTCAAGTGAGTCGCCTCACTGGACAAGAATTGAGGAGTTCTCTAGAAAAAGGGCTTATGTACGCAGGCAAAATTCGAGAAAAGCAAGAAAAATCCCCCCAAAACTCATGTGCAACCGACCTCAATCTAGTTTCCAGTGGTATCCTTGACTGGTCCTTGAACTTTAGGCTTGAAATAAATTTTTTGTTTCAGGTTTCCAGAATGCAGGCAGAAACTGTTTTTGAACATATGCCCTTTTTTCCATGTCCACGCGATCAGAAATTCCCCAGTTATGCTTTCAGTTGTCATTTTCAATTATAGAAACATTTGTCTCTGAATTAATCTCTAGAAAATCCCTTTTAAAAGAAAGATGATGAAATTCGGAGCATTTGGAAAGCTTTCATGACATTCTCAGACTTTCCCACATAGGCACCATCACTATTCCATTTTCTTTTCCATTCGACATCTTTCTATAAGCTTGTAAGACTAGTCCTTCCCCTTTCCTATACAAGAATACAAGCAACCATAATGAAACAGCTGGACACATTACTGCTATTTAGCAGGAGCATGAGAAAATTACTTCACCTTTGCTACAATTACATCTGAACCATATCAATGTCACTCTATCTTATTGCATGTGCCCTAATGCAGTGCATGAGCATGAATATGAAAAAAGGGCATATGGACACTTTTTGTCCTTTTTCCTGAAAACTCCTTAATTGGAACTTATTGTTCAATACTAATACTTACTTATGGTTGTCAGCAAAGCTTTCACCTCTCTCAAACCGAAGGCATTATTTAAAATGACTGAAAAGGCATCATATCTGTTGTAATTTTTATGAGCCTGCCCACTGCCATGCCTTGATCTACCTTCTGTCAGTCATCAGATATGCCATTTTTATTCTTTGGCTAGTTCCTAGGAGGATCAAAATATCAAACCACTGACGCTTTGGCACAAGGCTTAAGGAGCAGTTCATCAATGACATTCCTGCAAGAATTGCTCTCTGTATAGTTTGCCTATTGATAGTATAATCTCTTTGGGAATGGTTAATCAGAACTCCAATCCTGTGACAGTAAGGCTCACAGGACCTAACCAAAGATCATATCCTAAGGCCATTTGCCAACTATTCTGGATCTTGTAGGCTTGCCCATGTGACCAGCTACTTGTCATGAACTCACATTTTACCTGGCTATCATTAAAAATATCTAAACCATGCTTTACACATTTGATTTCCTACCTATGACTTCCTTCCTCCTAGGTGTTGTTTCCCATTATCAATACAGCACTGTTGGAATATCCACTACATCAAGCATCTCTGGCTGGAGTGAAGGAGTGCTTTGTATTCTGTCACTCTCATTCAGAGGCTATCAAAGAGTATCTCAGGTGAGTTATGCTTTAGACTAATTTAAAAACTGGATTCCTGTTACAGTTAATATTTCTTTGTGATAGAAGTTAACAAGAGGACATGTAGAACTAAAGTCAGACCAAAATCTAAACTTAAACTAGACCCAAACTGCAATAGAATCATTGCTTTGAAATCAATGGTGTTTTCCCAACCTTTCAGCTGGTGAAAGGTTGGGAAAATGTATTCTACTACTTTTACTGCCATCAGTATTAGACTAAATTAGAAAGGTCACAGGAGCTCAGCCTTTGTAGTAATTTACAACAAGATAGAGGAAGAAAATAAGTCCATAAACATAGCATCACTAGGCTGTTATCTCTTTGAATCACTGTGGATGAACCCTTCTCATATAAGGATTACAGCCAATTAAAAATTTCACTCTGTGATATATTACCAGTTTTTCAACAGAAGGGATGCATTTCATCTCTGGATAAAAATCTAAGCACCATTTTCAACTAATGCTTTATTAACTTCAGTTTGACATAAATGCATATTTTAATATATCCATGCTTTAGCAACATGCCAAAGTAGGTATCTTGCATGCTCATTGAGGCCTATGTATATGACCCAAATCAAGATGAGACAACTATTTAAAACTGAGGTTGACCTCTCACACACTGGATTGAAAAACCAAAATAAATTTTGTAAGTAGGCCTGGTTTTGTTGTAGTAGTCTGTGTTTTTTAGGAGTTATGTGACAGATGTAGTTGCTTTTATTTGAAGCTTCTTTCATCTGCCTAAAAGTTTCCAGGAATATGTTACTAATGGAGATGAAATGGTGTTTTTCCCCCCTAGATCCTCAAAATGGACTCGAAAGAGTAGTTCACTAGAAATCAAAGTGATTTGTTCAGAGGATGCTCGTTCAATGGGTGATGCATTTCGAGACTTGGATGCCAAGGCTCTGCTTCAGACCCACTTCATCATCTTGCCTGGGGATTTTGTCAGTAATGTCAATCTTCTACCCATTGTAGAGGAGCACAAGTTCGTTCTTACCTTTTATGTTCTGAGTTTCATTCAGTACAATTTATTTCTGTTGAGCCTTATCTTATTACCTATCTCAGGTCCATCTTCTGGAATTTTTTCCAGGGAGCGATGCAAGAAGGACAGGGGTGCTGTATTGACAGTTGTGTATCGAAAGGTTCCCCCTGGTCATCCTGCAAGAGGACGCGCCAATGAATATGTTGTAGCTCTTGATTCCATCTCCAAGAGAATCTTGTTTTGTGAGGAAGTGCAACATGAAAATCAGGTCCATCTCCCATTGGTGAGTTATATAGCCATTTTCCTTCTGTAATGTATCCCTGGCCTTCATTTATATAATTGCAGCAAGTCTGTCATTTAATGCTGAATATTTACCATTTTGTATTGCATTGGTGGACCTTTCCAATGGAAATGATTTAATAACCTTGGCCTGCTTACAGTAAAAAGGTCTTTATTTATAATCATGCTACCTTTTATAATTGGACATTTAATCAATCTTGAGAGTATCAAGAAAGTTATTGATATTTAATGAATAATTGGATCTTGTGATAGTAGATTTCATGCTTGTCAAAATTGTGATGAGTTCATTGATAAAGTATCAGTGACTAAATCTGATTTTATAGACTCTAAGCATTCCAATGGATTGAAAGGTAATCCCATAATTTGGAATGAAGGATTGACTCAGAAGGAGGAAGGCTCTCATATTTCATGTCATCATGTGTGAAAATTTCTATGAACTGGTAATGAGTTAAAGGAATGTAATTTAGGCAAAATTCATTTGACAGTGTGCAAAATGTACTCCAGAAAGCTCACTTTTTCTTGTGCTTACCTTTTTTTTCAGTTTCTTGTTTCATCTTCCTGTGCAGACTTTGTTGTCAACCTTTCATGTTGGGGGTTTTAAAATGTGTCCAATTTTGTACCTCAATGTACATGCAGAAAGGGGTAGGTAGGCCTTTGTATTTATAAATTGATCATGGTTGTGCCCCAGACAGATCTTTGCCTATACTTTCATTATCTTGAGCAATCACTTGCTGCCCTCATGCATGCACTCTAATTGCAAAATCCACTTCCTCATCACTTGGACATTATTGAAACAAGCACACATTTCCTTCTATATTGGGCCACTCTTGGCTTACCTTCCATTTAAAACCAATCTATCTAAGCCTACCCTTGCTGTGCAGGGTGAATTCCCATCCCCCTAACATTAATATAAAATTGGCCTAACGCAGACATAGTCTTCCCAAAACCTAAACATAGTTTTCCTTCACACAGGCCACAGACCCTCATTTAGGAAAGAAGCTGAAAGAGAAGAGAATCCATATAAAGAATTCCATCCCTCCCCTTGTCTTAAATATGCCACTTTGTGTTACCTTGGGGTACAAACAGTCCTGAGTTTTATCAAGACTCTACACTCTCATTTATCATTTTGCTATCATAGTCCATGGTTTTTCTGCATAAAGACTCTGACTTCTCTGTGTGAATTTCAGTCATTATTTGACTCCAGCACCAGCATCGACATCCACTATGACCTTGTGTCTCCTGGGATTTATATCTGCAGTCCTGCTATCCCACCTCTCTACTCAGACAACTTTGACTTCCAATGTCATGATGATCTCATGCATGGGCTTCTGGATAATGAGGAGATACTTGGCAATACCATGTATGGACATATCATTTCTGACCAGTATTGTGCTGCTGTGTCATCTCCCTTTGCATATGACTTCATTAGGTAAGAATGCCATCTTTCAAGCTAATTTTAATATAACATTCACTTAGACATTTAGACTTCTGCTGATTAAATTTTGTTTTTGCATTTTTTCAATGTATCTGAGTAAATAATGTATGGATGTCTGCTAAAGGCTACATTAACTTCTGAGGAAGTTCTTTGCTAAATCATACAAATTTCAGCCTGACTACAGAAGAATAAAGTCCAAGAATATTGGCATAAATTTAATTGTGATTCATTATGATTTGAGGTCTGCTGCCATCCATAATTCTGTTATGAGATGTAACTCATAATCTTCAGAAATTGAGGGAGTATTCAGTAAGTATTAAAAATAAAAAAAAGCCATCTGCAGCAGTGATTATTTCAAGGCTCCATTAGCATTTCTTAATCAATCATTTAAAGCCCTGTTCTTTCATAGGATATGACATAATAGATGTAACTAAAGTAGTCTTCTAGTCAGGAAGCACTTGCCACTAAAGGTGGCCTTTGCCATATGGTTTCCAAAAGGTAAAAGTTTTAGTGAATTCACTGAACTGTATGATGGCAATGAAATGTATTGCATGCACAGATAATTTATAGTGTTTTTTCATACCCTTATTTGTGTGAAGCTCAAGAGAGTCTGAGTTTCCTAGACCTTTTATGGTAGCAACTGACACAAGGTAGCTGCATCACCATTTGTCAATTGAGTTTAGGAAGAGTATAGATTCCATTATGTACTAAAAAGAGGAGCTATAGCTTTAACCCTTTCACCATGATGCCTGAGTATATTTGTTCACAGGAAATCATTCCACTAGTGTGACTTACTAGCATACTCATTTATAAAACTTCACATTCCCACTGCAGATTCCTATAATACTACACTTTCAATTATTCATATACTTTATCAACAAAAGTCATTGTAGCTTTATGAGAATGCTAAAAAAAAATGCTGGGGGGCTACTGTGCCATTTATCAGGTTGTAAAGGTGAAATTTAGACATTTCGATTTTTTCTAGAAAAATCTGGAAAATGTTTGAACTTTCTATGTAGGTGTATAAGTAGAGTGACCAGTGGGCATTGTGGGCGTGAGTGCTTATCGTGAACCTACAACAGATACATTGACGCAAGACTGCACTCTAGTCGTTGTTGAGTTAATTGTCAATAAATTGTTTTCTGGAAAATGTCTAAATTTCACCTATCGTGAACCTACAACAGATACATTGACGCAAGACTACACTCTAGTCGTTGTTGAGTTAATTGTCAATAAATTGTTTTCTGGAAAATGTCTAAATTTCACCTTTACAACCTGATAAAACTCTGATGAAAGGGTTAATAGGAAAGCAACAAAGTTGATACCAGGACCTAATACCATCTTTGTGGCTTTGTGTGATCAGATCTCTATTAGATCTGCTGAAATGTTGAACACTGTCCTGAATTGTGAGAGGGTATTGCATCAAAGGGCATTATTTGGGTGAGCCATTGGGAAGATCATATTACAGAGCCAGTTGAGTCTGAATGGGAACTTTGGTTAAGGGGATATAGCATCAAATTTACACAGTTGGCAGCCTGGTAATGTACTGATCTTGTGATTCTTCTCTGGGAAATGCAAATTGCTCTTCTGTCTTGGAGACTGGGGAAGTTTTGGGGATTTATTGCTACTACTATAGCTTTATTATATGCAATAGTGATGTTCCACACAGTTCCTTTCATATCCTTTCAGTCAAGACCTGATGAGGAGATGGGCTTATCCCTTGGTTCCAGAGTTAGATATTTCCTCAGAACGGAGAAGATATTCCCATGGAAGAGGAAATATATATAAGCATTTAGGACCCCTCTCTGTTGGAAAGTAAGTATCTTTTTCCTTGAAGCACCTTTGAAAAAGGTGTTCTGAGCACGAGGGGCATGCATCTGACATGGCTGGTTTCTCCTGATTCTCATTCACAGGACATGAAGGAATCTATGTAGAGCACATAGTGCAACAGTATGTAGTCAACAGGGCAGGCTCTAGCTATTTCATTGCCCTGTGCAAAGAGACTCCAAACCCCCCCCTCCCCCACCCCCAAGGAAAGGAGAAGGGTCAATCCCTAATGTCCAAAATGATGCCAAAACAGGAGGCATTTCCTCTTTCTAAAGTAAAACTGAGGGTGGCTTCTGGATTATTCCTTCATACATTCATTCATGTTTTGGTGCCCTGGTGAATTTGCACCTTGTGCTAGGGCATATGCCTAAGGCCAGCCCTGGTAGTCATAATGGGTCTTCTGTTTCAGAAGGAGTCAGCTGGTTGGAAATGTGGTGATTGGTGAGGGAACCAGCATCAGTGATGATTGTGTGATCACTGATTCTGTGATTGGTCCAAACTGCATCATTGAAATGGGAGTACATCTCTCTAGGGCCTACCTGTGGGGGAATAATATAATCCAAGTTAGTCCGTCTTCATTTGTGGTTTGCTTCTCATGTAGTCTTTCAAAACTAATGAGCTTTGTTTTATTTTGGGAGCAACTCCTTGAAATTATCTTGGAGAAGAAAGTGAATTGGAGACAATCAGCAAGTGACCCTGTGACTGACTGTCATGACCTTTAGCATTTCACATTTGCCAAGATAAATAAATAATCCCCATATTTGAAACTTTCCCCAAATCCAAGGATGCCATTGAGAGTTGCAACAGATCACAAGCTAAATGATGACACTCAAATCTTTATATTATTTTGGCTTAGAAGTGTCTTTGTAGCATTTCATTTTTCTCTTGCCAACACATTTTGAAGTTTTTCAGGGCTACTTTTATTTTGCAGAAATCATGCAGAGTAGAAAAAAGTATTTTGGGTCATGGTGTTGTCCTGAAGGCAAATACAAGGGTTACTGGTGGTTCACTTCTTGGAGATGGTGTCACTGTGGGACCTGATATTTCTCTTCCTCCTGGTATTCACTTAGCATCTCAACCCCCTCCAGATGATGTGGAATTTGGAAGTCCTCCTCCTGAACGTAAGGATTTCCATACCTTGTGGGCATTTTAGTAGACCTTATTGCCATTCCAAGGCACTTGGGAACTATCATGGAATATACAGATGTCAATTTTCTCACCATTTGGTTACATCCATATGAGCAACATAATCCTTCAAAACTGCTCCTTTCCCTATTGCTCATGAATTTCATGGTTGTAGTGGGCTTTGGAGGCTAACTTGAAACAGGGTTCACAATAGCTTTTTTAAATCTTGAGTCCTGGTGCCTAGCTTCAGCTTAATGGGAACATGTTCAGGTGGTCGTCGATGGGTCCCACGGACTTAGATGTTTTGCAAATATGAGTCCCTCCAAGAAAATATGAGTCAGGGACTCACTATAGCGAGTTAACGTGAACCCTGAACTTGAAATTTAAACCACTCAAAAGAAGATTCCTTCCTAACCTTGTCAGTGCTAGCACAAAAGGAACTCAAGATGAACAAAATGGATAATATAAGTAACTCTATATACATGATGTGGAAGATCATCAAAGAATCTAGACACATCATTTTGATCTATAAATACAGTGTCCATAAAGGTATGACACAAAAATAAATTGCCATAATTCAGTAGAAAAATACTTTATTGCCATGAAACCCCCCCCCCCATGTGTAAACTCACTACCTGCACATTTTTTGTGGTAAGGTCTTTTGTCAGAAACATATGTGCCAGTCTTCCACATGTCCACCATCTGATGAAACAATTCTCATTGGTACAAGAGTGTTGCCCATGTGTTCACAATTGACTGCATAAGGTTGATGAATACTTTCTTTATGTGGTTTCATAGATCTGCATCTTGCTATCAACTAATCCTGAAATTCCTCTCCAAACTGGTTTAGTTGTTTTCTAACTGGAGCAACAGGTAATTTATTCTCATTGCATACATTATTTTGTCAAACATCCCAAGTTGGTTAATAAACAGTCCTGAAATGAATTTGTATCAGATGTCTCTTCCAAATATCCACAATGTCACAATGATTTGATCCCTCATCAAGAGAGTGTTAAGATATATAATCAAATCAATGGTTTCATAGTTCATAATCCAAAGAAACACAATCACCACTGAAGGACTTCTCAGTGAAATACACCCACTCTTCCCCTTTCATCCTCATCAATCAGTGAGTGAAGTCCCTAACATTTTGTCAGCCATGAAATCTATGGAACCATTGAAACTTGCCTAATTTTGAAGTATTTTGTTGTGAGGAATGTTTGAATCAATTAATCAGTTGACTAATTACTGGATTCAGTAATCCTAAAATGTTCATGCTCTTTCACCCTTTTTAAATAAAAAAAATGATTCAAAAGAAGATAATTCAGGATGTGGCATTATGATAATATGGTATTGATATGAAGGAGCATTTTCATTTGAACAACTCTGGGTTATGCATTTCCCAGCACCTGCAAAGGAGGTGATTGGTGTAGATGGGAAGGCATTTGTGTGGGAGAGATGTGAAGCTTCATCAGACGAGGAAGAGGATGAAAAGGAAGAAATGATAGAGGAAGATTGGGGAATTGGCTGGCGAAGGAAGCATGAGGAGAGTGAAGAGTCTAGTGAAGGAGAGGATAAGTCTGAGACTGATGGAAGTGGTGATGAGGATGATGAAGATGCAGAATTGTCAGGAGTGATGGCTGCCAGTGATGATTTGAAAGGTCAGTCCTCTATTTTTACTGGGGTTCTCCATCCTTCCTTATTATCTGCTCTGAACAATCTTATCAATATGCAAGTGTCTGGAAAGAGAGAGAATTTAATATCATCTTCTTCAGCCCCTTTCTTGTATCTTACTATTATTGTTGAAGAACTTGTTTTTCAAACTCAATTTATTGTGTGAAGCAGAACAGAAGTGGGTTGCAATGCCTCTTCACATGAAGTGTAGCTTCTGTCTTTACCAGGAGGAGAATCTTCTCTAAGAGGGTTTTGAATAGGCATTAGCTACTTCAAATTAGGCTTTTTAATCAATATTTTAGTCAAAAATTAAAATCATGAGATATTTTAATATTTGGCCCCTCTTTTTTTTTCATCTCAGTTATTTTGAGAATAAAAAAAATGCTTTAGGACTCATTTATACATCTGTCAAAGTTCAGGTTTCCAACTTAAGCATAATATAGGGTTTTTTTTTTTTTTTAGCACAACCCATGGAAAATGGCGTAACTTCCTAGATGATATAAAGTTATCAATTGGAAATTTTGTATGAACCGAGATCCAATCATGCACAACTGATCTTAATTGCAGCAGATGTTGGAATTGATCCTCTTGTTTTCTATGCAGAATTGAACATGATACAGTAAGTTTTCAAAAGCATGATGGAGTACATCAAGAGTGAAGACCCAAATGGTGTTTCTAATGTTCTTTAGCTTCAGAATGGCATGAGGATTGTTGCATTTTACAGCTTCCTTCAAGTAACCCCTCAATTGATTATTTAATTTGTCCATGTTTGATGAATTGGTCAATAAGTTCGAAGTCTTTGAAGTCCCATAGGATTATTTCCAGAAATATGATTTTAGATGCCCTACCTCACAGAGGAGCATGGACAGTGCATGGCACACTTTCAATTGTTCTTTGGAGACCTATGGCTACCAAGATCTCTTGCTTTCACACCATCTGATTGCTTTCTTTTGGGGTTACTTGAAGGTTACTGTTCACTGAAAAAACATTCACACTGTTCCACAGCTAAAGAAGGAAATGAAGAACAGGATTGGGACCTCCCTCTTGATGTACTATGCTGTACTTTTGAAAACTTGCTGCATCATGTTCAATTGTGCATAGAGAACAACAGGATCAATACCAGCATCTGCTGGAAATATGGTCTGTCATGAAGGGTTGGATCTTAATTCAGACCAAATTTCAACTTACTAGCTTTAGGATTTATTAAGTTATACGATTTTTCATGAAACAAGGAGCATTCAAGGGCAGGATAAATTCTGACAGTACATTTTTATTTTCCTTTTGGTAAGAGCCATAAACTCCATACTTGCACTTCCCCTCAAGATGCTATGTCTTGACATTCACTCAACAATGCATCCTTATCAGAGACAGATACTGCCATGTCTGTGTGGAAGATTAAGGATGTGATTATGAGTAATTTTCAAATGGTCACAGCTTTGGCCTTGTATTTTTGGAGATATGCAGGCATATACAAGATTCTTTCATATTGGTAAAACTAGCCAGAATTTTGAGCAAAATCTTTATGATTCAGTGCCAATGGATCACTGTGTTTTATGAAGTCATTGCTGTAAATTGCTCTCAATCAACATAAAAGCAAAGTTTAAAAAAGTTCCACTGCACTGTAGCATGATTCTTACTCATATTTATGGATGAAGTAGGTAATTCTTTTGATAAGGCATACACCCAAAAGGTCTTGCTTTTTTGCAATACAGCATTCTATCGTGAGATAGAAGAGAGCCTGCGGATGGGAGTCATAGAGAAGGTATCCTGTGAAAACCTGATCCTGGAAATCAACTCTTCAAAGTATGCTTACAATGTGAGCATGAAGGAACTGTGCATCTTGGTGACACGGGCAATTGTCAGCCTGTCAGCAGATACAGAAGACCCTAGTGCCTTACTTGCTTCCCTACTTCCACTCCTCACCCAACTGTTACCCTTGTTTCAGCAATATATCAAGGGGAAGGAGTCACAGCTGGACTGCTTAGCAGGTCTTGAGGTAAGGCTTGACTGCCTAAACCATTAGCCAACTTCTGCGTGTGTCCCACTAAGAATCCTTCCATTTTGTTACATTCAGGAGCATGCAAGAGAACATCCAGCTTTTGCCCTTGCCTTTATGCGAGTCTTGAATTTCCTCTATGACAAAGATATCCTTGCTGAAGAGGCCATTCTGGAATGGAATGCTTCTGGTGTCACATTGGAAGGGAGTGCTGCAGAAATTAGGAAAAAAGTAAGTCATGATATTGGATAGCTATGGAGGTGCTGTATATAATCCCAAGCACATGGAGAAAACCTGGCTGAGAAATGCATTGTGGTAAAGATTCCAGTTGTGATTGTATTTTGGGCTATCAAGTAACAAATGAAGCCCTTCCTTATTGAAAGAAGATTCATCACTGGATTGGAGTTGCTCAGAATGATTTTTTTTTAACCATCAAAATCTCCCAAGGAAGATTATATCAGGACTTGTAGTAATTCTTCTTGGATCTCCCTTTGACAGGTTGAACCATTCATCAAATGGCTTAAGGAAGCAGATGAAGAATCAGATTCAGATGGAACAGGAGATGAAGAGGAAGAGGATGGAGATGATGATTGATTCAGATGCATCTCTACTATGTTAACTTGATCATTGATCTTGCTGTTTTTGGAATAAAACAGATGTCTTCTCCTTTCAAGGGGTATATGCATGGGCAGACAATAATTATTATATAAAATTATTTTAAACTAGTAGTATCACTCTCCTGTTTCACTTGGGAAGTGCTTTCCCATAGTGTGTGACTCCTGTGTTGTACATAGGATCATTCATAGGGAAACATACAAAAATACATTATAATGGCTGAATCCCCCCTTGCTAAATGACCTTAACTTTCGGGCAGGCTACTTCAAGATGTGACATGTGCCTATGTAGGTGTTACTCAGAGTATTTCTTTTTAAATTTCTTTAAGAATACTTTTTTTTAACCCATAGGTAGGTGGAATGATGACAATTAGTTCACTTTCGATATCCCAACTGATTTTGTTAGACATCTCTGCGATATTTCCAACATTAGTAAAAAAAAAAAGTTGAAGATGAAACTCTCACTGAGACTACAGATGACTACCTTAGGGCTAGCATTAGAATGCCTACTCAAAGCAAAAGACATGGGGAGGCTATGAAATACTCACATTGCAGGCTGGTCTCCCTTTTGATTCCATTGGCATCAGACAGATGGTATGGCTTGACCATTAATCATGCTTGTCCTGGAAAGCTTTTTAGCACATTGGTGACGGGCCCCAAGAAATCTTGTAGTACGCTCGTGACCAGTTGGACTGTCCAGTTGGTGACTGGCCCCGGGGCCGGTCACCAACCGCTCGTGAGCGTACTACGAGATTTCTTGGGGCCCATCACCAATGTGTTAATATACAAGGTACAGTCAAATGAAAGTGATTCAGTGCCATTCCTTATGGTACTTCCTGAATCACTATGATTTGATTGTACAGGGTCTTGCATAACCTTTTGCTAGGGGGGTACAACCTTAAGTACAAATAGAACAATTGTAAGTTATATATAAATTTAAACCGTTATTCAACCTGAATACAGTAATGCATCAGTATTTTGTGTGACCGCCATTGGCTTCACATACAGCCCTCAATTGTTGAGAGCATAGTTTCAACAAATTTTCAAAAAAGTTATGTTTCATTTTTCCATTTAATGAATAGCATTTTGGAAGTTTTGTAGGACAGCCACTTCAGAATTTTGGTCAGAACCAAGCTCACTAATCATCATACTTTCTATTTTTTCCTTAAAGCCTTTATTGATATGGTATTGTCATTTGATTAGCTTTCCACACCACTTTGAAATGATTTTTTGCAACTCGACTGCAGCTTTTTTTCTTTGTCTTTTCCAACTGTTCTCCGTCACAATGTTTTTCCTCACTTCAGACAATTTTCCGGCCTGCTATCATAAAATTTCATGAAACGAGATTCATATTCTTTGCTCCAGTTGTCATTAACTCTATCTCTCACTGTGATTCAGTGGAGAGATATTCACTTTCAATTGATAAAGGTTGCACCTGCTTCCCTTGCTTCTTGATAGGCATATGCTTGAATGCAGTCCATCACATTTTGCCTTTAGTCATTGCCAACCACCCCAACGATTATCATTTTCAATGACAAATATGAAATCAGAATAAAATTAACTTTTAAAATAGGTATAACACTCATATTTTTTATACTCCATAATTGTTGTACCCCCCTAGCAAAAGTTATGCAAGACCCTGTACTGTGTACCATTTAAAAGAACTATTGCATACCTTCTCATGCCAAATCCACTTACATGCTACCAATATAAGTTGAGTGAGATAGTATATTCTAATCTTTGGTTGTTGGAGGGGCCATAATTGACCCCCTCCCTCTTCCATGCATAGTTCATCAATAAATGCTATATTTCACAAAACAATTGGTTTTGTGACATTGTCTTCCACTGCATGCTTTTGCAAGTGCACCTTTGGTAGGATAAGAATAGTGAAAAAGAAAATTTTTAATTTTATGAGACTGCCCTCACATCAAGAAAAAGCTTGATTTTCCCCATATTCTGTAAGTAGGAGTCAGGAGTCAGGAGAGTTAGTGATATCAAGAGGCGATTTCGCCCATTTCGATATCACGTGTCGAGGTCGAGCATTCCTTAATTTTAGGGTAGGCCTAACCCTCTTAAAGCTAAATATTTTTGTATTTTTGTTTTGGTTTTTTTTTTTTTTTTTTTTACTATCCTAGTTGCTTACTGTCTAGTACCTACGTCAACATTGCCCCCCACCTTTTTGCCTGTAAGTACATGAGTTTTATCCATTGGCCCAAAAGATAAAGTGAATTAGTTATCTAAGCACAATAGGTTCAAGTCTTTAAATGGTACATTATATTCTGGCCCCTTTTGTTCAGTGATACCTATGATATTTTGATCTCTGTGTGATGCAAAGGATGGGGACCATTAAGGGTTGATTTTGGCCTGAAATTTGGCCCACCACCTATATTCATCATCCACAGTCCAACAGTTATTTTGCCTGAAAACAGCAATGAATTAGTGTTTCACATAGAGCTCATTCTCTAACTGAAGCAGAACAGAACAGAATCCTACCCCCATGGTTTCTCCATATTTCAGTATTTACCCTAGTTTTACATGAAAACTTTGAAATGACCCAAACAAGTAGTGTTATCAGAGATTTAGTTGGTGACATTTCTGTGGTGTTGTAAATATATGGGGATGGCATTGTAGGTATTAGATGGTATGGTTGTAACTTTGTCATGTGATTTGTGCTTCTGGCTGTGGAGTTACATCCTTTCTTGGTCAAGAAGAAAGAAATGCAGGCCTAAAACATGATTTATATGCAATCCATTATATCCCCTCACATTACTGTAGATATGAAGCAGATAGGAAGAGGGGTCTCAATCTCAAAATGGGCCCTCAATGGCCCCATTTTATGCATCTGAATTGGCCTAGCTAAATTTCTGAAATCCATTCCTCTAGGCACCTGATGGCACTGTCATCAAGAGCCCAATTTCCATATGAAACAGGATCTGGGACTTGGGACCTATCAGTTACACTTTCCGTTTGGTACATCCCGTTGCGATTAATCGTAGGCCAACATAAAGAAAAACTTTCCGGGAGGGAATGACAAAAGTGAAGTGCCTTAGGTCGCGGAAAAAACCCCAATCATGTTCACAATCACGCATTGCCTTCACATTTATAGGCTCCAGGGAGTAAGCGGAATTGAGATGCATGTGACCTTTAACCGGTGTTAAAAGATTAGTCAACATATTTGCTTAGGACGCCCCAACTTCCCTGTTTCATGTGGCTGTCACGTGGCCAAGGCCTGGAAAGGGCGGGATCATTGCTCTACGTCATGAAAGGTGCGCATGCGCAAACGACATAGCATCCGACTCCCTCTGTCCACCGGTTAGAAGCTCCCCTCCCAGTCCTTTATTAACGCGAATACGTTGGCATGGGAACAACGACGCGCGCAGTGTTTTATTCTACGGCGCTCGCCCCGGACTTGAAGGCGACGCTATGGTGCCACCCATTGACGCGCCGATTGACATCCTTCAATTCCTAGTGACCCACTTGTGGATGCGTGCGTAGATGGAAGACCCGTAGTGATCTAACGTAGTTGATTTTAAGTTGGACTTTTATGAGTGTGTACTCGAGGCCTATGGGACTTTTATTGTACGATCCTCGTTAGGACCGAGGCCCTTTATGTGAACGACCTATTTGCTTAGGTCAGTGAGTGGAACCGCCACCTCCAACGTTACTGATTATCGTTACATACGCCAAGGTCTAGGTATATGAATACTTGAACAGGGAAATAGGCTTTTGGATCTGATCGCATGTATTATGGCAAAAATGCGTCGATAGTTGGCCGTATTGAAGACCTTGGCTTGTTGGATCTGAGTTGTATAGGCCTTGTGTTTGGTCAAACTCAGCCTGCATCAATTTATTTTATTTCGTTTCTTTCTTGTGGCTTTCCCCTGCATGCACATTATTTCGAAGGCTTAGATCTATCAGTTCATGATCTTGAAAAGCTTAAGCATTTCCCTTGCCCCAGACAGGCTTCCATGGTCTGGGAACGTCCAGGTGGTACCAAATAATTTTTGCCATGTGAATGCTGGTACTACTAGTCTTTTTGACTTTAGGGACATTTCCTGAAAACCATATTACATTCTATATGAGATCAGAGGAAATTATGAATTGGGTTGCATTGGTAAGCCCTGAGACAACAATAGTTTTGCATTGTATGTATCTGCTGACCCATTGTGAAGCCACTTTTTATATTACACTTAGAGCTATTTTATATAATTTTTTATGTTTAAAGCTTAAATTGGTTGCAGAAGTCTTACTGGAATGTTTTTTTGTTTCAGGATCTGATCAGAATTGAGAAAATGTCTCACGCAAAGTCAAACAAACCTCGTGGACGTGTTTCAGCTTATGCCTTTTTTGTACAGGCATGCCGAGAAGAGCATAAGAAGAAACATCCTAATGATAATGTTGTCTTTGCTGAGTTCTCCAAGAAGTGCAGTGAACGATGGAAGGTGGGTTCTCTTCCATGTTGGAGAAACAGGTTTAGGTCTTTGAGCCCCTATTTTAGTTGTTTAATTCCATATAGTTGTGGTATATCCTTAGATAACCATTTTAATATATTCAGATTGCATATCTTAATAAGATACTGCCATATAGATTGGATGCTTATGTGTCATTTTTGTGGGGTGAAAAATTACAACAGAAGCAGCATTTCAGTGACCCAAATGGGAAATTTCCTAAAAACGGGCAAGCCCATTTGCTATGATGCCGTATGGTGGCCATATTAAATTCATCCAAGGTACATACTCTGTTTTCAGATTGAATTGGTACTCCCCTCCAGGAAGTGCTTCCATTGATTCTAGGTAATGGCTTCTTCCACATGGGGGGGGCTTCATGGACCACCTGGTAAAGCAGATCCCCTGGAAGTAATGCTTACTCCATTTTCTTGCTAACTAGGGGATACCAATACAATCAAAAAACAATGAGGATGAAAGGAGCACAACATTTTTTAGGAAGACAGTGTAGAGAATTCGGAGATAAACAACTCCTTGAACATTGTAATGTAGGTTCTATTTTAAGAATGTTTGCCCCAAATGGCCCCACTTAACTCACTAGATTTTTCCCCATGAGTAGCATCAGTCAGAAAGGGGACCATGCATCCAGGCAAGCTTGCATCATAGTTTTATAGCTTCAAATACGTCATACAATGAAATTCATCTGTGACGAGGTTGACATGTTGAACATATGAATCACCTGAGAAAGGGAGGCAGGCTTGACATAACAAAGGTTGGAAGGGGGGAGGGGAAGACATTCCAAAGCTATATCCCTAGTTTTTCCTAATGTAGCCTTTGTCATGGGATTCACCATCGGGGATTGTGCTAACTTTCTTGCCTTTAAGGGTCCCCAGGACTCGCAGATCTGGTAAGAAAGGGTCCCTTTGCAGTTGAAGCATGATAAAATCTTGCAAAGTAGCACAAAAAGTTAAAATCTAGCAGTCAATGTTTTTTCTTTTGATTTAACATAACCAAACAGCATGATATTCAATCCAGCAGCCTTAGGACTACTTTGAATATTTCCTCTTTGACAAATATCCCAAGGGAATCTTCAAATTTGCAAATTACAACTGCCAGATGCTGAATAGGGATTTTTCTTATTTGCATTTGAGCAGAAATCACAGGAAGCTCTTCCATCTTTAAAGGAAAGACAGGGATACATGTTGACCCACTCCTTTTCCATAAAAAAAAAATCTTTTTTCCTTCGTTGTGATTCACAAGCTGCCCATTTTCATCATCGCCTACATCCATCTCTTTCCCTCGATCTGACTAGGGCAAGGCCTATGGCGATTTTCCCCTTCTCAGTGCACAATAAGTGGAACGAAGACATCACCTTCGTTTAGAATTTAGACCTACGCTGTTGATACCTTTCTTCATTTGGCACTTAGCCTATGTTCAGGAACACCTGAACGTATGCGAACGTGTGATTCGAATAAACTAACATCGTTCAGTTTCAACATTTTCCGCTTGAAACTGAACTAGAAGAGTATTGGCCCCGACCGCCTTGAAGCCTTACATGAAATGAACGGAAATACGTCATGCGCGCGTGAACAATGCAACCTGCGCTGCGCTCACCACTATCACGTCATGCACCTTCCTCGGCTAGGACTTAACTCCCACACCCCCTGACACTAATAAGGTTGCACACGGGTTTATTTAGGCACGGTTCTAAGAGGCAACTGCCAGCTGGTCAGAAAATATGAGAAATTCCCCGCGCGCCCCAGGGATCCCGATGTATTTCTGTTGTGTGTCCCTTCGAAATTTTGTTCGTATAGGACGCACATAGGACGCATGCACGGACTAAACGCAAGCCCTGACCATAATGAAAACTAGAGTTATTGTGATAATGAAAGTAAGCCAAAGGTTTCCCTCTAGTAGGCCTATTGTTGAGGCAGCCCAAGAGAGGACAAGCTGCATTGCATTTGTAGAATGTTTGAAGTTCATGGAGGGAATGGTTTATTCTCCATTCCTCAGATAACAAATGTGATTCAAGTCACAGACAACAGGAGTTTCTAGATGTCACTTTGGACTCTTCCAGTTTCCTGTTAAAGAACTTGAGGCAATAAGTTGTAATAAGCCATATCTGAAAAGTAGGAATTGACTGAATGGAACATGCCTTATTATTCCCTCAAACTCTGTTGCAATAGCCATTAGGTTGTTAGTTGCTGGGCTCTGACATTAGGAAAGGATGGATAAATGCCCATGTATTTATGTATAGAGCTAGTTTTGAAAGCTTTCCCTGGAATTGAGCACTTGGAGTGCATTAGCTAACATAGAGAGGAAGAAACCATGATCCTAATCCAAATTGAAATGTAGATTCAAGGTTATGATGTGCTCATATCAACTTAATGTAACAATGATTTATTGGGAAGTTCAGTTTGTCACCAATTTGCATTTAGTTGAAAGAAGTGCTCTTTCATGTATCTCTAATCATTCTTGATAATGAGACTCAATCATTGTAAAACTTATGCATGTTGATTTTCTGATTAAGTTCAAGAGTTAGTAGGAGTAGTAGGAACCATTCTTCAAGATGTGGTGAAGCAGAACTTTGATCTTGAAGACCTCAAGGTCATCAATCATCATCACTTATGCCATGAAAGAAGTAGATCTTGGGATTGAATCAGGGAGTGTTTCTGAGATTCACTAATAGCATCATGTTGTGAGAAAAATATAGTTACATTGAAGTGCTTCCAACTTGTACCTAAACCATGGTTGAGATAGTCATCTTATGTCAATGGCTCCAGTTACTGAAGTCAAATTACTGATTCAACAAGCAAGCATTTTGAAGATTTTTTTTCCTCTCAAATGCCAACATCTTCCCATGTTGATATTTGGGATCACAGCCTTCAGCATGCTCAAAACACAGAATCATTCTCATTTAGCAGACATGATCTAAAATCAGGGGGTCACTAAAGATACTTTTTTTTTTTTTCAAGACACATGCTATGACTAATGTGGACATGGTCATTGAAGAGAACATCTGAGGAGAACATTGGCCCTTTCCAGCAATGACTGATTTAGTTTATGCAGTTCATCTCTCATCTGGCAGACAATAATTCCCTATTCCTCTGCACTTGTGATATGAAGAAGTGAAAATTTTAAATCCTACTGAATAACCTATGAATTTTTTACTTTTCCTTCAGTTACAGATATTGTAGTTGGAATGAGCCTGGTAACAGATTGGGTTAAGTAAAAATGGCAGTCAAGACATCTCAAAGAAACAAATTTGACTTCATTTCTACCATCATATGATGTGAAGACTTAGCTGCTGAGCCCAATCAGTTCTTGTCAAAAATTGCTTTGAGATTAAGTTGTCCTTTCAAGTGCTGTCACAGGTGATTTAACAAAGATTATCATAGGCCTGAGCCATCAACTGTGCATGGATTTGTCAGTACAATACGTTAAGTGAAAATGTCTCATCCCAAAATGTTATTTGACTTGGGTGAAGATTTTAGGTTTGGTGCCTGCATCAGTTTGGTGCCTGCATAACACCTGTATGGTCAATGGATTTATTCAGAGAGGGACTTAGATTGCCAGCTAGTACTGATTTTGGTATTCCCCTTAGCCTGATTATGTGTCATGACTACAATAATCCATCAGGATGTTCCTCTTGTGAATTTAGTGGATGAATGGTATTGTGCATTTTTTTCATCTCTTCCATGTACAGAACATGAGTGAGAAGGAGAAGAATCGGTTTCAAGAAATGGCAGCAAAGGACAAGCAGCGTTTTGATGTTGAAATGAGCCATTATGAAGGTCCTGGGAAAGCAGAGGGTGGGGGGAAGAAGAAGAAGCGAGCAAAGGACCCTGCTGCTCCCAAGAGAGCCATGTAAGTGGAAGACTTCCCATATCTGTTTCTGCAGGAAAAACTTTTTTGTCATGATTAAAATTCAGGCTGTTACTGTTTTGATGATTATGCAGGTGGAGGTCATTGCACTCTTTTATCCTTTTGTGGCTATTACATCTTGTCCTTTTTCAGGCAGAACTGAATGCACTCAAATGCCCTAAGATTCTCATACCCAATATCCTTTGTTTTCCTTGATGTTTGGATGCAGTTCCTCTTTAGTGGGGTCTTTCACCAATTACAGAGGGATATTTTTAAATCACAAAAGGGGTAAATTGAAGAAAAATGATCAGACTTTGACAAATAAATGAACTTACTTGACTAAGTTCATTAATTTGCTTTAAAATACTGGGAAAATATTTGTAGAATATCTTTTAGGTTATGGTACTTGACTTCTTGATATGAAATCTCATGTTTGCTAATTTGTACCTATAATCTTAACTTTCTGTCAACAGAAGTGAAGTTGGAGTTTGTAGTTAGTCAGCATTCCATATAATTTGCATCGGTGATTTTGTCTCATGATCTACACCTCAATGCAGGTCTGCCTTCTTCTTCTTCTCTGCGGATGAGCGTCGAAAGGTGGTGGCCGAGAATCCTGGTCTACGTGTCACAGAGGTCGCCAAGGAGATGGGAAAACGATGGGCAGCAGTTTCTCCTCAAGTGAAGTCCAAATATGATGCTATGGCTGTGAAAGACAAGGCACGATATGAACGGGTATGTTTGCTTCATTCACTTTTAGGGCTTTTCTACAGGATATTGATCCCAGTGTCCAAGTCAATTGTTTGCCATTTTGCAAAGGGGCAGGATAATGGATGTTTTTAAAAGTATATAGAAGTAGAAAATACTCACTTGATTTCAAGCTTATAGTCTACCCAAACCTAGATCAACAGTTAGTGCTTTTAAAAGGCCAAAAATTTGATGAAGATGTGGATGGCATGGGGTTTCCTGCAAAGTATGCAAGTGTAGGCCCAGCATGCTTTCACTTTTCTGTCACACTCATGCCACAGTCTAGGACTGCACCTATCAACCACCACCTCCTTCCCCAATAATCCCAGCCACTTTATTTGCTCCACCCTTATGAACCTCTCACCATATCCCAGGTCAGCATGAATGAGTGAATTTTCTTCAGCCTAGCTCAGTCACATTATTGCATGCTCATATGCTGCAGCTGGGATGGAGAAGGTAGCACAGAAAATAATATGAGGAAAAGTTGAGAATGCCCCAAGCAGGAAGAGTTTCATTTGTCCACCACAACCCCTAGATGTGTTTCTCTCTCTAAGTTGCTACTCAAAATATCAAGTCAGGTAAGAGGCCCTACCAGCAACAACTCCAGTTTGATTGGCTTCTAGCAGGATATGTCTGGTCTTGCTTCTGGCAGCCTAGAAGGTTAGACCAGTCCTAGACACATCATCACAGCTTAGCAGTGCTGATTTTTCTGTAAAAAGCAACAATTGGACATCTTTTTCTAAACACACACCACTTTCTCCCTCCAGATCATGGTGGTTTTATGTCAATGAGGCAGAAGTACAAAAGTTGCATCTCGATTATAAAATCAGGGGTACTCCTGCATTTCTAGTAAGCATTGCCCACACTATGAAAATAGATGTTTAAAATAACATGAATAAATGCTTTGACCTCTATTTCTGTATATGAATTGGCAGAAGAAGAAAAGTAGTTATCAACATCCTGTTGTATTTTTCTTTCTTTGAAATATTATTTTTACCAAAATAATTTTGAACTTTTATCTTAATACCAGGTGTGGTATGAATAAAATCTCTCTTATGTTTTAGACTCCACTTTCCTTGCCCTGCTAGTGCCAAAAACCTGGTCTCTGTCACTTTTTCTCTTGGCCTTGATACATCTAGTTTATTCAGAAGCTGACTTTGATCTATGTGATGAGCCAAGTTCAAAAGGAAGTCTTTCCCACGATTGGACTAATGAAAGGAGGATTTAAAAAAAAAGGTGTTACGCTACTTCTGTCTTCTGGCATACATAGTGAATTCATCTATATGATTTTTCCTTTCATTGCCTTCTGAATTTCTTAGAGCCCCCCCTTCTTTTTTGGCATTGGATGCTTGTATGTGCCACATGTATTCAGTCCCTCTGTAATTCAGTTGTATTGCTTGATTTGCTCCAAGTTTCATTATTATTTTGCTGGTATGAATGTTAAAATATTGTGGTGTCTATTACAGGAGAAGGCTGCTTATGATCATGGAACTCCAGTTCCTGAGGAGGATGGTGAAGAAGAAGAAGAAGATGAAGAGGAAGAAGAGGAGGAGGAGTAATCTCGATAATTTCATCCTCTCATCTTCGATCTCCTGTAAATATGAGAATGCTTGAAGTCTTCTGAGTGGTTGTGGGGAACTCCTGTCTTTAGTGAGCAGCATGAATGTACCTGTCTTGATCTCCATCTACTTTTCTTATACATATACAGTTGGGCTATGCCATCTTGAGTAAGAGTGAAAGACCACTTTCCATGTGTTGCACAGGAAGCTCTTATGACAATGAGACTTTCTGTCATTTCCTGAAGTACCATGATCATTTTATTCCTAAGAGAATTTTTTTTAATTTTAACTTTCTGTTCCATCTGAGAAGGTTGATCCTTTTATCTTTTTTTAAGTACAAAGTGTGATTTACTCAGGAATAAATATCCACTCAGTGGTCTGACATTCAGTTTTGTGGTTTTCTTTGAGTAGCCTTTCTGTAGTAGCCTATCTGGCATGATTGTTTATAAACACCTTCCAGCTTGTGGTTTTTCATCAGCAAAGGAAAGCTTAAGTTGAGACACTGACAGAAAATCATCAGTGAGGGGTGGAGGGTTCAGATCCATACTCCTACCACACCCCCCCCCCCCCATATGACTGAGGTCACCCCTCACTGGATATCTATTATTCTCCCCTTGACAAATTTCAATTAAGTTTCACCAGTTTCAGGTAACAACAGATAAACTGAAAACTGCAACAATCTGGAAGTAAAATCAAACTGGATGCCTTGAAATCCACAGAAGGTTGCTGCCACTATCTCCCCCTCCCTTGGAAAGGCCCTTCAGGTTTTTCTCAAACTATCATGCATGCATTTAGACCAGATGGTACTCTCAAAATAAATTGTGACTCCTATGCTGCATCATAGGAGAAACTAAAAAGAAAAAATGTAGATCAAGGCACCCTCTTTTAATGCCTAACCTTGATGCTCTCTTAATCCTCTCTTCATCTGTTATTGAAGATCAATGAAATCTCCCTCTTGCTATCCTTATTCATACCCTTCAATGTGTAGTTTCTCCTTGAATCTGAGCTCTAAATAAAAAATGTCATCTTACTAATTTGCTCAATTCTTTTCTGGCTACAGAGCCTTTAGGAAATGACAGGAATCCCAAGGTGGGGGGATTCTCACCAATACTCAAGGTACTATTCCTGAAGAACCTCGCTGTCTAGGATTGTTTTTCATCTCTGCCAGCTTACGTCGTTGAATGCTTAGCCATTAAAACACGCTCTCAAAAACATGTCCTGATAAAAATCACCTCTCCTAAATACAGCACAATGAGCGTAACCTGTGTGACCAACCAGTCTCTTTCACTTCCCCTCTTACAGCCCTAAAACTAGGTTTACGTCTGACATAAACTTTCAAAACCCTGCCTTGAGAGTATCGTCAGGGCATTCTTGCACCAAACGGATCAAAAGTGGAAATCCCTTCGGAAAATCGCAGTCAGCAGCCTCTCACTGAGCAGGCAACGAACACTGAAGAAAAGCACATTTGTCTCCTGCAGTCTGTTATGGCAAAACATGGCGAACACTAGTAATTGCCATTAATTGCGAAAAATACCCTGGAAAACACTATAATTTCTGCACCCTATAACAAGTCAGTCAATATTGATTGGATATGAGCCAAAGTTTCGCTCTTAAGGATTCGTTATTTTACCTTACCACCTTATGTTACCTTAGGACTCCACCTCGATCATGTTCGAGCAGGAAAACATATACTTGATATGATGGGTTTGACATGGCTTGGGAAACACATATACGCATTTTTAAAGCATTATGCTATTTAATATAGCATCGAAATTTAAATCATTTTGAATATGAAAATTTAAGCTATAATTAGCTTTTTCAGATATACCATCAACAACATTATATTTCGCTGCCCGTTTCTCCTGATGTCTTGATTACTTTTTTTAAGTGTAACTTGCGAGGAGCTAGAAAAAATGCCGAGAATAGAATCCCCGGAAAGTAATCCTATCCAAAACTGTCATGACATCCAAATCTGGAAATATGTACGCCGTATATATTTCCATTTTATCATTTCCCCCTCAAACTTTTAAAGTGCATATCTCAAAGACCGTTTGACCTAGACAGCTGAAATTTCGGATTTATCCGTTTCTCATAACCCCCCGGTACACATGATTTTTTAGCAGCAAAATCCCAGTCGGTGCAACAACCACCTTTGGACCACTTGACATGACTCACCATCGTGTTGACCTTAGCTGACATTGGCACACCGGTTTACCCTTAATCAGTAGGGCCACCCAGAGGTTTCCCGGGGTCCGGAGCAGATTGCCTCCCCCAATCAGAACAAGACCACATGGTTGACACCGGAGGGACGACGCGAAACGGCGTCGAACGCGCGAGCAAAGAATTTGAACTGAAGAGAAGTGTTATGAAAATGGTGGAAACGGAATTTAAATTCTAAAAGATGAAAGTAGATTCGATATTGAAAAAAGGTTTTAATTTCGGGATTCAGCCAAAATTTCACTGCGCAGATATGCAACTGGAAATTCTTCTTATCCTGTACGTGATTCACGCCTTTTATCTGAATCATCGTCCTGTTTTCATTGAAAAATATCAGTAGCGTCACATGCGCAGGACGCTTCCTTGACATGTTCACTTTACTACAGCGAATAGCCACGTGTGACTGGCGTGACCTTCACCTTTCACTTCAATCTTTGTGCCTTTCCAGCCTCGCTCTCGGGTCGATTGCTCATGATATTGGGTAGATCGCATGAAACCGAATTTAGCATAATGCCAGCAGTAAACCTCCATCAGGGGTGGAGTTAAAGCTACTTTAGCGGAGATTATTAATGTGGATTGCATGAAAAGAAATCAGCATAACGCAGCATTAAATTCCGTATTATTTTAATGCTACGATGACCCTATTTTAAACCTCCATTAGCACCGAAGAGGAACATCCCGCTAGCTTCACTATGTTCACAGACGATGCTTTTTATTTTTTATTTCTCATGAATGTTTCCATGGCTGTAAAGAAAGCATAGTGAATAAGCAGCGAATTCAGTTGATGATCGCCCGAACTCAGCTGAAGCCCTTGACGCCCAGGAGCCATAGAAACCTGGCGGCAACTAACGAAGTCGCGATTGGGCTGCTATTTTTGGTAAAATTCTTGTTGAATGAGGGTGAACCTCTCGCCAACACCAACTGACGAATGAATACGGTGATTGGTGATGACTGCAAGTCACAGTGGACCGTGCATGGCAGGTGTGGGCATTTTGAAGGTCATCAATTGACGGCAACTGTGTTTTGGGACGCCATTGTTCTTTCTGGTGGACTTCCTCCAGTGAAAAACCACTGTAAATGCGGACGTCTACTTCTCGAAACAAAATGAAATTCCAAGAGTCATCAAGTGGAAACGGCCGCACTCGAGCAGCGTCCTTTCGCTGCACGACAGCGCGCGGCAGCGAGCTGCTGTGAATACCAATCAACATTGAAGCGCCCGAGTTGCACACAACGCCAACACCCGCCGTACAGTCCGAACGTGACACCTTGCAACTTTCACCTGTTTTGGCATCTTAAAAAAAAAAAAGCAATAACTGAGGATCACCGTCCGCATGAAGTATCTCAGCAGTCGTCGTCCGAATGGGGCTATGTAAAGGGGAAAGGAGAGGCGTACCAGTGAGCAGGTTAGTGGAGTGAAAGAATCACAGGCTCAAACACGGTAATGATATATATTTTTAATGATGGAATAAATATTCAAGAGTGTAAGTCCAATGAAGATTTAAACCAGTTGTGCAATGTATGACGCCAGAACTTTCCCTCCCGCTCCTAGGTGTTGGTTAAAGTATCACCATAACATTTAAATTAAGTCTTGCGTGAAGCAAAGGCATTCTCTACAGCCAAATTGGTCCACAGATTCAGCGGGATTTGCAGATCCATGTAAACCCATCTATCCACCACGTCAATAACTCCCTCCATAAATTCACTCAGTTTCATTAAATCGTTCGAATGCAACATAGCCTGAGGCATGAGAAGCACCCAAGAATGACGATGGATGATTCCCGCTGAAATGCTTGGGATTGACAATGTCATGCTTCCTGAAAGTCTTGCAAGGAGGCCACTCTGATCGTGAAAATCGACGACGCATTTTGTTTAGGTCTCGGCAGGATTCAGAAGCCAGTTCAGAAGCCGGATGGTTTGATATGGCCAGTAATTTTGCGTTCTTCCAAGCTGAGATATGATGATAGTAGGGAGAACACTGGGATCATCCTTAATGCGATTATTGCCTCATGGATGGTAGTCTTGTATACTTCAGTGACATCTCTCTAAAAAAAACTTTTGGATGTATTATAATAAATTAAAAGACAGCATTTTCACAATTAAAATGACACCAGAATGAAGCTTATATCTTACCTAGAGAGGAAATTATTGCAGAAACAGTTTCCCAGTTTCCAGTCCGCATGGGCACCAGGAACGAGAAATATGTTAAATTCGATTGCATATATCTGGAGATCGGTGCGAGAGATTGGTTGAAATCATTTCTTTACATCAATTCCTCTACGTGTATGCCAATTTTTGTCAAAATCGGAGATGGTCGAGCTCACGCTCTGTTCGTTTTGATGTGGAATGATCCTCTGGCAACGCTGTCAATATTGAAAATAAAAAAGGAAGTAACATGGCGCGTCTTAGGCCGCGGTAACGAAACGATGTGTGAGGTTCTTGTCCATGAATAAGCTCTTCTCTGGTACACCAGTTAACCCTCACCCTCCCTCGATACAAGCAACCTAGAACTTTAGAAGACTAATCTTGGCTCGAGTGATTACTTATAGGACGCGCTACTCGGATACGGCTTTCATTACCTGGGTTCTTGAACTTCGCTTCGAATCAGGGCTCTCTGCCCCGGGAGCCAAACGAGCTACCATCAAGCCACTAAAATGTTCCAGTCGTACGATTGATAGAGCGTAAGCGAAATAGGAATGCGTTGCGTTACCAGGAGTGCCAGCACGGTGGGAATGTTAGGAGAAACGGATGGGTAATGGGAAGATTTCGTGGCCCGGGGAATGGCTTAAGTTTAAAGCCAAGGAAGCATAAGGTCCTAAACATCTACCAGCTCAGAGATCTGTAATTGAGCCCTTGCTTTCATGCTAACACACTCCTATGAGCAGTGAATTCCACCCAATGTATTTCATTTGCAATCATTTAGGATCGGAATTGGAAAGATCAAATCAACAGTTGTGAAAGTAACAAGATTCACTTGGCCTTCTCATTTGAAACTTAAATGAAGCTGCAAACGAAACATAAGCAACTGGATGTTGGTACATCATTAGTTAGGTCTATCATGGAATCCAATGTTGATGTCAGGGACCCACAAAGAATTGGAGAAAATTTACTACTGGATGACATGGAAAAATAAAGTGACCTGCTTTTCTCAAAGTGACTAAAAAGAATATACTCTGGGTTACTTTTTCAGATCTTGTTCAGATCCTTCTGTGAAAAACCTCAGGCTAGATGTAAGAATGCAGGAAGTGTTCTCTAAAAAAAAAGTTTGCACGGTGAACCCCAAGAAGAAGCCCAGGAATCATAGCTGGAGAATATAAATAGGCCTATGTAGGGTGCATGATACCTCCTCTCATTTCGTTCATGCTAGGAAAGTTCTACTCTGGGTGGTGCAGAACATAGGATCAGTAATATATGAAAATGTAGATCCTTTCTCTTAATCTTGTAAACTCAAATTTAAGTTTTTTTTAGAGGGAGCTCAGTTTTCTTTCCCATCACTCTTGCTATAAGTTTCTTGTAGAAATAAGTTACTGTACACATCAATTTTCAGTTTGTTACCCTTGTTGCAATATAAACATGACATACCTACTAACAAAGTTGTTTCTTATGATAAATTATCCTCCATATGGTGGCTCTTGTGCTTTGATAGTTCATGCTTTGGCTTGAGACTCTAATTCACATGGCTTATCACCCTGCCAAATTTGAATGGTTTTTAAATATTACAAGGAGTATGGCTCAAGGTTTGATGAGCCATACTTTATTGAAACACTTCAACATGTTTACAATCACTGGGACTTAGTGGGGTGATATATTTTTAAGTTTGAGAAGTATTTGTAAACCTCAACAGTAGTACTGCTGGCTACATTTACTCTTGTCGAGTTTTCTGAGTTGCCATAGATACTTGCTATTGAAATTCATCAAGCTAATCCACCCCTCAACCAGTAATAGCTGGTCTGGGGCCTCAATGGGAATTACTTTGGAGGATTGTTTTTTTCAGCTTCTTTGTAATTTTTATTTTGCAGGAAACCACATTTAAATTTTATAAAACATTCATCTAGGCCTGCTGGAAGTAGCTAGAAGTCATGGAAGTGACAGATGAAAATATGAAAACTCTGGCAGGGTACCTGCAACATACACTTAGCCCAGAGGCTTCTATCAGAAAGCCAGGTGAGCTAGGCAGAGCTATTTGATAATAAGAGAAGAACCATACCATTTATGAATTTTAAAATTGATTTTGATTTTGCCTATCTTTCAACAGCGGAGCATTTCCTTCAGTCAGTTGAGGTGAACAAGAATTATCCAATCCTACTGCTGAAAATGCTCAACTGGGATCAGGTTGATCAGAATGTGAGAGTTGCAGCAGCTGTCATGTTCAAGAACTGCATCAAGAGGAACTGGCAGTGTGTGAGTTTAGTCGATCAAGAATATTGACTTCCATGTGAAATTTCATTTTGCATACTGCTGACATAAAATACCTAGGACAGTGGCCTGTATGAGAAAAAATGAGGGCAGAAAATTGGAGCCACTGCTCCATTTGTGATGAATAAAAATGCACAGAGCTTGAACTTCATGAGCAGCAGCATCATGCTTGGAGACCTAGCTCTCCCCTGAGTGAAAGCTGACAATTTTTATAATAACTGGACACTTAGTCTCAACCTTTGAGTCAAAGCTTATAGTAGAGTCTGCTATGGGGCAGACTCAGCTCTGAAATTTCTACTTACTTGTGAGAATTAGAATTCCATTCTATCTTGTTGCAGGGACACCAAGACCTACGCTAAGCTAGACAATGATCCAGTTATTTTTTATTGCATGTCCTTCATCCTTTCCATAGGGAGAAGAGGATGATGATCGCATTCACCCTGAAGACCGACTTGCCATCAAACAGCTTATAGTAGATCTCATGTTGAATTCTCCTGAAGCAATACAAAGGCAACTGAGTGATGCCATATCTACAATTTCCACCCATGATTTCCCAAAGAAATGGCCAAACCTTATTGGTGACCTTGTTGGGAAATTCAATTCAGGTTTGTTAGAGATCCATGATTTTTAGTGCTATTTTAAATGGTTTATGTAGGTATTGCCTTTTACTTTATTTGTATCCAATTGGCTTCAATTCAGCCTTTACTATTCAGACAAAGGTATGATGAAACCTGTATAGAGAGGCAAGATTGTTGATGTTTTCAGTTTCTGTTTGTAGACTGACTGGATATTTGGCTGATACATGACCTTTCCTTGGCAAGAAATCGCCAGGTACAGGTCATGTGTCAGCTGAACTGTTATTTCATTAATAGTCAAGAGCTTAGAACTATTACTTTCTCTGGCACCATTCTAACTAAACTAGAAACAACAGCTATTTTCTCTGAAGAATGTGTCCAATATATTTACTAAGCTGGATCTAAAGAAAAAAATAAACCCGTTGTCAACCTTTTCATCTCTAATTAAGGTGTGAAGGTTTGATAATGGTATCAGGAGGCGATAACGCCCATTTGGAAACCACGTGTTGACGATCGTTCCTTAATTTTAGGATAGGCCTACTCCTCTTGAAGCTAAGTATTTTCGTATTTTTGTAATTTTTTGTTGTTTCATATCCTAGTCGCTTATTGACTAGTCCCTTTCGTCTACATTGCCCCCTTTTTGCTTTTTCCGTAAAAGCATCTAGTCTCTTCTTAAAAGTAGTCACGGAAGGGGCAGCCGCTTCGTCGTCGTTCGCATTCTACGCGTTCACTACCCTACAAGTAAAGAAGTCCTGTCTCGACTTGAGCCACACCTGCAGTTTACGCAACTAAGTTGATTACCTTTAGTTCTCATGCTATCATTGAACTGGAAGAACCTACCACGCTCTACATTATCCATTCCTTTAATTATCTTGAAAGCCTGGATGAGATCGCCCCTCCTTAACCTTCTATCGAGCGAGTAGTCCTCGCACCTCTAAACGCTTCTCATACTGAACTTTCCTAACATCCTTAATCATTCTTGATGTGATCTTCTTCTGTACCCCCTCGAGCGCCGATTCACCTCGATTCAACATTATTTGTAGGCCTCCAAAACTGGATGCATTATTCCAATTGGGGTCTTACCAGCGCCGCATATAACGGAAGAATAACGCGCGATTTCCTTCTGGCAACGGAACGACGGATGAAAATCCTAGAATCCTGTTAGATTTAGCCACCGTCGCTTGCCCGTGCGAGGAAGACTTGAGGTCGTCGGTAGAAACTCCTAAATCACTCTCTCCGTTTGCCTCCCCCAGTATATCTACGCTAAACTCGTTGAGAGACTTATCGTTAATTTGGTTATTTTGACTGACATGGAGAACTTTACACTTTTATTAAACTCCACGAACCATTTCTTGTTCCACTCATTCAAAGGCCTCAAATCTCGCTCGACCCTCGCGAAAGAGCCTCGCCCTCCCCCTCCCCTTACAGAAAAACCTATTTTGGTGTCGTCAGCAAATTTATTTATCACACCCTCTACGGCTAGACCTAAATCGTTAATGTAGACCAAAAACAGAAGCGGTCGGAGGACCTCACTCCTCGAGACACCGCTTGCTCGGCCGACCTCCTTCGACACTTCCCCATTTACCATTACTCATTGCTCTCTGCCCGTCAACCAGTTACTGATCCACTCACTCGTCCTACTCTGGATCCCATGTGCGCCTCCAGTTTAACCCGCAACCTCTCATGAGGAAGGGTATCGGAAGCTTTCGCGAAATCTAAGTAGACGATGTCTACGGGATTCCCCTTATCTCTCTGTTACGTCGCCCAACCGTAGAATTCGAGCAAATTGGTGAGACAATTTCGACGACTCCTAAAGCCGTGCTGAGAGTCCCGTATGAGCGCGTTGCCTTCAAGGTAATCCAAAATGTGGTCCCTTAGGATGCTTTCCATGATTTCCCCGGAATATTTGTGAGACTTACTGGCCTATAATTCCCCGGATTACTGTTTTCTCCCTTCTTAAAGATCGGTACGACGTTCGCTAGCCTCCAGTCCTTAGGTACTTCGTCGCGCAAAAAGCTGCTTTCAGATATGATTCTTAGAGAAACCGATAGTTCTCTCACAAGTTCCTTCACGACTCAAGTAGGAATGCCATCAGGACCAGTCGCCTTACCCACCTTTAACTTCCCTATGATACTTATTATCTTCTCGGTGAAATATCCTTGATGCGTGCCGAGGTCACTTCCTCCAAAGTCGGTGCTTTGTCGGATTCGACAGTGAAAATGGAAGCGAAGAACTTTATTACTTGCAATTGACACCCCCTGTTGTTCATTTGAGGCCCGATCGACTGGTGACACCTACCATTACCGTATTGATAAAAAGCCCTGGGGTTCTTCTTAACATCATAACTAACAGTCGTTCCTCGATCACCTGTCTTGCTGACTTGATTTCTCGCTTCAACGTCCTCGTGATGGTCCTATATTCCTTGTACTCCGTTCTGTCTCCCATGCGCTTACACGAATTCAGTTTCCGCTTTTTATCCCTGATGCTTTGATTTTACCCGTAAACCAGACCGGTTGCCTGACGGATTTCATGAACTTCTTGGGGATGCATTCCTCCATAAAGCTCTGCAATAACAGTTGAACGCCCTCCTTCGCTCCTCCACCGTCAGCCCACGGAACCTTCCATCCCTGTCGATGCCTGAAACGCATTCCCGTGGCCACTCGAAATTAGCCTTCCTATAGTTGTACGAAACCTTCGTCGGTTTAACGTTACTCTTCGTCCGCTTGATATTCCACGTGATCGCACAGTGGTTCGAATCTCCCAAGTTATCCTGTACCTTAACATCTAGTGCCAGATCACCGTCGTTCGTCGCGAAAACTAAATCCACTAAAGCTTCCTCGCGAGTCGGTTCTTCTACGCGCTAAACGAGAAGAGCATCTGAACCACAACGAGAAGTTCCCTATCCCCTTCTCTCTCCCCTCGTGGCACCGTCCAATCCATGTTCTGCGTGTTAAAGTCTCTGAAGAGTAATACCTGATACGCATCAACGCAAAATAAGCTGCTTCATTCTCAGATGAGTTAGGGGGCCTATAGCAAATTCCTAGCACGATCTTCCCCACCGATCTCGCACCATAAGTGTTCGATTGCGCCACAGTTAGTCGAGGTGAGATCTTAAACGCCAGCGCCTTGTTCATTTCTAGCGTACATGACTCCTCCCCCCTTTCTACGGGGCCTATCCTTATGCAAGATATCGTACCCTTAAATCTCGAGTTCCTTATCCGAAATGTGAGAACTACCCCAAGTCTCGGTTATTCCGATGATATGGAAAACGTTGTAAGGTGTCCTCCCCCTGAGCTCGCCATTTCAGCTTATATTTATCACAAGCAAGTTAGCTAGTTAATTTTTCCTAGGTTGACATCATTCATTACAGTCATGGAAATGTGACATGAAAATACAGAAACTAGCTGCTGGTTTCATTTCTCTGCTCTACTGAATCTTAGGAGAGGATGCAGTGCATATCTGAGTTGGTTTTTCCAATAATGAATCTTTCAAGGATCTCATTATTCAAATTTATTCTCTCATTTAAGTTTGCATTTGTAACTTTAATGATGTGATTACTGTACTACCTTTCAGTTTTTGTTAATTCTATTATGCTTACTTTTGACAGGAGACTTTCATGTCATCAATGGTGTCTTGAGGACCTGCCATTCACTGTTCAAGGGCTACCGGTATGCATTTGCATCTGATGAGCTATACTTGGAAATCAAGTTTGTCTTGGAAAATTTGGCTCAGCCACTCTCCCAACTTTATCTTGTAAGTTCTTTTGTCCCACTCATGTCAATTAATTGCTCTGGTGCATCTTCAGACCAATTGCCTAGGACTCTTATTTAGAAATTGGAGTCAATAGGTATGAAGAACAGTGAAGTTTACATCTTGCTCTAAAATTGAGAAGAATTCCAAGCTTTTTATGCAATGGAGTTCTCATCCAGATTGCAAAAAGAAAAAAAGTCAAATGCAGAAGAAGTCTAAGAAAAGGCCTAATGATGAATTTAATGATTCAGTTCCTCCAAACAAAAATATATATCTTGATCTATAATTTAATTATGAAGAGTCCCTTAGACTTCTTCTGCATATGACTTTTTTCTTTTTCCAATCTGGATGAGAACTCCATTGCATAAAAAGCTTGGAATTCTTCTCAATTTTAGAGCAAGATGTAAACTTCACTGTTCTTCATACCTATTGACTCCAATTTCTAAATAAGAGTCCTAGGCAATTGGTCTGAAGATGCACCAGAGAAATTATTGCTTTCATATGTTGTGCTGCTGAAACTTCATTTCAAGTGTTTGGTTATGAAATCACTGGAAGAGCTTTACTATGAAGGGTATTGTGCCATCATCACAACATGAAACATTCAAACAATGAAGACTGTACCAACGTTTGATAGGCCATGCCCAATCATAAAGCATGGGGAAGTGTTAATTTATATTATGTGTTTTGGATAGGACAGAAGAAATGGAATAAATTGGTTTTATCGGAGAACCATTTGTTACCAAAACTTACAACTGACTTGTCATGCCAACATTTGTGTGGATGTCTTTCTGGACCAGTTCTCACCATGAAAATGCCTGCAGTCTTCAATAAATCCCAGCTGGCATTTCATTTTCTCTTCAACCCTTTTGCCTTATCTGGGCTAGGTATTTTTGTGACACAAACAGGCAGAGGCAAACATTTTAAGAATTTATTTAAAAGCAAATCAAAACTTTAACAATTCGTTTTTGGGTATATGAGTGGTGTCTATGAAAGACACATTAAATTTGTTGACATTTTTGAAAAAAATTGCCTGAGAAAAAAATTTCCTTTGGACTCCTTTTGCCAGATATGGGTTACAGAACTGCTGCAACCCTTTCTTTCAAGTGTTTCATTTTTTTAAATCATGAAACTTTCTATGCTAATGCATTGGTGACATACCCATTGTCATAAAGAAATATGGAACATTCCCTTATTTGATTATCTATGTCCCCCAGTTGTGTAGCTTGATATGCTAAATTATGTCTGCAGTTCCAAAGTGTACCAGTAAATCAGATGTCAATTTTAACTTTTTATTCTCAGTTGTCTTTTGGGTGATTCTTCTTACTCATTCCTTGTGATTCCATCTGTGATTTTAAGGATGAGACCAGGGAAATTTTCTGCTTTCCCAGGTGACCTTGGACCTCACCAAGAAGTATGAAGGAAATGCAGAAGCATTGAAGGTTATTGTGAGCTCTCTGGTTCTGATTGCAAAGATATTCTACTCCTTGAACTTCCAAGATCTACCTGAATTTTTTGAAGACAACATGCCGACTTGGATGCCAAACTTTTTACTCCTCCTCAATTACAACAATCCCATTCTCCAATCTGATGTAAGAAAGTCCTCTCCTATTCAAGCTTATTAAAGCATAATAGTTATTCCTGATTGGTTTTCCAGTATGCACAGAAGTTTGATAAACATGATCTAAACTTGGACCCACTTATGCCCTTCAATTTGCTTTTTGTCAGAGCCCTGAAGAGTGTGGACCACTTGAGCAGCTGAAAACTCAGATCTTAGAAAACATCTCCCTCTATGCTCAAAAGTATGGAGAAGAATTTGAACCCTACTTGCCTGAGTTTGTGAGCACTGTCTGGAATCTACTTGTGGGCACTGGGGTTGAGCTCAAGTATGATCAGGTGAGACTTCCTTCATTGGATGCTTCTGTTCCATGTCTTTTGTTTAAAGCTATCTGCCTGACATAGGTAAAGTGCTATGGCAGCTTTTGTGGACTTGTTTTGGATGCAAGTTTTTTCATACTGTTATTCTTTGGTTGATAACTGAGTATTTTGCAATTCTCATCCATCTTTGCAATCATCAGGCTTAAACATTGGCAGTTCTTGTCTCTTGCTAACTTGAGTTTTGTGTACAGTTATGCCTCTCTTTTATTCATCATCTGACCATCTCTACTTTCTCTCAATGACAACTGAATGATGAAAGGTTCCTGGAATTACAAACCTTTCCTCTTCCCTTCCGCTGCTAAAAACAAAGTAAAATTGAAATAGGTTGAAATTGAAGAAGCTAAAGAAAACAATAGGAAACAGGAGTGATAAGTTTTTGATACCAGCTCACCCTCCCCTCCCAACCTGTGTCTAGATCAATGGTGCTCAACCTTTTTCATGTTGTGACCCATCAAGCCCTCTTCCCATACTTATGTGACCCACAAATTTAGAAACATCCAGAAAAAAGTACTCGTGTGACATGAAAAGCACTCATTGAATTTCAAAAGTATGGAAATGATGCTTTGAATATGTTGATGTGGGATTAGGTGATTCCTTTGCTGCTTCACCTCTTTGAGCTTTCTCTGAAAGAACTCGACTTCTTCAATGTTGGTTGATTTCAATCTAAATGCCACTTCAAATTTGAAAGCTTCATGGATGCATTGGGAAGCAGTTCACCACAAACTATGCATTCTAGTTTCATACTTTCTGATACTATGAAACCACACTGAAAGTATGAATCATTATACTTCCAGATTAGTACTAGCTTATTATTTCTTTGATGTGGTTGTTGCTGAGATTCTTAATGGAATTCACTGGAATTTCTTCTATTAGGTCTTTCTCTGAAATTTTCAAAATCTTGTTGCTGGCTTTTGGATTCATAACATTTTATTAATCTGGTGCATTTATTATGTGACCCTTTGCAGTTGGTGAGCCATGCCATTCACTTCCTTTCATCAGTTGCTGATCGTCACCAGAATCAGAAGCTCTTTGAAGCTGAAAATGTCCTTGGTAGTATTTGTGAGAAGGTCATCATTCCAAACATGGAGTTTCGAGGTTAGATCTCAATTGCCATAAGTCATTTGTATGCAATTGGAATGATGGACCAGATATGGGAATAGAAAATGCCCACAGTTTTTACTCAGATTTGGTTGGAAAAACCTTGAGAAACAGTAAGTTTGGTGGATATGTAGTTTGCCTTCATTTACTTCAATTTTGAACATTTAATTGAAATTCATAAAGTCAAACCAAAGTTATGATTAGTATTCTTTAGAAAGCCTGAAATTTAAATTGGATGGAGCTCCTTTGCGTAAAGAATGACTACAAAATCTGTGAAGCTTTCTAATGACTTTTTCAGGTTGAACACAGACAATGCAAAATTATGTTAGTGAACAATTAACTTTCTTAAAGCAGTAAAATTTATCATTAACCAAAAATGGTCAAGTTTGGGCTCAAACTAACATCCGTGGGTGCTGGAGCATTCCAAATATCACTGCATATCTCACTGTAGTGTCATTGTGGACATTCACTGGAGGAGTTCTTCATGTTATATTTCTCTCTTTCTGCTGAGTATTGGTAGTGATTTTGATGCGAATGACTAGATTTTGATAGTCTTTTAAAAATAGAAGAGAGAAAAGGAAAGCTTAATTCCTCTCAAATCTAGTGGGATTTGATTAAAATATATTATCCAGTGTCAAAGTTCATTTTTTGCAATATTTTATATATTTATTGCATATCCCAGAATGTGCTCACTAATCACGCAGCTAATGTAAGTATCTGAAATAATGTCCATCCACTAAGAACTGGTGTGCCATTCCTGGGGAGCATTCTGAGTACATTGCTTATTATGGCATTAGCAGAGTGTGTCCCAATGTCTTGTAATAGAATCTGATGAGGAGTTGTTTGGAGATAATCCAGAGGAATACATCCAAAGAGACATTGAAGGATCAGATATGGATACACGAAGGAGAGCTGCATGCGACCTTGTCAAGTCTCTGTCTCGCTACTTTGAAGCCAAAATGACAGTTGTGTTCTCCCAGTATGTCAAGGTAATTGAGAATATTGATATTCCATCATTCTGTGTGTTCAGGCATAATCAGTTTTTTCCTCTGCATGAAGGTGATGTTGGAAAAGTACCAGGAGGATGTGAACAAAAACTGGAGGTCAAAGGACACTGCCCTGTATCTTGTGACCTCCCTCACTGCAAAGGGGAAAACAGCAAAGACTGGCATCACTCAAACCAATCAACTTGTTGATGTCACAGCATTTTTCCATGACCACATTCTCCCAGAATTACAGTCTCCTCGAGGTCAGTAAGACTTTGGATGATGTAGTAGTCCACATTATTCCAGTCACTGAAAATTGCTCAATTTTTTCATTACTTGTCAATGAAATTTTAATGCCAATGTTAAGTTTTTATGAAAACTAAATCCAAAAAGGGACATATCTCCTTTGTGATCCTAAATGTGGACCAATAATAAATTGTGTTGTGTAGTCTTGTATTTTTTTTGTCCACTTTCATCCCATTAAATACTTGCATTAAATTCTTAAGAGTTTTGGGATACTCTCACAAACTCAAGGAGTCAGGAGTCAACTATATGCAGCATGTAAAATGAAATAGGCTTTTCTTTTTTTTTCCAGTGGATGAGAGGCCAATCATAAAGGCAGATTGCCTTCGCTATATCCTGGTATTCCGGTCTCAGCTAAGTCCTCCTCTCCTCCATGGATGTCTTCCTTTCATCATTTCTCACTTGTCAGCCCAATCAAGAGTCACCCATTCCTATGCAGCCCATACTCTAGAGAAATTCCTCCTTCTAAAAAATCCCGACAATACCCCTGTGTAAGCTGATCCTCATCACATCATCACATTGCTATTTACTTAGTTGTGGTGCTATGGTAATGTTCTTAATTATTAATTTGCTTTTTCACAGTACCTTATAGTATGTAGTAGAGCAGTAAGATGAGTGTTTTGCCATTCTAATGCATTGGGGAAGGTTGCTCAGATGCTAGAAATGAATTTATGATTGTTGATTACTGGAATAGAAGGAATATTTCAGATAAGGCAGCTCAACTCTCTAGTTCAGCCAGCTCAAGGGATGCTAAATGATGTTTTCCTAAGTCCTAATCACTGACTGCTTGGTCATCATGCCTACTCAGTCAACTTCTATAACTTCATAGCTTGAAATTATTTTATAGTATGATAAACCTAAATTAATATGAAAGTTTCTGTTACCTGAATGACCTAAAGGGAAAAAAAAACTGCTTTAAAAAGTCTGTTTGATACCTAGGCCTTGCAGAACCACCCCCAATTCTCTCCTCTCCCTCCCTCACTGCATCTCTGTTTGGACCCTTTCACTGAGGTATTTTTTTTTACCAGCACAGTATAATTCAGGAGCTTGCTTTGACAATTTTATTTTATAGTTCCTACAAGTAGTATGGGAATGGTGTTTCCAATCCCTCATCAACAGCTTTTGGGAATGCCATTCCAACTTTGAAAAAGTATGGGACTGCTCTCCAACTCACTGTCTTCACTATGTATAGCAACCTCTCCCTTTGCATTATTCACTCAAGTCTATCAACCTGTTCTAAACATGCTTTGAATAGATGGGGACTGATGGTTTTGTGCTGTGCTCTGCAATAGCAAAGCTTTACATATCTGGCAATTTGAGATATCAGATTGTCTAGAAAGTTCATTCAACTGAACCCAAACTGCATGTGTGAAACATTTAGTTTGCACCATCATGTAGAGCATGCATTTTCATCATGGTTCATCCCTTTTTGGGCTGATTGCATAATTTATTTTGTAGCAGCAACCCCACATGAAAGTGGGAACAGCTAGTAGAAGAAGCATAATTTATTTTGTACAAAAAAATTAGCTTTCACTACTATATCTGCCAATGTTTCAGAAATGTTAAACATCAAGCAGTCATGAAGTTTTTTTTTACTCAAAAAGGGCTGAATGCCACTGAAATCACAAATCATGAATTCAATGACCCAACATATGGCTTAGAAGATGCACCCCAAAATGGCTTCCCCTTCAATCATGATTACCAATGAAAACATTGAAGCTGTAAAATACATGATGTGTGATCAACAAGTCCACCATGTCAGCAATTTCAACATCTAACATGTGCAGACCTTGCTCATGCCCAAGCAATTGCTCATGATCTCGTGGGCTATGGTTTTTGGAATGTCCAATTCATCGGCTACACAGTGGACAGAGACTTGTCAATCACACATCACAACACATTCCATGACTTCATTGTTTTCATAAGTGTGGTCAATGGGCAACCACTTCAGAGTGCATCTTCTAAGCCATGTGTTGGGTCCTTGAATTCAGCCACCCACTTTGCAAGGATGTGGTACCATGGAGCAGAGTCATTATAAACATATTCTAGAACCTTAGTGATTTTGGGGGATTCAGCCCTTTTCAAGTAAAAAACTTTGACTGCTCAAGGTTCAACATTTCTGAAACATAGGCAGATATGGTTGTGAAAACTAATTATTTTGTACAAAGGAAATGATGCAATCAGGTCAAAAAGAAGTGAATCATGATAAAAATGCACACTCAATGGTGTAAAATAAATGTTTCATGCATGCAGTTTGGGTTCAGTTACATTTGGCTTTCTGGACAACCTGATGCTTGAAATCACCTTTTCCCAGCTAATTTTGGACATGCAAGGTTTTAATATAGGTAAAAGATGTTAATTTTTGCTTTTCTTTATTCATATGCAGTAAAGTCTTTAACTTGAGTCAGTTGAGGCTTTCAGCAAGGAAGAAGTGGCATGCTATATCACCTTCTAGTTATGGAATCTCAAAATCCCCTGGCTATTTTTTTTTTTTTCACTTTGAGTTTCTCCAATATGGCCTCTGCTCTCTTTATTCAACTGAAGAGGGCAGCACTCTTAAGAAACTGAAGTGTGGAGCTTGTTGGAGCTATACAGCACTTGGTTGATGCAAAAATAGGGTGTCTGCATGGATTGATGAAGACATTTTAGTTTTCTGGATATCTGCAACTCTGGTTCAGATAAGGTTAAAGCATCATGCTCCAAAAGTAAAGTGTATCTTTAATGGTGCCTAAGAATGCACTAACTTTCAGTATAAAGTTAAATGAACCATAATGAAACTATATCATTAGTCTATGAAGCTCATGCTATCTCCTTGAAATTTTCAAGTAACATTGGCATCAATCAGCATAATGAATAGGTACTGCTGCATTTATATGGACTTCTTTGCTACATAAAATATTGCTCTAGAGAATAAACAATATCTAATTTTCTTCCAGTTTTTCAGGAATTTTCCTATAATTGTGTGCCTGATTCTTGTAGCTTTAAGGCAGGAGATGTGGAGCCTACAAAGGAGCCTCTCCTTGCCAGCCTCCTCAAGGTCCTGGAAAGAGAGGGGTCTGAGGAGAACGAGCATGCTATGAGAGGTCAGTGCCTCATTTCTGTTTGTATTTCAGTGAGTGGAAACAGTGTGATTGAAGGAATGTCCTTTAACCCTTGCACTGGTGAGTTTTGAAATACAAGTTGGGCAGAGGATGTCAGCCTTAGAATTTCTCAGGGATACCAATGAAAGGGTTAAGCCTTTCACTTCCATATCTTTTGAGGAAAAGTGAAATTTTAAGTCCCACTGTGCAAACAGACTGCAAATTATTCCTGTAGCCAGTCTAATCTCTCTTGCTGCAGGAAAATGGCTGTCACCTGCTTGCTGTCATGAGAAAGCAAGTTTTGTCAGGCTCATACAGGCCAAAGGACTGCCATGGTCCAAATCATCTCCACCAAACAGCCACCAGATAATCTGGCTGTTGGAAATGAAAGGTTTAAAGCCAGGGAGGAGTGGAAACATTATGAAATCTATCCATTAAGTTATTGAAGTGAGACTTCTGCAGCAGATAAATTACTTATGATCTGTGTATATATCTGTGGATGGATTCATTTGACATTTTGGACTCCAGAGAAGACATCCATGCTTGGGATATGCAAAAGCATTCCACACCATCCTGGAGAAGCAATTATTACTTGAACCTCATTTTTCTTATGCGATATCATGTCATGAAAAGAAATTGTATATATGTCCATGTACAGTTCACATACAAATCTAGCTTGTTGAAAACTTTTTCATTGATTCCCAGCCACTGTTTTTAGGAACTTTTTCTTGGTTACATAGAATCACTATCTTTAATTAGACTTCTGTATTCATTAGTAATTTTGTGAGGTTTTGTCCTATACCCAGGTACTCCCTGTGCAGGTGTTCTTGAGTAGTTATTTCTTTACCCTTTTCAGCCATCATGAGAACAGTGGGAGTTCTGCAAGAGGCTGTCCTCCCCTGCCTCAAGTTGCTGGCTCCTCCATTGACCGCAAAGCTGGTCCTTGTGGCAAAAAATCCCAGCAAGCCACACTTCAATCACTACTTGTTTGAAACCTTTTGTCTCATGGTCCGAATCTCATCACAAGCCACTCCTGATGCCATCATTGGATTTGAGAGCCACCTTTTCCCTATTTTTGGGGAAATATTGCAGCAAGATATTCTTGGTTAGTAAGACTTTTTATCTTTCCTCCACAGTAAGTGAAGATAGTACTTCAATATAAATAATTGCTTCAAGGAGATAAGATTTTCAGGGTTCCATTATATGTCTTCCTCATGTGGAAGAGAACTAACTTTTCCCTAAAATTTCACAAAAATTGTAGATAGTTGCATCTTGCTTCACTTGTGCAAAAAATTTTATAATAGGTCAATGAGGCTATTTTTTATGCTTTTTTCCAGATTTTGTGCCCTATACCTTCCAAGTGCTTGCTCTTCTCTTGGAGCAAAGGTGTGCATTCAATCTTGAGTTGGCCTCACCCTACAAAGATCTTTTCCCTCATCTTCTGACACCAATCCTTTGGGAGAGGCAAGGGAATATCCATCCTTTGAATCGACTTCTTCAGGCATACATCTCCTGTGCTAAGGAGAAACTGTTTGATGCTGAGAAACTGGTGAGTTCCCTTCCCTATATGATTTCATTCTTATTTCTTTTCATGCTGATGATGGGAGGATCACTCATTGTAGAATTCAGTTCTGGGGATCTTTCAAAAGCTTCTCCAGTCTCGACGCAATGATCATGAAGGATTTGCCCTGCTACTTTGCCTCTTGGAAAACCTCCCCATGTGAGTTGACTGAAAATTTAATTTTTTAAATTTAGAGACTAAAGGATTGTTGGGGCAGAAAGAATGAAGAAGTCAATTCAAATAAAATGTTGATTCCTGTAAGAAATTTGATTCATAATCCATATGAGTAATTCTACTTTCTTTGAGTATGGAGAGGTGTTTAGCAAGCTTTACCTTTTAAAGTTAAAAAGCCCTTGAATGATATATCCATTAGTTGCATTTCACTGGATCATTTATCTGTCAAAAGCTTCAATTTTGCCAATTAAAGTAAAGGTTTAGCCTAATTTTATCATCATATTTCAGATCTCACCTGGAAGGAAGCATGAAACAGATATTTGCATTGTGCTTTGCACGTCTCACAAATGCCAAGACAGCAAAACTCACCTCCAATATCCTGGTTTTCTTCTCCTACTATGTCATCAAAGTTGGAGCTAACAGTCTAATTCAGATCATTGATTCTCTCCAGCCCAAGTAAGTGCACCCCAGTCTGTCTTTCACCTATCAGTGTTGGAGTATTAATAATGTAGCAGAAAATATACGACAAATCTATTCAGTGTTGCCTTAATACAACATGAAGTGAAGATGGCAGGTGGACATAGCACTCATATATAGGGTGGTAAGGACAAAATAGACATTTTTTAATATTTTGTTTGATTTATTTTATTAATTATTATAAATATAATTATTAGTTATTAATAGGGCTGTCAATTTGATTAATGTAATAGATCAATTAATCGATTAAATAATTGCAATTTAAAAAAATTAGTCAAAATTAATTGAATTTAAATCTTTCTCCTAATCTCCCCGACTGCCTCTTTTTCCCCTCATAATTTTATAACTTAATTTTATAACTTAATTTGATTAATTGGTCGATTAAATTAATCGAATTGACAGCCTTAATTATTAATATTATTAAATATTAAATTAAATATAATTAGAAATGTATAAATAGCTTATGTACATGTAATATTCCTGGTTTTTATTGTAATGAATAAAGCAAAATATAATTAAAATTTAAAGTGTGTCCTGACTTTTGGCCCACCCTGTTTACAGGATGATCGTAAATTCACTGTGTAATAGAATTAATTAATTTCTGGCATCTATTCAGTACTATACTGTATATCACAAATATTACATCAGCAGAGATATAAATTCCTGCTCAGTGTTTCATCAAGCGTTAGCACCTTACCTGATGCACATCATTTATTGTCTGTACTTCCTGTACTTCCTGTCTATAATGAGGCTTCCTATGTCATGTCGTCAATTCTACTGCACAGTGACTTTTGATCATCCTGTATATACAGGTTGGACCAAAAGAAAATAAAGCTGTCATTTTTGGTGAGTTGTCACTCTGATTGTAGCCTGCCAATTTTAAGAAATTTGGTTGACCTATAAGGTGACTCTGTTTGGGTTAGTGGACTGAGTTTAAAATAAAAATTCCAAATACTGTGAGAATGGCATTTAATTTACTTTAGATCACAAAAAAGTATGTGATCATTTTAAAATTTAAACTAAAAATGTCAATACCAGATTCATCAATTTTTCAGTTGGCATGTTCTACTCCACTCCTTGACCAATTTTTGTTTGGAAATTCACTCATCATTTTCCTTGTACCATATCCTTTTTTAAGCTGCAAGTTTTTAATAAGAACAACATCATGTCACTTTTTAGGCACTTTTGGCAATGCACTCTCTCCTAAAACACCAGAAAGGAAAAGGTAAAATTTTCAGAACAGGCTTTCTGCTCCCAACATTTGGCTATGAATATCTTTTGCACTTTCACCTTGCAGCCTAAACATAATAAATTTTACTACCTGGGAAAGAAGAAATGAATGGTTAGATTTAACTGAAAATTGCACTGCACATTGTTGGAGTGTTGCCATTTCTGTGGTAGGTGCCATTTTTTCCTGTTTCAAATATTTGGAGTACTACAGAGCAACTATGGAGACTTTTTGACTGCACCTCAATAATTCTGCAGTTTATAGCCTATTTTTAGTGAATGTTATGCCATTTTGGGTGAGGCTTTACTCTCCCCATGAATGTATAGGGTTCAGAAATGGAAAGAGAGAGAACACTATATCTTCATTGTTACACTTAAGGAACTGCCTCATATTCTCTGTGCAGAATGTTTGGAATGGTTTTGGAGCGACTGTACTTCCTGGAATTGGGGAAAGTGAATGGGTTTGTGGAAAAGAAGATTTGTGCTGTTGGTACATGCAAGCTCATTTGTGAAGCATCCCCTCTTATTGTGGGAGAGTACAACAGCTATTGGTATGTATTCTCTTTGTCTTCCTGTGCATTGCATTTAAATTCACTGGAATCAGGGCAATTCCTCAAAGAGGAACAGGGAGGAAGGAAATGTGTTAGTGTATGCAGGGCAACATAGTATCTGTTAACAGAATTGTGTAAAAAACACATGAGAGAGAAAATTTTGCTCAACTTGGCCCTGAATTTCTTCATTCCATTTCTCCATGAGAAATCCTTTGGGGCAAATGTTTGTGGGTTGAATTTAGTAGAGTTTAACCCTTACATGATGGATAGCCCAAATCATGCAGGCTAGGTTCTCTCATGTATGAAACATAGCATATCCTATTACATTTGTGCATTGCATTGTCTGGGCTCAGCTCAGAGTCAACACTTTTAATTGAGTTATCAAATAGTTGTTACTTGAATATAGCTGTTCCTAGAATAGAATCTCCTTAGTTTCTTTTTGAACATTCTGAACATCTTTCTGTTCTGTATGTCATGATTGTTCTCAGGGAACTAGCCTTCTCTTTCATGTGAGCCATGTTGTGCTTATAGTTTAGGAGTGCTGGTATTTAACAATATTGGTGTTATAGTGTGGAAGTGTAATTAATGTCAAGATACACTTATATGTTAGTCAAAAACTAATAACAGATTAGAGTTTCTTATGGTGACCATACATGGTAGGTTTCAGACAGGTTTTGAAAAACCCCCTTGAGAGGTTGAGAGCTGAATGTAAAAATGAAGTTTCTAAGTAGCTTGATGAGGTCATTTCAGGTTGTTGATTTACAACTTAAGTACATATTGGGTTTTAATTTTATTTTTCATCAATGAGATTTTTTTTTCTTTTTCTAAGAGTTTAGTAGGGAATAGAGTGTGAAATTAATTTTTTCTTTCAACCTTTCATTGACAAGGGATTGAACTGGTTAGACTGAAATGAATAGGTCATGATGAATAAGTAACATAACAAAAGCTGTTAACAACTCCCTAGGGGGAAAATTAAGGAGTCAACAAAAGACATGCCTCAGGTGATCAGGTATATCCAGAATTGCAGGAAAGATAGCTGCTACAGTTTTATTCTATCTGTTATTTTCCACAGGGCCAAATTGCTGTATTATCTAGTAGGCCTAGTGGAATTACCTGAAGAAGTCCGAGATGAAGAGGAAGAGCTATTCTTAGAGACTATTTTTGAAGGCCAAGACTACCAAGCAGCCTACTCCAAACTTGTCTTTGCATCCAAGCCTGCATGGGATCCTGTCAAAGGTATGGAGAGGCATGAGTCCCTCCTCAATCCCTCCTCAAAACTTCATTTTCCTCTCTAATTTGTTTGAGGTAGCAGACTAAAATGCTACTGTATCCATGTATGAGAGAGAACCACATACCCTCAATTAATATATTATCTATAAACTGTCATTCTGTACTCATTTGTCTGTCACTTCTATGGAGTCTTTGGTAATCTCTCCCCAAAAATAAGAAGAAAAATAATGGTTAATTTTCCCTAATGGTGAGAGTGCTTCCCATCTCTACTAACCAGAAAACTGCATCCTCAAATTCCCATGAAATTGTTTTCTTTTTCTTTTTTGCAAATCTTAGTCCCAATCAGCTAGAGCTCTGAGTACTTTGAAAGTGTGTATAAAGGCCATGTCACATAATTCAAATTTCTTCATGAAGTTCATTGCTTACCAGATATTACCAGAAAATTGGTCCTTTAAAATGCAATCAAAATTGCTGTGAGCTTCTGACTTAACTGATTTCATTTTTCACCAAGGATTACCACTCATATCATTCATTGATGTTGCTGTCAAGAAATGGACAAGTGGCTTTGCCATCATAGACAGCCATGTCAATGTCATTCAGAAATACTCTATTAAACTTTTCTCATCCTTGTTGTTGCTGTGATTTTTCTACAGGTGTTGCTCCAGATATCAAGGCATTTGTAGCAAAAAGCATTACTGTTGTTGTGAATCAGCATGGAGCTGCTGTAAGTTCATATCTCTCTTCTCGTCCAAAATTATACTTGTTTATTAAATCAGCCAAAGTACTTTTTATTGAAAATTTTTTCAAGTGAAAATAAAATAGCTGAAGTGAGAGTTCACTGATTTGCTTGTTAACAGTCAAGAGTATTCATATTCATAAAATATGCTACCAACTTTAATCTTAAGGTCACCTATAGGTGCAGAATCTTGCATGTGAGTTGGTACATACCCTGTTCCATTCTATTATCTTGCTATGTGTGAAGAATTCCCATCTCAATTTCTTACCTGCCATAGGCACTGACTTGCCCAATTCCTTATGTAAGACAAGAACTGTTGCTTTTGCCCTCACTACCAAATCAGTGCATCTTAGAATTCTGTTACCTTTTGAAGTTGTTGTAGACAACTGCCTATGAAATAGCAGGAACTCATTTCAGTGTCACTTCTTTATGCATGATGTGTTATCTGTTTGGTCTGCTTTTGATTACTTCTCATGGTGTTGAGTATTTGACTTTTCAGGTGTCTCACTTGATTGAAAATGCTGCTCCTGAGTGCCAAGGAATTCTGAAACAGTATCTAAGTGCATCAGGCGTCAACTTCTGATGGTCTGAGTCTCCCAGAAGAGAGAACACAAACGAGTCCTCTGTCCTGTGATGTCAACTTGGCATTCAAGAACTTGGAATGAATTAATCAATTTCTTATTCCTTTTTTTTTGCATGAAAGCAAAGCTTTTGAATTGGTGATATAAAGTTTCCTTCATGCTACTTCATCTGTGCTCAAAGTGGTCTTTATTTTTTTATCGCCATGAATGAAAGGACCAGTGAGGCTTCATAAGACATGAGAACATACAGTAGTTATCTGTTTGATGGCCAAAACTGTTACCCAATTACAAATTTGAATGTTGTGAAGTTGAACCCATGGAAGGCTGGAAACAAGACTTTGAGGTCGAAGAATTACCTTAAAAGAAACCACTTTAAATTGTGGAGCTGTCACAATTAGTTCAAACATAAATGCCACTATTGATAATTGAAGACTTTAATGATTTTATTAGCCATTGCATTTGTCCTGGGCTTCCCTTTTCCCCTATCCCCTATTTCCTCAATTGTTTGTAGTGAGAAAAGACAGAAGGTTAAACCCTAATAACAAGAAATGAAGGTAGGCCCCCCCCCATAACCTCCACGAGAGATGACAGAATTCACTGAGCCCCCACCACTCTTCCATGGTGTTGAGGGACAGTGACTCATTTTCCCAATACAACACTGATAGTTCTGCTCAATCCATCAATGCTTTCAAAACGGCCATTGTGACAGCTCTAGTGAATTGATATGATATTTCAGAATTGCGATGCAGTGACAGACGATACCTTTCTTGACCATTTTTGGGGAGGGATTCTTACTAGCACCATCTAGATTTCTTTGTTGATGAAGATGGTGTCCGGTCAATTCCCCGAATGGTTATTTCCCCGACAGGACAGTTCCCCGTATGACAAATTCCCCGATCACGGTTTTCCGATCTCACGGTCGCGGAAGGAGGGCTATCGACCGCATCCATCTCCTTCACGTCTAGGGGTCGATTTATAGTTCACGCCCTTGTTTGTCTCTGAAGAGGTACATCATTCACGATGTTTGCGATCACCTTGCGGGCTCGTAATTTTCCAGGTTCTGGAGCATGATGATGTTGTCCTCGCCAGCAGACAACCTGCTCTTTTAGTTGTAGCTCTGAAATTGCAGTTTCCTTTGTATCTTCTATAGAGGCACTCCCAATACGTTCTTCGTCCGTCCTTGCTCATCTTGTTCTGTGTGAGCAGATAGCCCTCAAGAACAAGAAGATTCTTGCCATTTTCGCTCTTCACGAACTCCATGAATACACGAACTCTCACACTGTCCAAGAACTGACTACTTAATGATCTGATTCCTAAGCCACCCAACTTCTCCATATATAGCCCCATTTTAGATTTTGATAGACATCTTGTCGATCGTCTCATCTCTGGCGGTCGAAAGGATTATCTTACAACCGTTTCTGTTGCCTTTTCATCTTTTTCATTTTCCCGTGAGAATCTTTATCAATGATCTGACCAGCACTGTATCGGCAGTCATGTTCCCCAAAGGAACAAAGTTTCCTTAGGTGGGAGGCGAAGAATTTAATGATTTCCTCCCCCCCAGGATTAGAGAAGATTAGCGACTTTCCCTTTCCTTCCGTTTGCCTGGACCGCCCTCCCTTTGGTTCTGGCTCGGTTGGGGGGCGGCCGC